ATGAGAACCCGACATCATCTGGGACAACAACACAATGGATCTTGCAAGATAGGAGATGAGGGCAGTGAAAAGATTTGGCGATGAACTTATACAATTGTAAGATTCGACTCAACATATCACATCAAGTACTAGATCTTAATGGATCTAATTGTTAGATGAATCAAATTGACGACTAAAGACCAATCTAGAGAGGACCAGACAAAAGAATAATAAGAAACCATGAGGGCTATAAGTAGAGGGAATAACCCTTGGGGAAAGGAAGAACATTGATAAGTAACTCCTTCAAAAGCTAGAGATTCGCTATCTCATATTAGTGAGCCTAAGACTAAAGCGGTCTTAGTTGTTTAATCTATTCCCTTCTTAGTTGATTTTATGATTTGTCCCATTCTCTCCTTCACTTCTGTGTGAGTAGAATCCCTTCTCGATGAAGTGCTCAAGAAGGTTGTGAGAGATTTAACTTTACTACTAAAGTCAGTGAGAGAGTCCATTCGAGTCAACATTTTTGCATCACATACATCACCTCATCCATTTGACAATATCTTCTATTGAAGGTATCAATAAAAATCATCAAGATTATTTTTGGCTTGTTTTGCTTTCTTGAGTACAAAATATTTATAAATTGATGCAACTATATTATGATTGTGGTGGAGTTGACTTTGACTACCTATAATTGAGGGTTCTATTAGGATAATAAAAGCTCATAGAGTTTGTATTATGCGAGTGTTGTTGATCCCAAAAAAATATTTAAACTCTAGAGACAAAAATATTTGAATCAAGATTGTGATTTTGAAATTAGACATAAGCTAAATATAAAATTATTTGTAGTCTCTTTTCTTTCAATATATAAATTATTTAACTTTAAAAATATTTATAAAATAAAAATAGAACATCTTAAGAATCAATTCACTTGAGTTGTATTTCTAGGAAACTAAGGACCTACAATTGATGTTAGAGCTTAACTTAGTTTGAGATCTCAATAGTCTTAAAGAGTGGATTACACGACTAATAGTCTAATGAGTTAGACCTTTGAGAGACAATTAATCATATTTGATTTTCTCTCTTAATGGGATCTAACTATACATGTTTAAAAGCTAGAACAAAATTTTTCACACAATTCAATGACTTCGATGCTTGGAGTGTAATTGAAAATGATCCATATAAATAAAATTTGGGAATATGCTTGAGCCTTCTAAACAATAGAATCATAAAGAATTCAGTATCTGAAATAGCAAAAGAAACTTATGATAAGTGGTCAAATAAATGTATTGTAGATTTATATGTTAAACATCACAAGTGAAAGACACCAAGATATAAATTTTAACTCATTATTATGACAAATTCAAAATGTTGGGAAATAAATATATTGTAGATATATTCAAGAGATTCACAAAGAAAATTAAAAATCTAAAATTTTTGAGGAAAAATTTCACAAATTTTAATATAAATAGAAAAATCATTAGGTCTCTCATTATGAAATGAAAACCCAAAAGGGTAGGTATTAAGGAAGCCAATGATTTGAGAAAAACAACTCTATGAATTGATGGGATCTTACCTATAATTAGGACTTTTAAAATAAAAATAAAAAATAGAACAAAGAAAGAAGAGTCTTACTTTGAAAGCAAAAAATGATGTGAGGGAATTGAATTCAAATGAAGAAGATGTTATAGTTATTCTTTATAAATAGTTTAAGAAGATTTAATAAAAATAAAGAAAGAAAAATATAGGAGATACATATAAATCTCATGCTAACCCTACTATAAATGTAATGGATCACTTCATTTTAGAGAAAATTGTTCCCCCTCTCCACCATGGATATGTTGAAGATGGCATCCTTCTAGTTTATTCAGTAGCATCAATCTTCACAGCCAATCTGAAGCAAGTGACCTATAGTCAACATTAGTGAAGGTGAGATTGAGGAGAGAACAAGCCATATTTTGGCTAGTGGACTGGTGGCAGTCCAAGAATCAACATCAGCATTGACCATTGAGACCATCACCACCTCCTCCATAATTCAGACCAATAGTCAATTAGGCAGTCCGTCAACTTTTGACTTCAGGCCTCCCTCGCCACTAATAGAAAATACGCCTAAAATAGAAAATCATATGATTATTTTGCCATCAGAAATTGGCTAAGGTCTCCATTGGGTCAATCATGAAGAAGGACACCATATAGATAAGTAGCTTCTTTTATTGTTGGTGGGGAGGGGGGGGGGGTGGTATAATTACTTGAAGAGACCTTGGGGTGTAAGCAAAAAAGAGCCTTTTTCATTGTGACACATTTATTAAAGAAGAATATTATTGAAATTCTTCACAAGTTATCAAGTAACCAAAATAGGTCTACCATAATATTCAAATAATTAGACATACTAATTAATAAATTACCTCACACAAACTATGCTTTAATTCTATCTTCACCAACACCTTGGATTGCAAAAGCTCATATGAGATCTTAGCCTAACTTTAAAATACCAAGGTCACCAAATGAAACTTGTTATGTTGACCAAATCAAAAATAAAAAAATAAAAAGAAAATGGATACTTTGAAGTAAGTCTTAATTAGCTACAAATATGGATTTCCTAAAGAGCCATGGGTGATGACAAAAATATGAATTTTAGAAAGTCAAGTTTTATGATGTAAATTTTTGAATCTCATTATTTAAGAGATAAAATAGCAAGACACCATACACCCCAAGGTCTCCTTGGGGTCCACCATGGTCTAAATTGTTGACCTATTTATATATCTATCATTAGAGATGGTGTCATGTTGATAACAAATGGTATGGAGAGTTGACTTAGAGTGTAAGGAACTACACCTAGTGCAATGTACAATGGGGTGTTGTCCCATTTGAGAGGGATGAGATATGATTATAAATTATATTTTATTATCTTAATTTAAAAATAATTCAAATATCTTTAAGTTAGACGACAATTTTTCATCACCTATGTGGAAGAAAGAGGCAACTACTTCAAGGTGGAGATTTGGCTTAGAAACGAGAAAAAGAAGTAAGTCTTTCTCATCTTTCTCATTAGGTGCTTCTATTGGTTTCAAGAAGAAAATAAGTTTATGCTCTAAGTATTTGAGAAGGAATTCATAGCAAACATTTTACTTTGTTTGTTTCTACACATAAGTTTCTCATTCTCTTAGTATTAATGTAGAATATTTTCTATAAAAAACATAAATTGTGTATCACTTAGTGATATTGTCATTTGATGCTTTATATTCAACTTTGTCGCCACTTAATCTTGTTTGACTTTTTGACTCCTTGAATATACTCATTCTTAGGAGAATAATACATCTGACATTAATTCATTGCACTTTGATATTTATTGTCCTTGTGGTGTGCATTGGTTATTTGCAATGTTACATTTGGTATATAAGATCCAACTTCTATTATTTATGATTTTATTTTAACATCTGGTTCCAAAATTGTCAATTTCAACAATAGTAAAGGTACAAGCCCACAAAGTCCACATAGTCTATTTCCATGCTAGTGCACTCTACACCACTTTCCATGGTCTCCTTCCCACTCTAATTCTTCTTCCTCTTCTTCATTATCCTTTGCTTGGTCATTGTAGGTTTCAATGAAGAACATAAAGAAGCTCACATGTAACCCCTCAAGATAGACTCCTGTAGAACCCTAGATAGAAGATTCATCCTCGATGATTCAGACTCCAAAGTTAAAGGTAGGGCAAGCCCTCACATGCCTTATTCATGCACCAATGGTAGATGACAAGTACTACATAGAAGAAAAGAAGTAGACTACCCTCAACATCAGCTGGTGCACATGTGTATGTAAAAGGGGGAGGAGATGCGGGTGTCCATCTTAAAATCAAGAAAATAAAATCTTGTGCTGATATTGATGAGGACTAAAGGAGCAAGAACTATAGCCCACAACAATTATGTATCGGCCCATGCTCATTTATGAGTGATTTTCTTTATTATTAATCATTTATTTATTTATTTAGACCTTAGACTGATTATAAATAACCTCTTGTAACCCTAGAAAAGTAAAGAATATAAGATAATGTTGAGGTTTTACCTTTTATCACTCCATGCAGGAGAAGTTGTGATAGCCATGAGGGTCATATCAACTGGCCCAAATCCATTGAAAACCTAAAATAGGCCCAAATCTGCCTAGCCCAAATAGACCCGAACACATCATATTCAAACCATCTATAGATCTATTAAGATAGAGTCATTCAATGAACCTTCAGGCCCAAACTGTTGTCTGGTTCAATCATTACTAGCATGTAGTTAGGAGTCAACCAAACAATTGGTTAGTGGTCAATCTATCAACAGTAAATTGTCAACCACAACATATGGTCAACTATTAATGTCTAATCAATGATTAACACTTGAAAAACCATAATAATTAGAGGTTCAGCTTCAACATGTGTTCCTCCACCAAATAGTCACTTATTTCTGCACAGAGTCCTCTTTAAACCTTCTTTCTTTCTAGATTGAATAATTTATTTATTTAATATTTATCTATACAATTGTCTTAGAACATGTAAAAACTCCTTGATTTGTGACTAGTTATTTATCTCTAGTGATTTCTTAACCACATAAATTCAATCCATTTAAAATCTTGTTAGAGATCACTTGATCTTATCTTAATCGGCTTTATTACTCATAAATCTAATATGAGAGGCAGTCTAGATTGATTGTCATAATTAGTCAATAATTTATCATCTTATCCTACATCAAAAATTCAGCACAAAACGATAACCCTTCTCTCTCTCCCTCCCTTCCTTCCATAAGGTTCCGATATTTAAAACCGGAGTTTGTTGTTAGGCCGTCGTGATTTGCCTTTTATGAAGACAAATAGGCCCATAAAAAAAGGGGTTTTGTTCGTTGATAACCGGTGTTTCTGGTCAACTGCCGGGAGGGAGCGACACCCGCCCGGATAAGGGCGGGAGCACCCTCTCGGCCGTTCGAATCTATGCCCCCCTCTTCTTCTTCTCTCTCTCTCTCTCTCCCTCTCTCTCCCTCCTGTCTCTCATGGCGATCGCATCAGCCAGTAGCGTGTCGTCACTTTCGTCCACCTACTCCCACCGCCCGGCTATCCCTTCCAAAAGCTGCCTGACGTCGCCACCGAGGTCTCTCTCTCTCAGGGCGTACTCTGAGGAACCGCTTCAGCGATCCGACAGCAGCAACCAGGAAGACCGCAGTAGATGCCTCTTGGCTGGCGCACAGGTTACCCGCCGGAGCTATCTGCTCGCCGGCGCTGCGCTGATGCCTTTCGTGTTCACGAAGCCCCCGAGATTGGACGCTCGAGAGGTGGAGGTGGGATCCTTCCTCCCTCCATCTCCTTCCAATCCGTCGTTCGTTGTTTTTAAGGCTACCTCCAAGGATACGCCCGCACTTCGCGCTGGTAAGTCCTATTTTCTTCTCTCCATCGATCCGCATTATTTCTCCTATTTTACGAATCACGGATAGCTTCCCTCATTTCTTCATCCGAATGATTAGAATGAGCTCCTGCGGGCCTAAGAATGCCTTGTATAGATGATTTTATAGTTTATATATTCGACCACTGCATGGAGAATTTCGACGCTCGTTGGATTTCTTTTTTGTCTTTTGAATGCCCTTTAACAGTTTCGAATGATTCTCAAGATATTCGCATACAAGAACATTCCGAGAACAAATTCTTTAGGAGACCAAAACAAATTTCTCATTTTCACCCCATGTACCTGGGTTGTGTGAGTTTGGGTGCAAGAAAGCAATTAATTGTCTACAATAATGTCATCGGGAAAATGAAGGAAAGAAGACTGCGGGATTTACATGAATGTGACAACAGTCAGCATATTTTCAAGAGGCTCAAGACAATCCCCAACATCTAAACATCCTTTTTACTGTTTCATTTACATGAGTGTCTATGTGTAAATAGCAAGCATTATTTGGGAAATATTTCACTCTTAGATTAAATATTTTAATCAATTATCAAGAGTCCGTGAACTATTTCCTTTGGTAGGTGGATGTATTTGATCTCGTGTCTTTTGTATTACGCTGATGTCGGTGAATGAGAACTATGTTAAAATGTATTCAGTAAATTATGACAAAACGAGGTCCAACGTGGTCCAGATTCTGTTCACTAGTTCAGAATGCCCTAAGATTTAGTTTTAGTTTGATGTCTACCTATATTTCTCTCTCTGAATTTTGGTAATCCGATTGTCACATTTTTTAGAGATTATCATTCAAATTACTTATATTGTTTTATTATAAGACGAGCAGTTAGTTCTTCCAGGAAAATATGGCACTAGGGATTGAAACTGATATACTTTGTGAATTTTGGTAATCCGATTATCTGCGGAAAATCTGGATTTTCACCATTTCCGACAAAAGGAACACAAGCATTTCCAAATCGCTCCAATATTTTACTGGAGGCATCCGCTCTTGTTGTTTTTCCTACGTGAGCTATAGAACTGCATTATTTGAAAACTGGATGGTTTTGCCAAGCATTAGTAATATTTGAATGCCTTCCTCGGCAAATAGTAATAACCCCAATAGACGGTTGAATCTTATAGATTTTTCCGTCCCAGATACTGTTTGGGACTCGATTCTTATGTACCTAAATAAAAAATTCGAGGCTTTTGCATACGTTTGTTGTGGTATGGCCCCTTATTGATAATCTTGACAGAAAGAACAGAAATTTTCAAGGACTTACACAGGTACAGAGGTTATGGGAATAAGTGCCATGGCTAGCATCGAGAAAGTCTCTCTGGTTGGTGTAAAGCAGGTGGCTTCTCCATTAGGGGAGATTATAATGTTTTTTTTTGTGGTCAAAGTAGGTCATTATCCTCTCTGAGATACACCTCCGTAGGGACTAGGTTTACCATGGACCCAGTGAGTTTTGGGAATGCTAATTTGTATTTATACTGGTTTGTTTTTTTCACTGTTAATGGAATGTAGAAATGGTCTAATTATATATAAAGCATCTTGTATAAGATATCCGTTTTTGAAGGATCAGGATGTCGTGGTTTCTTAATTACCTGTCCTTTTTGAACGAATCATGCTAGTTCTTCATTAAGAACTACAGTATTTACTTTGGACTGTGCGTTATACCATTTCTCTGTTAAATGGCTTTTAGGATGCATGGAGTTGGAAAACTTGATGATCACTCATTATTGAATATATCTCCCTTCATTAGTTTTTTAGTACTTTTTTTTCTGTAGCACGGTTGAGCACATGTACCACATGCATATCCACACACATAACTGTACCTTTTCAGGTAAGGCAATACAATCATGGAATCGTGGAGGATCTGCCATTGGGTGACCGGATTGTCACAGTAAATAGGTTTTTTTTTAAAATCATGGTGGTTAATGTATGGGGTTCTGTCAAAATGGTTCTATCGTCATATATTTTTTGTTAATGCAAGTAAGTGCATTGTTCTGCAAGAAAAGTTATTTTTTCTGAAAGAACCACGTCAAAATGTCATGGCAGGTAACGTGGAACCTTATGAGTTTATGCTCCCACCATCATGGAAACAGACACGAGTTGCAAACATCCTCTCTGGAAATTACTGCCAACCCAAGTGTGCTGAACCTTGGGTTGAAGTGAAATTTGAGGATGAAAAGCAGGGAAAAATTCAAGTAGTAGCTTCCCCATTAGTACGCTTGACAAATAAACCTAATGCCACAATTGAAGATATCGGAAGCCCAGAGAAAGTGATTGCTTCTCTTGGCGCCTTTGTCACGGGAAATACATTTGATTCAGATGAACTTTTGGAGACGTCGATTGAGAAAAGAGGGGACCTGACGGTAACTTTCCTTCTCTTTGTTTCTATGTGCCCAAATAAAGCATGCTTCTTATTCATTTGTTTTATCAACGTGTCTTCGAATATGCATCCATTTTATCAATGCTTGTCTAGTGAAAAAAAATCCTGTGGTTTTCTTCGACTTAGCCGTATCAAGGATATATAGTCACTGCATAAATTTATAACACCTGTGTTGTATTAGATGTTGGGGTTTAAGAATCAGAGGAAACCGTGGCTAAATCTAGGACTGGAAAATTTCCATCGAACTTCAGTATTTAGAATTTCATGATGCCGACAGTTTTTGGGCAGATCCAATCTAGGACCTTTGTTGTATTAGATGTTTTGTACTATTCTCACCTTGTTGAATTACTCGGTAGCACATTGATGGATAATAAATAATAATATTGAAGAGGGAGACAAATATTTTCAATGCTTATGTTTAGTACTGCATAAAGAGAAATTTAGTTTCCAATGAAATTAACGAAAAAAAAATACAGAACAGCAATGTAGGGGAATTTTTTTTGCCCGAACTACTCTCTCAGTAGTTCTCTTTCCTTGGCATGGAGAAATTAGTCCAGCCTTGCCTTATCAGAAAAGAAACAGTATTCATTCACAGCTCAGAACATCATTTTATAATGACTGTTTTAAAAATTCACACATACAAATACAAGGAACTTAAAATTTAGATATTGCTGACTCCGCACTCATAAAATCAAATCTACGACGGAAAAGTTCACAATTCACTGTAAAGTAGACTTGTTAATTCAAACATCATTACTTGATGTTACTCAGATTAGTAAAATGTTATTTCATCCTCCTCCACTAGAACTCGGCGTCACAACATGGACATAAAGAAAAGCAATATAATGTTTTTCCGGACATGATTCAGAACAGATCCAAAAGATGCTTAAGACTTCGAAAAGACAATATTCAAAGTATTTATCTAGTGTGACCTGTGGGTCACATATCTAATAACCCAATACCCTCATGCATATACAATTTTAATGTAGAAGTTAGAACTCCATGTGCATAGTCAAATGACTAGATTCCGTATGGCAGACTAACCCAGTAACCTTTAGAGCAACGTTTCCAGTCACATCCATTTGATAATACCTGAGAGAGCGTTTTCTATATTCCTTATATTCAACACTGATTAACGGAATAAATGTTTTGAGATTGGCAACAGGATTTCAATATTTCTGTATGGCTACTTCCGATTGCTATTTCCTTCCGCGATCTTTTTAAGACTTTTACGTTAAGTACCTACAAAGGTCAATGTTTCTGTGATCTCTCCCTTTTAAAAATTCCTTATTACGTCTAATTTTTTTCCCAATATGTCATTTTCCAGTTGTGTCATACTGCTTTTCTTTTTGCTTGTAGGGATTTAATAACCCTAGACCAGTCTTTCAGTAAACGGTAGTTTCTGGGATTAGTCATCCAACTGGAATCTGATCTCTCGGTCATTATTTAATCTGAGAAATTTTGATGTAAATAAACTACTGTCATATAAAATATAGGTTTACAGATGGATGACAATTGTTTTTTACTGATTTTTTAAGTTTCCTTCCACAACCTCAAGAATATTACTTCGTATTGCACCCTCTTCTTTGTCTAATCTCCCAGATGTTCTTGACGATAAGAAGGATCTTTCGGTTTTTTTTATTGGTAACACTCCGATCTACAGTTCCCACCTGAATCCCTATTTCCATTTTTTTCATTTATAAATTTAAAATATATATATATATATCCTGTCTCTCTGCCTTTCATGCTAGAGAGAAGAATAAAAGTCCCCTCTTCGCTTCAATCCTTCCCTTCCACAGTAGTTTCGTTTTTGAAGGATTAAGTGCTGATGTTTATTACTAATCTCGATGAAATCCATCTGCTTCCCATCAGACAAAAGTTTCCTCTCACAGACTATTTCTTGCTCTCAATACTCAATTTAAATTTTTTCTTTAAATATTATAATCTTATATCCATATGCTTTAAATTCTGAAAAGAACCCTGTTTGTGCTCCTTCACCGAATTAATTGTTTATCCCTTCTCCTCATCTACATATGCTATTACTCAGCCTTGGTTATATTTATGCTACGAAATGAGAAGAAAAGAGAGAGCTTGATAACGTATCACTGTAAATATACCAAAAAAAGGGGCATTTTCATGTCATCTCATTTAACAAGATCTATGGAGATATGAAGGGTGTAGATGTAGGGTTTTTTATGACACTTATTGAATGAAATACTTCCAATACAGGGGCATTTTTTAATCAGGAATTCATATTTATGTGGCTCGTGAGATAATATAGTATGGAAGAAAATATTTCTAGCCATGACCACTCAGGAACCAAGGACTTGATTTTTTTGCATGGGCAAGAGTTCTATCCATTGCCCAGAGGGACATTGAATGGTGGAAAGCATTACTAGCGGGATTATTGCCGGCAAACCGGAGAGAGGAACCGTAGAAAGACCCAAACAAGATTTTCAGAGATTCTACAGAGAATATAAGATCCCCTTCCGATTCGCCTCTCTTTCTTTCCTTATTTAGCATCCCAATGGACGCACAGATAATTTTTCCGTCTTAATCCCCTTTATTTACTGATTTACTATCTTATTAGATGAATAGAAAATGTTATATATTCCCTTTTCGTCAGTAGAAACTGTTTTTTTAAATGAAAAAACGTTTTTTCTTGGTTCCCTTTCTTTCTTTTACTTATTTACCATCTCATTTCTTTTTTAAGTAAAGAATTTGTCCTTGTTTCCTTACATACGTACTGTATGCGGGTCGCTGCCGTTGACCCACCACCCTGACTGGTTGACTTTCCCCGGTGCAGTACTACACCTACGCGCTGGAGACTCCCTACGCCCTGACAGGGACCCACAACCTCGCCAAGGCGACCGCCAAAGGGAACACGCTCGTGCTCTTCGTCGTCAGCGCCAGCGACAAGCAGTGGCCCTCCTCCCAGTCAACCCTCCGCACCATCCTCGACTCCTTCCAGCTCTGAAGAACCCAACATCCCACCCGACCCGCATCTGTTTCCATAAAAGGAAACCTCCCCACCCACCCCCCCGGCGAGATCACGCTGTAATTATAATACACGCTGATTCAGCGGAGTTCTTCACTTCCTTCTTTTGAGTCTCGAAGTCAACGGAAAAGCAGCTGAAAGAAAAATCGGTGCACTGATTCCACTCGCACTCAGAGTTAGAAGGGATGTTAGAAGGAGGGGGGCTACATTACAGGTGGTGAGTGGCGGAGGGGGACTTGAAGGGTAGGACGCAGGAGTAGGTGACGTACTTGACGCTGTCGAGGAGCACGACAACGAAGACCCGGGAGATGGATTTGGGGGCGATGACGCCCTCGAACTCTGCCGCCTCTCGGGGATCCACCAGCACACTGACCACCATCGCCGGCGAGGCCGGCCGGCCACTGCTGCCGCTGCCGCCGCCGCCTTCCGTTCCATTCTGTGGGGCGGCGCCGGGGAGAGGAATTGGCATGGAATGCGGGTGCAAGGTCCGCCTGTTCCTCGTCTTGGCAGGGTGAGATGAATTGGCAGTGCGATTCATGGCGGCGGCGGTGGCCGCCGCAGCAGGGATGATGCCACCGGTGGTCGCTGGATTGACGTCGAAGCTGAATACCTCAGTGCACATCCCTGAGCTCAAGATGGGCCCTGCGACGTAGGGAGAGGGGGGGTAGATGAGCGTTAGAAAATGGTGAGTCAAGAACAAGACTCCACCTTACCCACTTATCTGTGGAAACAAGACTAATTTAGCATTTTTTTTCTTGCATGAGAACATGAGGCAACTACAATATTCTTTTTAAGTTCTGGGTCAAGATTATTTGTTTGCCACTGGACGGATACCTTATTTGGCAGAGTACTAAGCCTTTTTTTTTTTTTTCTCTTCATGGTGGTGTAACCTGAGCGCAGAAACTCGTATAGCAAGAAGCAACTACATGTTCTTGTGGTAGTTTTTTTTTCCAAGTTCTATTTTCTTGAGCTCGAGTGCCACCTAAACCTTGGGCGGGATTGGGAGTTCGAAGATCAACTTCATATCTAGTAAATGCAGTAAACTAGATACATTAAGAAACATTCATCCGCCAAGCAAGTGTAGTAATTGCAATGCGATTGCAGTCTCAATGTGTGTACCGGATTTCGAAATACCTCTAAAATAGGGAAATCAAAAACCTTGTTTGTTCCTCAATTTATTTTTTTTCAAAAATGTCGCTGAGGAGCCAAGTTGTGCAACTGAGGAGCTCAATACGTGCAATTGCATTATTACAAAAAAAACAAAAGGAAAACCATAAAGCTTGCTTTCTTCATTCTATCTAAAATTGAAACAAATAGTTTAAATCAAATAACTAACTTAAATAATGCTTCACAAAACCTCCAACGTGTGTCCGACAGAATAAAAATCCAAAAGATGGTAAATTTTTAGGCCAAAATTAATGCAGACACTTGGCAACAGTAAAATCTAACGTATTGGTTAATGCTGAGAGTATAATAACAGCACACTGCTAGATAATTCTAGTATACTTAATTTCGGGATGGAGGGTTACTGTTGTCACATAGATTAGCAGATCAGATGGACCATTTGAATATGTTTGCATTAAATTAATCTGGAAAGCTGTAGTAAACCTGGTTGCTAAAAGTCCAAGAATCTTGTGACAATGTCATTTCTAGCATGAGTTGATTTTACTACATGATTATCCAACAACTTATGTGGTCATTTTAGAACGAGTCATCTTTATTCTTCCCCCTCCCCTTCTCCTTCGTAGTAATTATAGGGGATAACGCAAACCCACATGAAAGTTTTCTCTAAAAAGAAAGGCTCAATCCAAATGGAAAGAACATTCTGAAACGGTGTCTTTTATTTTAATGACTAGCCAACCTCGATGATACAGCAAAAGATTCAAAAGTCAACCAACTTCCAAGTTTTGATTGAAATGTCGATGGAATAAGAGGCCAACCATAGTGAAGCATTATGGGTCAAACATCCAAACTGATTTTGCATGGTTGAAGGCTATGGCATCATGATTAAATGAGCATTTCTGTAATAAAAGAAAAATGACAGCCAGCTCAAGTAGCATGCAGACTGACGAATGAGAAAAAGAAATAAGCTTGTCTGTACCTTCCAGACCTTCCTGGAACCATTCTTTGACTGGTGCATCAGCAGGGCCTGGTTTTGAATCATCCCTGTATCTATCTTTTGCAGCGTAAGCACGTGCCCTCTGATATTCAGCTATGCTTTTATACAAGTGAGCATGCCTTTCCATCTCTCTTCCAGATTTTGAGACAGGTAAGGCTAAACCCAGAGTCCCGGCTATCGCCAGACTGGTCTCTTTACGTTCTTTTTCAGACTGTTGCTGACCACAACTACTCTTTGCCGCAGATCCTGAGTTTGCCATAGCTCTCTCACTGGCAAGGACTGATTGGATTATCAAATTACCATCAATTTTGACGAGCTTGTCATTTCTTGGAACATAGAGGGAAGCAAATAGAGGTTTACTGGCATTCCCCGGGAGACCAGGAACATGGTGTGAAGTCTGCTCCTTTTGGTCTCTCATTCCAACTTTATCCGTTATATTAGGCCTATTTATACTACCTCTAACAGCCAAAACTCTTCCTCTCGGGCGGTCTATGGCTTTGTCATTACTAAACTTTTCTTCATTCCAAACCAGATCCTTACTTCTACCATCAGTATTTTTAGATCCTGGGACAAAAACTCCTACAAACAGCATGCAAAACAATAGGCCCAAGATGCTCACGCTTGCGACCTTCTTGGTTTTGCTCTCTGCCTTCCTGCTCTCTGATTTTCTGGGCTTCGGGGCCGAGGCAACCTGCTGTTGTTTCAACCTAGGTATCGGAACCAGTGGAACTTGAGCACCCTGAGGTCTCGCAGGATAGCCGGAGTATGGAATCCATGGAAAATGCATAGATGTCATCGGAGGGGGTGTTGGATAGACAGCCGGACGGGGACAGTTTCCCGGACCCCCTCCGCCACCCAACTGTTGACGCAAGGTAGCATTCTCCGCCATTATAAAGGAAACCTTACGGTTAAGTTCAGTGATCGTAGAGTGCATGGACCTCACCTTCTCTTCCAGTTCCTCAACATAATGCTTCTTCCTTTGCCTGGAGAGCTGCGCGCTCTCTCTGTTCCTCATCAACCGTGTTCTTCTCTTTTCGTCATCCTCATTTACCGCGCTGAAAACACAAGACGAAGTACCCTGGTCGGAGGATCCCGATCTCCGGTACTTACTGCTCCTGGATATGGCGTTAATGTTCGTGTCAGAGACCTCTCCGTCCTCTCTTCCTTTCTTTCTTTTCACACCCCATCCCTTCCTCTCCTCCTCATCTTCCAATTTCACCCGTCCCTCGTCGGCCAGGGACGAGGCATCGCGGAAACCCGCGGGGCACGTCGTGGAATCCCCAGAATCCGGTGACGGCGCGTTCAAATTCCTCAATCTCTCGGGCCTCACCTCGTCAACGTTTCCAGAGGCAGAAGACGAAGAAGACATACCAGATCCTCCCTTGCAGTCAGAGCCGGAGGAAGAAAAGGGGGCAGCGCCACCCGTCGCCTGGCCGTCGAGTAGATCATCATCCACTTCGGGAATATCGAGGAGATCAGCGACGGAGAAGTCCAGATCCCCTTCGAAATCCAGATCGGCGTCGAAATCTAGATCCGCCATGAACCCCGGCGTGAGGGTCATATCCGCCGGTATGTCGGGGAACTGGAGGGGATCGAATCCGCCGGCGAAATTAGCGTCGAAGGCTTCATTCTCGTCGCGCCGCTCGCATGGGAGGGGATCTATCACAGCAGCTTCCGCCATGGCCAGAGAAAACTCCCCCGATCAGATACCCATGCGAGAGAGAGGGAGAGAGAGAGAGAGAGAGAGAGAGAGAGAGAGAGAGAGAAGTTTCTGATCTCTCTCTCGCAACTAGAGGGGAGTTTTAGGTTCCAGCCTTCCGGAAGTTTCTACGTTTCTACAGAAGACTCTCTCTCGCTCGGTCTTCGCGGCGCCCGTCCCGTGTACGCTACGCGTTTCTCATTCTCAGTGGGGAGAATGAGAACGCACAAGATGCGGCGACGAAGACCGTGGGATCCCTGGGAGAAAGTTTACCTCATTCCTGGAAGTCATTCTCGAGATTACCTTCCGGTCAACGGTGAGTTCGTATATGAACAAGTCAGCCCCGGGTCTCATGCCGTCGTTTAGTCGCATCTTCATTTAAGTGGCATTCTTTATATTTAAAGTTAATAAAAAATATTCTCTCTGTGGTTCTAAAAACACGGAAATCATAATTATAAAATTAAGGGAAATATAATTTAAATTATGGGGATATTGTGAATTATTTATTTTTCGGGGAAATAATTACTATCGGTTAACTAAAATCACATCTTCATTTAAACAGCATTATTTTTATTTAAAAAAATGCCCTCCTTGCTTTAAAAAACATGAAAATCATACATTTAAATGTGTGGGAAATATTTTTTAAATTATGGGGATATTGCGATTTATTTTATTTCTGGGAAATAATTATTAGGGGTTACCTAAAACTCACATCTTCCTTTAAACGGCAATTTTTATTTTAAATTTAATAAAAAAATTATCTCCTTGGTTTCAAAAAATGAAAATCATAAATATAAATTTACGTGTAATATATTTTAAATTATAGGAATATTTTGACTTATTTTATTTTTTGAAAGAATTATTGGCGGCTATCTGAAAATCATATCTTCCTTTAAAAGACATTCTTTTTATTTTTAAATTAATAAAAAATGTGTCCTCCCTGGTTTCAAAAAAATGAAAATCATAAATATAAAATTATGGGTAATATATTTTAAATTATTTCCCCCTGCAAAGCCTTTTCGAGGATATTTTAAGACTAGCTTCTGGTCAACGATGAGTTGGTTTGTGAACGTGTCAGTTGCAGTCTCACGCCGTCGTTTTCAAATCACATCACCCTATAAACGGCCTTCTTTATATTTAAAATGTCATAAAAATATATATATAAATAAAAAACATAAATTTAAATTACGGGAAAAATATTTTTATTTATGAGGATATTTTGTTTTATTTTGGTGGAAACAAGTCTCATCGGTTATTTGGTTCTAAACATAAGAAATTCATAAAATATAAATTATGGGAAATATTATGATTTATTTTCCACTTTCAGGGACATTAAGATATTATTTTTATTTTTGAGAAATAATTATCAACCGTTATTTGCAAACCACATCTTCCTTCAAACCGCATGATTTTATTAAAAAGTAGTTTAAAAAATGCCCTCGTTGGTTCCAAAAACATGAAAACCATAATTTTTTAATTACCCGGAATATTATGGTTTATTTTATTTTTTCGGGAAGTAATTATTAACGGCTGTTATTTTTCAACGGACAGATTTGCCCCCGCTCAGAGTCCTCGGTGGCGAAGGGGAAAGGAAGGACTTTTGGTCATGGCGAGACCTTTCTCCATGCATTAATTTCGATCAATATTCTGGGGGGGGTTTGAAGCCAGGAAATCCTCTCCTCGAGCCCTTCTGCGGGAGGGCCGGAGAGAAACAGAGGGGACCCGTATCGAAATCTGAATCCCCCCTGGCCTCCCTCTCTCTCCCCCTCTCCCTGCCCGGGTGCGGCGACGCTGCCATGGATTCTCCACCGCCGCCCTCCTCGTCCGCGGGGCACGGCACCGGTGAGTCGGTGGACGGCGCCGTGCGGAAGGGCGCGGAGACGCTATCTCAGGTGGATCCGTTCCTCGTAGAGGCGCTCGAGAATCCGCGCCACCGTCTTACCGGTATGTTGGTACTCTCCTCCTCGATTTCAGAATCCTTGGTTCTATCTTCAGCTCCGCTCAATTTACGGTGGCTCGTGTTGGGGCTATCTAGGGTTTTGATTTGGCGAAGGATTCTTGGAATTAGGGTAATGCTATACCGAGGGATTTCGCTTTGATTTGAATTCTTTGTTTTCTCGGCTTTGTTCTGCCGCCTCACTGCTTCCTTCTTGGGACTGGATTTCCCGGGGATTTGGCGACAAAGGCTTCGATTGGAATAATGAACTTTTTCGGTCGATTTATTATTCCATGTCTCCAGTTCTAATTGATTTACCGGGGCCTTTGTTTTCTTTCTGGATTTATCATCATAACAGTATTTTTATCCTATATTTATTTTTTCATTTCTTAGAATTATCTTCCATTTTGGGGTTGGGAATTTTCCCGTTTTCATTATGTGTATCTTTGACTTGATTATTCTTGTGAAGCGATAACCTTCTTTATATCAGGCCGGGGTTTTTCGTTCGATTGCTTCTCAGGAACATGAGATAGCGAATTATTTTCTCAAGGTATTTGAGATAATTTGGTCTATCTCGCATATAAAGCTTGCTGGCTTCGGTTCTATCAACAAAACATTATGCGTTTTCTCCTGATTCCTGTCTGCTCAAAGATCTTCATGCAAGGAAAAAAAGTCTTCCTACAGCCAGCATAATAACCATAATAATACTAATAATAATAATAATAATAATAATAATAATAATAGCTCGGTTTCTGGGTTTGAATTCCAGTAGGGAAGTAGGCAGACCATGTCTTACATACCTGGCTCAAGCTTTTTTTGGTTAAACGGTGCAGAATAAAAGGCGATTCTTACCATGATAACCATTATCGAATGATTTTCTGCAATTGGGTTTACCAGCTCCATTCCTCCGAAGGGGGAACAGGTACCTGGGAATCAGATAATCTCTGAATCATGTTTAGGGAATGTGTGCAATCTGTGAGTGTGGCGTTTCAGACAGAGATGAACAATGCGATGCCATCTGGGGTGGAGCGTTGAAATTGTTCTCACAAGCTCTCTAGTAGGTTAGAATGATCCCACTGGCTGGCTCGTTTCCCAAAGGCCTAGTTTGACAGAATCTGGGGAGAAGTGTTGACCGATCGTGGGTCCTCTCTGGATCCAGAGGATAGATCCTACCATGCGATTGCGGTGGTGCTAATCGTTGACTTGTCGTTCATCAGGCGGGCTCTTCACATCCAAGAAACCAAGTATGATTTTAGAACCGTTGACCAATTGTGGGTCAACGTCATCATGTTCCTCTGGACTCTGCTGTAACGTTTCGTGTTTTCTGCTGTCGTTTATTGCAGTCCTTCGCATGGAGATGGATGTTCAGAGGTTCCTGCAGAGCTCCGACCAGTACCAGTTCGAGTTCCAGCACTTCCCAAGCTCCTATCTCCGACGCGCCGCCCACCGCGTCGCCCAGCACTACGGCCTGCAAACGCTGGTCCTGGATGGCGCCGCTGCCGATGGCAAGGCGAGAATTCTGGCGGTGAAGACAGCGGAGAGCCGGAACCCCCCCATCTGCCTGTCGGACATACCGGCAAAGCCATCGGAGAACGGGAAGCCCGCCGAGAAGGTGAAGATCGTCATCCGCGCGAGGCCTGCTGGAGCTGCCATGGGCGGCGCAGCTGGGAACAAGAAGCAGCAGGATTTCTTGAAGACTGTGGAGGAGAGGGAGGAGGAGTATGACAAGGCTAGGGCTCGTATATTTAACGAATTCAACGCCGCCCCAGAGACGGCGGCGCCACCAGCGCCGGTGTTGGGAGGAGGAGGAGGAGGAGAGGTGGAAGCCAGCCGGAGGATTGTGGATGAGCCCGAGAGGAGCGGCGGCGTGAAGGACGGATCCGCCAGGGTGGCGGCCATCTTCAGGGACAGGGAGAAGGACCGCACCGACCCCGACTACGACAGAAGCTATGGCAGGTCCTGCGTAACTCGATGATTATCCCTTCTTTCAGAGCTTCTCCCGTCTAGTTCAGGTTTGGGTTTAATTTTTTCTGACTTGTGATTCGTCTTCTGGCATCGCAGGTATGCCAGGGGGCCGCCGACGAACCAGAGCTTCAACGTGGGTCTGTACCACGGCCTGCAGCCCTCTCACCACTCGCAGTACGAATTAGGGTTTCCTCAGCTGAGGCAGATGCAGAGCTACCAGCCCTCCGGCCATGTTTTGGGTTCCCATTTCTACGCTGCTGGCTGCAACCAGCCCTCCGGCGATGCCATCTACGTGCCGCCCTGCCCCAGCCCCACCATGATCTATGCTCACTCCTACGAGCATTTCAGGAGCACTGTCTTCCAGGTACCTCTCTCTCGCTCTCTCTCTCTCTCGCTGTACATACTCTTCCTCTCTCTGTGGGCATGATATGAAGATGGTTGTCTTCGCAGGGGCCGTTCTGTCAGCAGCCGTTGAGCTTCGAACAGCAACATTATCGCTGACTGCGGACGTCTGGTTGGGGGGGAAGGGGGCGGGAGGGTGGAGAATGTGTTTGGTACTGTTGGAACTGTTCTTTGGTAATGAACACCATCTACCAGCTAGAAAAAAAAAAGGGGGAAAAAAATAGAGTGAACTACGTTCTTATTTTCATGTTAAATTGATCTTGCGACGGTGGACTTGCGGAATAAATTCGTTCGAGTTCTTCCTGGTTGTGTTGAGAAAACCGCCATCTTCGATGGGTCGAGGTACTTGCGAGAAAGCCTGTGCCCTTAAAAGCCTGTGTCCTTAACATGGGCCCCTCTCTCACTCTCTCTTTCTCTCTGGTCTGTGGACGGACGTTGTATCAGAAGCGAGGAGCCCGGAAATGGAGGAAAGACGAGCGCTTGGTTGATCCCTAATTAGGAAATTCAATGAGACGACATGATCTTGGAGGAATGGAGAGAGTTGCAGGCTCTCGGAGAATACCATTTACAGGAAGAAAAGAGTTCAAGTGACTAGCTTTCCGATCCGCCGCAACGCAGTGGAGGAAGCATACATCGAAGGCGGCGACGATCCCCGGTGATTTCTGCTGGTGCTATTGATATCAACGGAGAAGCTGGTTCAGTCGTCGAAAACAGCATCCACAGATTTAGGGTTTGTCTAGGTCCTCCGGTATCGCTGCCACCAGCTCACCTCCAAATCCTTGGACTCCCCCAAATCCGCGCAGAACGATTCTTCCTCCTGGTTCGGTTGCCCAGTTCTGGAAATGGTAATTCTCCTTGTTCAATCGTCACTGGTGGGAAATAGGGTTAGGACGTTCCTTCTTCCTATCTCTGCTGCGTCTCCGCTTGAATCCGGGTCATTGGGGAAGAAACCAGCCGCCTCCGGCGGCGGCGCCACCATTCTCTGGAATCCGAGCTCGAATCCCCCACTCGGCGGCGAGCCCATGTGGACGATATGCCGGTGGTGGAAGAACTGGGCCTGCTGCTGCTGCTGCAAGGCGGGCGGCGGCGGCACGAAAGGGATGAACTGGTCCAGAACTCCGCCACCGACGGAGGCGGCGACGGCGGCGGCGGAGGAGGAGGAGATAGACTGCATCCGCTTGAGGTAGAGGCGGTACTTCTGGAGGTGACTGGCGACGTTCTCTCTGGTGAGGCCGTCGACGTTCATGAACTGCATTATGGTCTTGGGGACGGCGTTCTTGATGCCAAGATGGGCGACGGCCTCGACGAACCTCTTGTGGAGCTGAGGAGTCCACACCAGCCGCGGCCTCTTCACCGTGCGGGTGGCCGGGTCCTCCACACCGCCGGCGCCGCCGGTCTCCGGCGAGTCGTGGTCTCCACGGCGATCCTGGGGCCCCGGCGGCGGTAGGGCAGAGGAGGGAGGAAGAGGTTGAAGGGGGTCGCCGCCAGGGGGGATGATGTCGAAGGCGAGGGCCAGGTCGCGGGTGATTAGGGTTTGGGAGAGCGGCATCAGCTCCGCCGGCGCCGGCAGCTCCTCCTCCCATCTCTCGAACCAGTTGACCTCCTCCCTCATCTCCCCTCTCTCTCTCTCTCCCTCTCTCTGTGTGTCTCTGATCGCCCTATGGGAAGCTCTGATCCGCGCTCAGGTTCCTGGTTCTTCTGCAAGCACGGCCAAAGAAGCCCATCGGATGGACAGGGGAAGACGGGAAGTTAACTGGTGGAGCGGAGTGGAGGAAGATGCTGCTGGTCCAGGAGATGGGGGCCTTCGAGGTGGATTCCCTCTCTCTCTCTCTCTCTCTCTCTCTCTCTCTCTCTCTCCTGCAAGGCGCATATGTGCAGAGAAGGGTAGGCGAGTTATGGGCCATATGATATTTATTGAGGGCTACGACCGAGCTGAGGGCGTGACTAAAATAAACTCCTCACTCTCTCTCTCTCCTCTCTTTCTCTCTCTATCGTGTTGCCCGCTTTCAGGCTGGTTTCGAGGGGCGGTGGGGGCCCCCAACTCCCACCGTACCGAGTCAGCCGGTGTCGTTTACTGACCCGCCGGGTCCCGCAGGCCGGCAAGGGGACAGATCGGACTCGGGCGGGTCGGATCGGCGTTTCTTTGGGGGGTGGGGGGGCGATCCGAGGAGATGTCGGAATTACCATGCCGTCCCCTGCCTGTGTTTGTTTGTCGAAAGGCCCCCCCCTAGGGGGAGAAAGTCAGGTGTTCATTCGTGGGAATCCCAACGTCAGGAAGTGTACTTATGCCCCTAGCCGTGTCCTCTCCAACAGAAGTAATAAAGTCGGGATCTCCCCACGCCTCAACCCCCTCAAGTGGATATACTGAAAGGAGATAAGCACCAGAGCCCCTCTCTCTCTCTCTCTCTCTGTCTCTCTCTCTGTCTCTCTCTCTGTCTCTCTCTCTGTCTCTCATTGGCAGAGACCCACGTGACGGCAGCGAGTTCAATGGAGAATCTGTCTCCTGTTGACCTTTTTCTCTAGTAGAAGCTTGATGCTTTGGGCTTTGGTCAGTTGACCTTCAAAGTGGTAAATCTTCTCCCCCTCTCTCTCTAGTTAGGCCAAGAGGATCTGGTGCCCGGGAAGTGGCGTTACCGCCCTTCCCTCGGACACTAGTCAACAGTAAAGGGGCGTTTTTTCGTCTTAGATTCGAGATTCTTTGGCCATTTTTTGAACATGGTGAAGCTTTTCGCACTCGACTGGGTGCCCTCCGGAGTGCCACCAGAAACAAAGGATGGGCATCAGCCGCCGAATTGTGATCCAACGGCTGAGGATGGATATAAGTCCAATCAATGGATGTAAAGAGCCTGATCCGATTGGCACAAGCCGATCTGTCAATGGTCGAATCAGATCGACGGGCCTGATCAGATTCAGTGATCTGATCGGCCCGAGAACCAATCCTGATCGTCCGATCCACGCTTATGAGGACGCGGAAGTGGGGTGAGGGACCGTTCAATGGGCCCACCCCGATATTTTTTTACCAATAATTTATGGTTCCCGAGAGGAACGTCTTATCCTCGGACAAGGCCAAGGGAAACTTGCCACCAATGGATCCCCCTTCGTTGGGACTTTCGCGATAATTTCCATGGGAGGTGGTGGGTCCCACATGTCGGCCTTATCTACGACACGTGGCCCGATCCACTGCAACTAAATGAGGAAACAAAAGACCCATTGGATCTCATCTTCCGTCTTCAGTTCATCGAAAGCCTAGTCCTACGCATGAGAAACAGAGGATTAATAACAGAGTTCGAGAAGGGAAGTACCTCGGGGTGCTAGATTTCATCGCACCAGAAGACCATAGACTGACGCGGCACGATTGACTTTCTGGTGCACGTTGACTTTCCGTGCAGAAAACTATGCACCCATAATATGATGAAGCACAGGAAGAATCTGGGTCAACCCAAGGTCTTCAAAAAAGAAGTCAGAGCAGCAGTTCCAGGCAGTTTCAGGGATGAAGAAGAATATGAACGCAGAGAACCCAGCAAGGGAGATGAACCAGGAGCAGGTAGAGATAAGTGGCGCTGTTCCAGGCCCAGAGGGCCTCCATCCAATCCCAGAAGGACCCAATGCCGAACTCTCCAGACCCATCTAGCAGAATCTTGGTGACCAATGAAGCCGCAGGAGGGAAGCTGATGACTGTCAGGAGAACATTGCAGGCTGAGAGCAGCAGAGCTCTGCTCTGTCTCAGAGGGCGCACCATGAGGCACAGGGGGACCAGGAGGACGGCCCCAATCTGAGCCGTAGAGAAGTTGATGATCGACATGAGGCTCAATCCGACGGCGGCGGCTGAGATCATCACAGCTTTCAGAGAAACCCATCCGCTGGGAGGGGTGTGGTTTGAGCCCCAGAGGTGTTTCAAGGTGAGGAGAGAGAAGATGGAGAGGGAAACCCACGTTAAGGCTCTGCGGTCTGAGGTCAGAATTGGAAGACGGTAGATGAGGTATGGGAGCAGTGAAACTATGGCTGCCCACAAGTGGACCAAGAACACAGCTCTTGCTGCGTGAAGCCACCTCCATCTATGGTCCTTGGTGGCTGTAAGATGGGTGGAATCAGCGGGGTGGGTCTCCTGGTCTTCAGAGAAGAGGGCGGCGGCGGCTATTGGGAAGGGGGCAACCAGGAGGGCAAAGGCGATCATATACACCCCAACTGAGACAAATCTGTTGGGAGAGGTCAGAAGGTAAAGGAAAAACGACTGGTGAAACTTCTCCAGAAGATTATTCACCGAGCGTATCACTCCTTCAATCAGCCTGCGTTTAAAAGCCAGAAAAGCTTTCATGTTCTGATCAGCAAGATATAAGAAGAAAAGGAGATAGATATATAGATCAGGTAAGTGTTCATCACAGCTAGTGTTCAGGAATATAACTGTTTTGATCAGAAAAATGCTGTGATTCGAATATCTGGGAGCTATTTCAGGAATATAGAAATTATTTTCTGCTTTGGGAAACACAAGTACATAGATATACATTGGATATAGAAAAAAGGAAGAAGCGGATCGCATTCACCTGCCACCCTTCAGAAGTATTGCAGAGCGTCCGAAGTCAAAATCTAGGGAGTTTCTGGGGGACACTTCAAGGGCAATTGCGTCGATCTGGTAGTCACGGAAGGCGCCATGCGAACCAGTGGGCACACCGAGTGCCTGCCACCAGAGAGGGAATCAATGAGGGATGCCAGATGGAGCGAAATCAGACGTCAAAGTGGGAAACATTCCATAAGTGTCTACCTGGGAATAGATCGAGCTCGCGAGTGTTGCAGTGCCCTTGACATAGTCAGAAGCTGGAACACCAAAAGCCCACTGGGGATTGAAGCTCCCAGCGAACCTGCTTAACCATTCCAGGGTCTCACCGACTGCCTTCAAGAATGTCGACCCATGGAGTGAAGAAAACGTGCCAATCTTCACGTGGAGAGCTTGTCTATGAACTGCTAAGAGATGAACAATATTGATGAGGTCAAGGTTCGGCATCTGCCCATTGGATGCCTCTGCGCGTATGGTGAGGCTATCCATCTCGCTTCCATCTTCTTTATCCTTGACCCGAAGAACAAGAGCAGCGGCCATTGTTCCAGCACGCCTAAAGCTGCTGAAATCCTTTTCAGCACATGCGCCAGTGTTGAAAAATATAGGATTGTGATAGTCTCTCAGCCAGGTGGAAACCGAGTTATATTCTCCATGGCGTGTATCTGCAGCCAGCCAGATGATATCCTTGGCCAGCCATGTCACTCGACTTAGGAGAGAAAAAATAGAGAAAGCAAGGCCAAGTGTCGTGGCTTCGCTCAACTCGATCTCATCCGAATTGTAGGGGGTGACTAAGACAATGGATTCTTTTCCATCTCCCCGGGGAGCTCGTATGATGCCCACACAGCTGATGCCCACTGCAGTGCAGCTGCCATTGTCTCGGGATGAATCTCTCTCAGGGTCAGAAAAGAAATGCAATGGATGAAACTGATGATTCTGAGGATAGGTCTTGTGGAAATAAACTTCAGCACCCACAGCCGCCATATTATCTGCTATCAGTCTTATAATCTCCCTGCGTTTCATAAAGATTCACAATGAAGCAAAAGCAGTTGAAAAAATCACAGTGGGAAAAAAAATCTTGAAATAAATAATCTGACAAAGGAATTAAAAAAATAAATCCCCACTTGTCTTCATACTCCAAATTTTCTATTATTTCCCGTGATGTTTAGTTTATTCCCTAAAGCTTTCTCAAGGGAAAAAAAACACACTAATCTCGAGCGTTCTGAGATGTAAAGAAGAAATATCCACCAGGTTTGAGTAGATTCTATAAGAAATGGCCAGTGGCTTCATTTAAGAATATAACGGTTCAAGGAATTGCCAAGGCCATCAAGCGTCAACAAGTGTTAGAAAAAGTTGACCTTAAAGAAGATTAAAAGGACAAAAAATTGAGGCTATGGAAGTCAACAGGAAAGTCAAGTCATTTTCTTCGAATCTGTGATGTTGGATGTGGAGTCGACTGGAGTATATATCAACCTAGAAAATAGCTTCCCTCGTAAAACTTAAAACCCTGGAAGAGCGGGGGGATGATGGATGGTCTCATGTTTTAGAAGTCGGTTTCTAATCCAAATGCCCAGAGATAATTTCTTTCATCGTTCAAATTAGGAGAACATTGATCACCCCTTTCAAGAATTTCGTGTAGGAAGCTATTTATTACTCAGCCAAGACAACATTCAGACAGTCTCAGACATGGTCATGATCTCCTCCAGACTGGAATTGATATTCTCTCTGAGAAGTGGCACCCTGGTGGAAGTTCTATTATTGGTGGGGTATTTGGTGGGGAGAGGAATATCAGAAGATTCCTAAACAAAAATAAAATAAAAATTCACAGTCTACCATTGACGGGGCTATCAGTTCCAGTTATCACGGGAAAACAATCACGGAAAAATTTGTAATGCTACTTCCATTCACGGATTAAAATTTCTTTCTTTTACTTGTGAATTGGCATCTATTTCATGTTATGCTATGATATGATGTCTTAAACACTACCTCACTGATTAAAAAAATTGATGCGCAATGAAAAATAGTTACCAATCCGAGTTAAACCATTGAAAACATAATTAGAAGAGAACAACATACAATCTATTTTTTGCAACGGATCTGTTGCCAACGATATCTTTGACCAGTCTGTTTGCTAGCTCTGTATCTTGAACAGAAAACATGGGATCGGCAGAACCTATGAAAGATAACTCCCTTAGTCAGAAATTTGGCTAAAAACTGACAGCCTACAATGGCGCTGACAGAAAGTTTCATAGTAAGGAAAATAAATTATCCTCATTCAGAACTCACTACAGAAAATGAAAAATGAGTAACTAATTACATCACAAGAGAGCAAAGTTGAAGAAACACATGGTCAGTTCTTTCCATGACCAATTGGCTCGATTTATTATGAAGTGGTACTATTTTCTCAAATAATTTGCAGATGAGATGCCATCATATGATATTTTTGTTCAAGCTGGTGCTTCTTCTGGTACCTTTTTTGACTTCTCTAGGGCTTTCTTTAGATTTAATCCAGCATTTTCCACTCCAAGATTACCACTTCTCTCCTGATTGTTTCAGTTCTACAAGAGCAGCGAGCTACACAAGGGAAAATTGTTCAGCTAACCCATGCTTGGAGACCTCCGGTTACCAAAGTTCCAATAAGCTATATTGTTGGAGCTTCTTGCAACAACTGGGGTATTGGGTGTACCGAAAAAACAACATTTAGCTTCATCATTACGGTACACCTATGTTCAATTTGTTAATTAAATATAGTTTTAAGTGGTCGTCAGGTATTAATAGATTGTGTAGTGATGTCTGGCTAGATGAGACAAAAATCTCCACAGGCATAGTTTGCTACCTTAAATCACTAAAGGCGAGCGTGCACTACATCACTTTCGCTTGAAACATTATTTAAAATAAAATGATATAGTTAACACAAACGTGAGATACAACACGTGACATTTGGTGTATCAAAATACCATTGTATGACATATATAACGTGGTATCTCTAAAACTATCAGTTATGGCACAGCAGATGTGTTTTCTCAGTTCCTGATGGAAATATTACACAAATTAAACAAATCTGGAAAACCTACTTTTTGTGCTCTAGTTGGCAAACTTCAGAAAAAGATCCAAATATGATATCCAACTCAAAATGCGGATAAGATGTAGGGTAATCAGATCTGGTAAGCTTATTGTTTGTACCCTATGGCTCCTAGATCCCACAAAATCATGAAAATGAATGAACAAAATTTTACAACTACGCTTCAAAACTTGCATCCATATCTGCCAATAATGATCAGATAGAGTCATGATTCCAATGATAATTGATGTCCTCACGAGTTAAATTTCCCATAATACCTGACATGATTTCAGAACTCTCAAGCTTATAATTTTTAACGAGAGTTGCAAAATGTTGACAAATGGAAAAAAAATTAATTCCACAACATACCTCAAAGAGGGAGAAAAAAAAACATAAAAATCAATTTTTCCGGCCACACGTACTGACTGGCAGTCGATGGATGACCTATTAGACGGATAAATTTATTTTAAGGTAAACTAAAATTTTTGATTAAAAAATGAACGGCTACTAATGTCGAAACAAGAGGGTTTTCACAACGGGAATAATCATGGAAGCCCAGATAAATCCACCAACAAAATCACATGGGAACTGAGCATTTAAAACAGAAGAAGAAAGTTATAAAAGAAAAGGTTCATTAAAGAAAAGAAGTGCACCTGGCATGAGAGCATTCTCTGAGATGTATGTGTTTTTTGCCAGAATGGGAAGGAGTAATAAAGTGGCATACCCTGCAGAGCAGCAGAGAATGCTATCCGAGCAAAAGGATATTCGTTTTGAGTACGACAGCAGAAGCAGAAGAAAGAACGGTAAACGCAGTGAGAACTGCAGGATTACAGGGCCATACCTGACTAAAACACAGTGAGAGACAAGGAACCTCCCAAGATGCATAATAAGTCGCACCTTCTTCGGCTTGGACTTCTCATCTTTCCCCATGTTTATCTGGGATGGATGATGCAATAAGAGAATCTTTTTTTCTCCACTATATATGGATGGAAATTGAATTAAATTGAGGCAATCGAAGAAGCTTCACTATGTCGTCTCATGAAAGAGTAAAGTTTCACTTTTATACCCTCAAAACAGTAAAGAAAAAGAAACTTAAGTTGGGCCAGAGTTCCTACCTCAACAAAAAGAGGTCATGTGTTGAGTGGTCTCAGGCGCTCTCTACCTCGTTGTTTATGAGACACAAATTGGGGTTATCCACAGCACCTGAAAGAGGGAAATAATAAGTCAACAATGCTTTCCTTACAAATAACTTTTACTAAATCATGAAAATTCAGTCATATGCGACTAGAAATAGAACTGGGATTCTTCCTGCACAGCTGAGCCACATAAATGATAATTGACCAGGATATGAAGACACACTGGTCTACTAGCGAGCGCGAGAAGATTTTCAATCACACACATGCACAAAATATCGACTGGTAACTTCTGGTTTTCCTACGCTATAAGCTACATTGCCATGTGTTGTTTCTCGAGCTTGTGACTGAGTTCGTCTAGCACGTACAATAAGGAAAGTATAATATTTGATTGTAATTATGGGCTGGTCTAGTAGTCATCTTGGTTTCGTGCAGGCATTCGTGTAGGTGATCCATTGGCATGGAAAAACGTTTTGACGGATCATATAGCCTATTTTTTAAGGAGTAAGAATTCTCCAGAGATTATCAACATCCTAGGCCATTTACATGTCTTTTCTACGTTCATCTGGTACATGTCGTATTTTAATACGCAAAGTATTTAATGATTTGATACCAGCTTAAAAGAAAACCGGAGCTTCCTAACATTCTAGACAGGATTAAGGATGTTCTTTTCTTAATTATGTACTCTTCAATTTTTTCCACTCAGAAACGAAATTTCTTCTCGTCTGAAAATGCTCATCGGGTTTGCCTAGATGGCTACCTTATCAGGTTTGCTTAGAGACACATCAGATTCAAAACTTCTTAGACACCATTAGAAGCGTTGAGTTACATCTGACTCTTCGTTAGCATCTACAGCAGACTACCTATGCGATTATGAAAATGTACCTGATGGCGTCACAGAGATATTCCGCACAACATTTTTCCATGGTTCATGAGCATGGAATCTTTTATCAAAGCATGGAATTCTAGCCTGAATAGAATGTGGAATTTTTATCAAAGCAGAGTCAGATGTAACTCATCACCTCTACTGGTGTCTAAGAAGGTTTGATCTGATCTGATTCCGTACAGCAGTAAATTGCTTGCTACACAATATCGATATTTTAGAAGAAAGTAAGTGATATTACACTTGCAGTTTTCACTTTCCTTCCCCTGCTTGCCCTCAAACACCTACCTTCACAGGAATTTCCTATCTTACAAGACCAAGAAACCTACCAAGTGGATAAACTAGATTAAAGGGCTAAGACTAATATAAATGAGATTATCAAGCATGGATGCTTTTGAAAGCTCCCTCTATTTCTCATGGCATCTGCCTCTTTCAATACGGTTTTCCTTATTTATTTATTTCAACTTTTCTTTTTTGTGAACAAGCTTAATTCATATTTTCCCGCTTTTAAAAAACATTTTGCAAATGAGCTATTTTAAAAGACAATTCCATCGCTTGAAACAACAAGACTTCCACATCGTACTTTCCCATTCCCTTCACTTACCAGGCATCCTGTCTCATCACCCTTCTTCAAAGACTACTCGACACGGCATAGCCAACCTCTCACCTTACCCCCACCTCTGTAATCACTGCGAAAAATGGGGTTAATTCACTAGAGACCACTGGAATTATAGTAATTCATACTATGATGGACCGAAAAGAAAAAAAAAACTGTGGTTGACTCTTTTCAAATCTCACTATTTCCACAGATGGGGAGGTGAGTGACACTTAAATTAATGTCCTACTCGAGGAAGGAAAAATAGAGATCTAGTGACAAAGAAGACTCCATGGCACAGTGAGAGCAACCAGAGATCGGGCCGTAAACTAAAATTCACGACAGATTACATGTAGCACAGAGTTGTCAACAACGGCAGCACGGGGGATCCTCCTCCACAACTAGAATGAATAGATTTAAAATACCGGCCGAAATGAGCGACCTGTAACCCCGCAGTAGCCCTGACAACACCTAAATCGCCACCTGAACCAATCCTTGTGGACCATTGCTAGCCAAATGGCTGCAGGAAGACGAGACCGATGGAGGAAACACACCAAATACCTGGAGCCGCCGCGCCGATAGTCGCCGCTCACCGCCGACAAATTCCCGACTTGGGCTCTCCGCCCGTCCACGCCCTCCGCCTCCGCGCAGGGTTTCCGTTGATGAAACCGTCTCGATGAAGCCTTTCGTTCTCTTCACTCCCAAAAGTAGAGGAGTCTAAATTTAATTTATATCAATTATTGATCTTTTATAATTATAATTATATCCTTTTATTAAATTTCTTCCCTCTTAACAATTCTCTTATCAGATCTACAAAGGAGTAAGTAAATATACTATACGTAAATATACCAGCCCTTTGGCGGCCTCATAAATTTATTGATCTCAAAAAAAAAAAAACCTTGCTAAATTTTTTGACACCATTTTCTTTTATTTACACGTGGCAAAGTTTCATGGAATCATTTGTAATACTATCCTTAGTCCTCATTTCTAAAAATTCAGTCGGCACTGCCTGTCTCCTAATTTACGACATTTCTTAGGGGCTTAATAGTAAATCACCGGGAAATAAGTATCATTTTGGTGGACGTCGTCACGTTAAAAAATGGCTAAGTTTATTGACACCATTTTTTTATTTACGTAGCTAACAGTTCATGGAATCATTTTTAATAATATCCTTGGTGTCCTCATTTCTAAAAGTTCAGCCGGCACTGCCCTGTTTCCTAATTTGCGACATTTCTCAGGGGCTTAAAAGTAAATCACCGGAAAATAATAATCGTTTGGTAGCTAAAGGACCCTAAAAAAACAATAATTGGAGTTCCTTGCAAAGTTAAATCAGCGGAAAATAGCCATTATTTTGTTAGCTGAAGACCAAAAAAAACAAGAAAAAATACTTGGACTTTCTTGCAATCTTTGACTGAGAGTGTCTTTCTCATACTATTTCTTGGAGGCTATTTATACACACCATAAGCTGTACTCATTTCAGGTCTCGGAGGGAATTTCGCGCGGGAATGCTCACAGCTCTCTCTCTCTCTCTCTCTCTCTCTCTCTCTAGAACAGACAAGCAGCAGAAAGAATGGCGATCGTCTGGCAGACCTCGACTCGTGAGGACAGAGTAAGAACACCAAAAATTATCTTCTCCCCCTCCCCACATCCCTTTGTCCTAGGTTGATCATCAATCTGATGAAATCGTCAGGCTAGATAGATATAGACTCCTCAAGTCCGATCCTGAGGAAGGTGAAGGCGGATCTGGATCTGGCTGGAGTTCAAGTGGACGATGGAGTCTCCTCCTCCCCCTTGGATTCCTCGAGCAGTCGCGAGGCTGGACGATGCAGCGCGACGGAGCAGAACTCAGGGCTGGAATATTTCTTGTATACCACCTTCAGTTTGCTCTCCGTCGCCGACGAGTGGAATCCGACCAGGAGCTTCGCGCAATCCCTGGACCACAGCAAAAATTGAATTAGGTGTGAACAGATCATGCCGTTCGGAGAGGATTGGTGGTGTGGTGTGTGTCCGTACATGAGCTGTTGTTCGGAGAAGCCGGTGTGCCGCTCGAGCGTCTCGTTCCAGAGGGGATTCCTGTTGAGGGTGCACCGCGCGGCGTAGACGGCGGAGGCGGCAACCATGGATGGACAGTAGGAGACTATCGAGTACTGCATCAGACCTAATTCCGCGAAGAAGAAGACCATGTGCTCCAGCTGGAAGAGGAGCCAGTTCAGAGGAGGGAGGCGATCGCATCGGAGGACTTTTTAGGGTAAACTAGGATAGTTAGTTAATTTACCTCTTGGTCGGATATGGCGGCCTTCAGGAAACGGACGAGGAATACATACGGGGTGGGGACGGTCAGATTCCACTCGAGCTTATCCAGTATCCCCTTCTCCTTCGCCAGGATTTGATCTCTGCTATACGCCCTGTCTGATATGCAGATGAAGTCGTTGACCTGCCATACCAGATTCATCATCCTTTAGATGCGCGATGCCATAATTGAAGGGGATTTTATTTCTGTGAAACCAGGCTAACCTCTGGAGCCCAGATTTCTTCGTATTTGCAGGCGATGAGCATGGCCGTGACGCCGACGAGCTGAAGCTCCCTCCTGAGGACCGTCTCAACGGAGAGGTACCGATCGATGATGTAGAAAGCGAGGTAGAGAGTCTCCGGCATGAGCTCAAATCGCTCATGCACTTCGATCAGCCAGTCGGCGAGGATCGCCCTCATCTTCGTGTTGATCTCGGTTTGTGAATCCATGTAGTCTCCAGGACGACGGCAGTTCTGCGAATCGGACCAGAAAAGTGAGTCACAAACAGACTTGTGACAGCAAGAGATCAAATCAAACAGAGGAAGAAGAAGGCTTGCTCACCTCGGAGATCTTGTAAAACTTGTAGATATCCTCGACATAATCGGCGACCGCAAGCTGATCACCGAGATCTGCGGCATCAATGTCATGAGCAGGCTCCGTAGGCTTTTCAGATATTCCACAAGCAGCCTGCCACAGGAGGAAGACCCAAAAGATATGAGAAGAGGAAGAGAAGATGAAGGAAAATAGTGGAACGAGATGAAGAGTACGCCATCTTCACACCTTGCTTCTAGCAGTGAGAACTGAGGTGAGAGTGTGCACTTTCTTCTTCGAATGGGTCGAACCCTTCTTCTTGCCGGTATCAGGACTAATCTCTATCACCGTCTCGGGCTTCGGCTTCGCGGCAGCAGCCCTCGGTTTCGCAGGCCTTGCAACACCCCTCCCGGCGCCGGCGGCATCCAGTTTCACATGTTTCTGCAGTCAACTGGGATCAGACTCGGGGGGAAGTTAAAGTCAACTGGGCATGACCCGGTGGAATATCCTCACCTTGGCGGCTGCGGCGGAAGGATCCACGCCTGTTTGGGTAGTGCGGAGGAGTTGGGCTCCGAAGCTCCTTGTCACGGGGCGGGAGATCTGAGGCGGCGGCTTCCTGGAGAATGGGAAATCATTTGTCAAGATACGGAGGGAGAAGAAACGATCAGAGATGGTGAAGAAAACCTGAACAGGTTAGGTTTAGCATAATACCCTTCTGCAGGTCGGGGATTGGCGTGAACCAGGTTGCCGATGTCTCCCAGCGCGCGCCGGTTGTTCCCCTCGGCGGCCTTCTGCTGCTTCATTCCTCCTCCTCCGCCGCCACCTAAAAGTTTCAGGAAAATAGCATTTACTCACACTAACTTGTGAAGAGAATCTGTTCAGAAAATCGCCCAAGAAGGAATCCAGGAAGAGGAAGAGGAAGATCACCGAGGAAGGGAAGGTATTCAAGAATCCGATGTACGTACCTCTCTGCTGCTGGGGTGCCGGGACTTGATGGTGATGCCTCGTTGCCATCGTCACTCCTGGTTCTTCTTCCACTTGCTGTTCTTGCTGGTTCTGGTTCTGGTTCTGGTTCTGGTTCTGCCCGAAGAGCGATGAGAAAACCGACGACAGGAACAGATGGAGACGGCCTGCACCTGCCTCCCCTTCCACGTTCCCGCCCGCCACACTGTCGTTTCGAGGGTTCCTTCTCTTTCTGTCTCTCTCTCTTTTCTACCTTCTCTCGGTCGTCTGTGGGCCTGTGAAAGTCTGCTGTTAAATAAAAGAAGTTAGGGCGATGAGGAAGGGAAGGTGCGCGGACGAGGAAGAGGGTGGTGGTTCTCCTCTTCCGGGAGGCGACGCGTCCCAACGGTCGAATAGTTTTTAAAAATGCAACGGTCCGATCTAGGAATCGGACGGCCGTGGGAGCCAGCCCAGAATTAGTAGCCGTTGCAGACCCACCGGCTAAAGGGAGTGAGAGAGAGGGACAGAGCGAGCGTGGTCAAATTACCGTCAACAGTCGTTCATATCGCGACTTATCGCGGACAATTAATAAAACCAACCGCAGGCAGAGTTCCCTCCTTCTTCCCATCCCCAACGGTAACCCTGCACATCCATCCACGTGGCGGTGCAATGCCCGCAACGTCGCCCTTCCACGATTGAAATGGAAACTTAGTTCGCGTAGTCCAGGAGCTGCCTATCCGGCGAGCTGTGGGGCCCGCCGGAATCGGAATCCGAATCGGAATCGGATCCTCTTAATGGATAATCCGAGCCATCTCATCCGGACTCAGCACGGCCCCACTCGTCCGACTTCCTAGTAGGGCTCCGCCCTACTCTGTCGGGGACGATTAACTCAGAACTGCTCCAGAAAAGCTTCAAGGGTTTCGTAAATTGCTCGTACCCAACTTAGGAAAGCCCGCAAAAATCTAGTGCGACCCGGGGCCCCCCCGCATCGATCTTAATCGACATTCCCCAAAAAAGAAGAGGGGAAAAATAACCCAGACCAACTCAGCGCAGGCTTGCTCTAGAGCCGAGTAGGCCCCACACACAGACCCACGTTGGCCGTAGGAGAAACGCCGACAAGTCAAGGCAAAGTCTTCAATCAAGTCAATCGGTCGACATTAAAAACGGAGAGGCATTACATTCCCAGCATTAAAAAAAGAAAAAGAAAAAAAGCCATCAAACACATCAAGAGCCACAAGAGAAGCGAGAGCTCGAGAGCTTGTTGGAAAGGCAAAAGCACCGTTGGCAAATAAAAAGGAATGCCCCGGCGAGCCTCCGAGCCATTGAAAAACCACGCTACTTACAAGGTAACTTAATCTTCTCGGGAGATCAGCGCCCGGTCGCGGCCACTGGCTGGTCCCCACCGGAGTTGGGCCCCACAAGAGACACCTAGGAGGACCACGAACCCCGGTCAACCTCGTGCATCATCGTACACAAAGAAAAACCGATTATATATGTATATATCTGTGTAATTCTTTAAGAAATTACGTTGGAAAAATTAATTAATTAATTAATTAATTGGGAATAAAATGGGAATCTGAGAGTACTGGCAGTAAAGGTGTATGAAAAATGCACGCATACTTACATTGCAGTCGAATGCGAATCTACGGGCGAGCATGATGGCCGCATTCCGTTCCCTTTCGGACTCGAATGCCAACGTGAACGACGGCCCTTTCCTTGCTTGCCAGAACAAAGATCGGGCGGCGGCATTTCCACCGCCCCGGACGCCACAGAGCTAAGGAATCAGAGAGAGAGAGAGAGTCGGCCGGTTAGAACACGAAGAACGAATAATCATAATAAGGATGATGATGAAGTTTATTATTATATGCGTAGATAAAAATTAGTCTGCTGAATGAGAAATGAAAGTTATAGAATTAACCACTAGGGCATGCTATTTGGAAACTCTTCTCCAAATAGTTGAAGCAACTCCTGCCCTCATGGGTATGGAAAAAAAGAAGGTATTTCCTCGAGAGGGAAATTTTTGGTAGGGAAATCCTTCAATAGTTTGGGAAAATGATAAGAGAATGGGAGAGAACTGGACCTGCATGGCGGCGGAATATGGTTCTTTGGCTATGGAAGACCTTCCCTTTCGGAGCTTGATCCTCATCTTCCCAACGTGGAACACGTGAACAGAGGATGACGGGTTGTCCCCCCCATTCGTCTGAAGAACCACCACCTGCATGAACAAAAGAAAGCATTGACTCATGAGTATGAAGATCATCTCTCTCTCTCTCTCTCTCATGAGTATGAACAAGGAGACAACATTGACTCTCTCTCATGAGCATCCATATGGCAAGCGCTCCCACTCTCTCTCGCTCTCCTCTCCCTCTCTAAAGTTGGTAGGCATAAAGAGGATAGGACCTACTTTTTGGGCTTTTCTGTGGGTCGAAATCAGGCCCATCTCAATTAAAAATGTGGGGGGCATGGAAGGGCTGAAGCCTGAACGACCAATTGACACCCCCCCAACTCCCCCTAACAGCAAGTCAATCAAGCGAAATTAACCAATCAGAGAAGGAAAATGCCTGACATCGACTTCAAACACATAAATACCCAGAAAGACTGAGAAACAGGAGAAGACAAGCTTTGAAAGCATGAAACCAGAACCATTGCGGGAACCATCAGCAATGTAAAAACAGAAGTCCAAGGCAGGAAAGCGCTTACATGGAACTCGGTGTCATTCTTCTTAACAAGCGCCTCGACATAACTCCCCAAGCCTGGAGCTGTTCGACATTGTTGAGAGAGAAAATAATTCAGATGAAGATCATGCACGTACATCTTATATCATCTAAATATTACGTCGAACTGAACGAAGAACACAGCATCACTCTAGAGATGATACGGCACTGCAAATCGATGTTAAGTCAAAAAGAAAACGCAGATCGTAAACATGTCTACGCTCAAGACCAGGCCCTGCTTTGAGCTACACCAAAACGTTCCCGGATTCCAGCTTGCCAAGGGTTGACATAGGAGTATGCTTGAAGGTCAATGCATAGACACTCCAGTCTGTTCTACTCTTGACAGATCCTCCAACGTTAGAATTTCATTCAAAATGTTTATGACGGAAGCTCTAAATGAAACAAGGTTCAAAAAATCTCTAGTGTCTAATCACTGTTATAATGAGGGCAGAAGAAAACCACTCCTGTCGAGAAGTACCAAGTTCAAATGAAAAGGCTTGATACCATGCCAATGATGGTCCGTATTTGCGAGCAAATCAAGGAAGAAATGGAACCTCATTAGCCGGCATGTTGTTTACAAGTCACACAAAATAGTGAAATGTAGGGAATGACAGAGGGAGAGAGAGAGAGAGAGAGGCAGACCAGGCTCTACTGGTCCAGTTGTTCTCAGGGTAAACTTTTGGTCTTCCACAACGACTTCAGCCTGCAAAAATCGCCCGACATCACAAGGATCTGGTGCATAAGCTGGTTTTGTGGCTCCTGAGGAAGAAAAACGAAGAATAAGAAACCAGCAGGCCAAGGATCTAATATGCGATCAATTAGACTGGATATAGAATACATCCCCAAGCTTAATCAGATCTAATATGCGATCAAATATGCATGGATTACACGAGCACAACGACTATGGCATACTTTTGTTCACGCAGTTGCTGAAATGATTCACCGGTTGGGTTATCCTTCCCCACCCATCTTAAAACCAGAAATCCGTGCATATACATATACAGAGGGAACTAAAAAACTTAAAGTAGCTTCTGCAATGAAGCCAGCAATCTGAGAGTACTTGGGAAAGTAGGCATTTACCATAGTTTCCAGGTTGAATTGTTTCTAGGAAAATGTATAACCCAATCCTATTGAGGCACAACCTGGCATCACCAAGCATCAGTCTGCCAAAAGCCAAGATCATCCATTTCTGGGGTAATTGTCCGGTATTCAAAAGTTAGTACAGATGCATTTGCCATCGACAATTTCTAAGCTTAACAATTTCTTCAGAATGCCATTTTAACAACGAATTACCACCTATGCCCTTATCCATAATGTCTGCTAGAGCAAACAGCTCATTCAACTCAGAACCAAATGACAATGATTGGAGAATACATAATTATATTCACGGGTTTCTTTCTATAATAACCAACACGAACATTTTTAATGCGCCCACTCACATGTAAGCTGACATTCAGCAACCATAGGCTCTGGTATCATGCTAGAGTAGTAAAGCCATCCAACTCAAAATCGTTTGGCAATAGTTGGACAGGGCACGTCTTCCTAACCGTAGGTTCTGTTTCTATAATGACTAGTACGGGACTATTCCTAAAACAACCCCCTTCTTCCCTCTAAATCTAGCCCTAACTAGATCGATACAACTTGTCACAAGTCGTATTCCAGTAACCCATGCTATAAAGAATGAGTCACGGACAAAAGAAATCGCCAATTAGCCCACTTTGTCCCCCCAATACAGTAATTGAGTCGAATTCGTGTGAGGATCAGGAACCTTTCCAAGCACACACACACACACTAGGCAGTACCCTAAACAGAGATGGATATGAAATTCATTCTTACCATAGATCAGCTCTTTCTTGCCATCATCAGCTGGCACACGGAACCACTGAACAGAGAAACTTGATATATCTGGAGCAGCAGGTGAATGCGAAACTATCCGTAGGCAAGAACCCAATCTTTCAAAACCATCCAAGTCATACAAGGACTTGTTCTCCTCAAGCTTTTTTACCATTGCAAGCTGGAGACAGCAGAAAAGGAAAAGATTCAAACAATAACCATAGTAGAGAAAAGAAATATAACTAAAAACAAGCATGAACCACAGTTCTACGAATCATGCATATGACCACTCCGATTTCATACATTTTTTGATTGTACAGCACAATTTATTTTACCCATCCAATTCCCAAATGCCATTTTTTTGAACTCAAAACAAACATTTCGCTCATGTTATGGCCACACTGACTCCGTCCAGTAAATAGAAATAACAACAACCTAGAAAAGGGAAACAGGACAAAGTAAACTATGCAGATATTCTAGAGATACTTTGCACAGTGAACAATTCACGTCATACAAAATCAATATGATGTAAAAACCACCTCCTTTCGAAGCTGAATGGTATACAGCGACTTATCGGCAAGCTGCATTCGCAGAGCCTGTAGTTCATGTTCCATGTCCATAACCTAAACAATCATTTGCCATTAGTGATAAGAAAACAAGAGCACACAAGACTCAGAATAAATGCAGCGTACTATGACAAATAAGATTTCTAAACTAGTCAAACTTATAAAATCATAGTTTGAGAAAAAGAAAGGCACAGATGCTAATTGAAAACCGAAGAATACAATGAATTTCGAAATACCTTGCTTGGTTGATGCAGCATTTTAATCCTTCTTGCCTCTTGAACTTCTTTCATCAGTTCTTCCACATCCTTAAGAGCATAAACGTAAGACACGAATTAGCCAAAAGTAGAATGTAAGGCAGAGTTGAAGCAAAAAAATATATGGCAGGATTATTGACATAAAACATATTTCATGATGTCCGTTTCACCCGGCACGTACAAAAGACACTTGAGGTTTGGTAGACTCTTAAGAATTATAAATATATGGGAAAAAAGCAAGGTTCAAGACAAAGTATTTCATGCAATCTCGTAAGTTGAATGTATTAAGGCAAAGGAGAGCAACCAGGCAGCGAATGTACACTGACGAGAATGGAAAGAGGTAGTGGTGTTTGCAGCGGAGAAAATGGCACAAGTACTTGTACTTCACACCCTCCAGAAAGTTTAACATTAAAAAGGAAGAAAAAGAGTCAGTATCAATGTTACGTTATAGGTAGCTTTAATCCACACCTGTTTCTGTGTGTCCATAGACATTTTTTCATGTTCTTGAACAGCACGCTCAACTCTTTCAATGACTGCCCGAGCATTTTCAACTTCTGCACGGGCAAAGGCCATTTCCTCTTCGGCAGCATTTCTAGCCTCTTCTGTGGCCTAGAGATCAAAGAAACTGTCAGAAGTGTGCAACGATCAGTTGAAATATATCTTGACTAATCATATTTAAGAAGATCTTCACAATTGGCAAAATGTGAATAACTAACAACTGGACATCAAAGAAGAGCACATCACAACTCATCATATTTATCAAATGTATTAAAAAAATATAATATAGGATAGTACTAATAATGTGCCAAAGTGACATCAAGAACACGCAATGTATACCCGTTCCTCTTTCCCAGATGTGGTTTAAATGTAAAAAAGGGAGTAAATAGTGATTAACGATTTTAAAATAAAAAATATGAATGTCCAAAGCGACTCAAAACCTGTTGCAGAAAGGTCGCCAGTTTCTTCACTTCTGATTTTTCATGAAGAAGTTCCCCTTCTTGATGAGTGAACTGAACTGCTAAAGCTTCTACCTACAAGAAGTCAGAATTTCGCGTGCTTAGTTAGAATTTTCATTAAACAGAAAAACGGGTCAAAGTGAATCTGCATAAGTAATCGAAATTCAAACAACAATAGGCCAAACCAAAGTTGCAAACACAACCTAGAAACAGGTAAGAAGGTCTGGCGTGGTTGTTATTCAAAAGACCATGATGCTAAAAGAAACAGAAGCGTTGCACTCTAGGAAATTCACAAAGTTTCTTATAGCTTTTTAAAGGAATATAATGGAAGGATAAAAGGAGTTCTAGCAGTACAATCAAATGTTAATTCCCAGGCAGCAGAGTAGTATATCATATAATTATCAAGATGATACAACAAAGACGTAGCAAGATAGAAATTTTTCCCCATCCTATGTCACATAAAATGCAAACCAAGAAGAAAGCGTAGCAATCCTAGGTTTTGCTGCTACACTTGGCTAGTGCATTTCAAGCTTTTACAATCAGATTTGGTAAAGGAGTATATCAGTCATAGAGACATTAATATAGGCTTTATACGTCTTCTGTCAGTGGAGGAACAGCATAGTACATGCTTTTAAAGAAAAATCAGAGGATACATAGAGTCAAAGAAACATTAAATGCAAACACAAAAACTAACCATAGAAATAGCCTCCGCCATGTCGTCCTTGTTTCGACCTGCCACACGACCTTTTAGTGATTCCAACACATCTCTGAGCTTCTTCAATAATACATGGCGATCTAAAGAGGCCACCTCCTTACACTTTCCCTGAGGTTTTTTTAATGTTCAGTACTAGGAAAACAAACGAAAATTAAAATACTAGTCTCAAACTAAATGCAAATCTATATCATGCAGTTTCCACGTTGATACATGGCCCAGTGCACAAGATAACAGGTAATCAACTCCTTTAATTCAACACTCGTGGTAATCAACTATTCTGCATCCTTCAAGACGAAGAAATCCGAATCGTTAAAACAAAGACAGAAAAAGTTGAGGGAGGAAATACGCTATGGACTAATGATAAATACTTCCACACATACCTCGTTAAATTGACTAGTTTACGAGTTTTGACAATTTCTACGGTGATCATGGACAATTTCCAATGGCGAATTACGCTTTCTTTAAAAAGTATTGATGAATTATACATAATTTTTTTCCGAAAGAGTGTGCTCAACAGACTATTTCTAGATGCATATTTAGATGAATATGTACCTCATCAGATATCTTGATTGCAGCAGAGAGGCCGTTTTCAAATCTCTTTGCCAGGTCACGAACAGAGAGGCGTTTTTGCTGCTCCAGCAGCAATGCAGTCTCCTTAGCTACAATCTCTCTGAGGGATGGCACTCGAGGTCCTTCCAACTCAATGACGACATTGTTGGAACCTATTTTGTAGTCTGGGAACTTGCCAGAGACAAAATTTGCGTCCGAGGACACTGGCGCAGCTGCCTCATTGTGCATTGTGTGTCCAAAGTCAAGGGTTAGCCTCGTCATCGCCCCAAACGGCATAATCCTCTGTTTTCCAATAAAAACCGTCAGCAATAAATAAATATTTAGAAAAGAGCAAAGCCTACTGCAGTCCAGCACAATAGTGCATTTTCAGGGACGAAAATTGCCACGTGTTTCTGTCAGATGTTCACTTTTAACTAATTTGAATGAATATATACATTGCCGCAGTGAATATTGCTAAAACAACCGTGTAATTCTGGAGCAACTCCAGCACAATAGACGCAGATAAACACACAACCAAGAGTAACTAAATAGTATGGGAAAAATAACGGCAATATGACAAAGAGAAAGGAAATAAATCAGTTCAGACGCCATCGAAGCCCAAGCCATGCATCAAAACAATAAAAATGATCCAAACACTCAATTACTTCGAAAAGATAACTAGCAACAATCAACCAGCAAACAGCAACTATTAAAGACCACACTCCACCGTCAGAGCCATGGACTTACTTATCAACAGCCACAGTCGGCGAGCTCGGCTCCCACTTTCACGAAGGCAGCAACCAGCGTCTCGCTCCTCCTCCGAGCACCGAAACCTCCCCGCCGTTCAAATCTTCGCTCCGACCGCTCTTTCCCTTCAAATCGAGCCGGAGAGGAAAGCAGAAGAAGGAAAAGGTCCTCTCCCTTACCTCATCTTTCTCACCCTCCCTCCGCTTCCTCTGATGACGACGACAGGGTGAGACAGAGCCTACTCCCAGCAATAGGAGGTAGCCACCGAGGAGCGGACAGCTCGTTCAAATTTAACCGTATTTAAATACAGTCTGAGTTTGAAGCCTCGGGCGAGGACAACCCACATATTCACGAAACTGCCACTACCTTTCTCGAACCTTCCCAGGGGGGCCTTCACCAGATGACCCTCATCTACCAAGCCGGATATAGCTTTTTAGTAAATATGTTGTCCATCAAGGGCATTGAGATAATGCCAGCTCACCTTGGGGGAACTAAACCGTCGTGTCCGAAAGTAACCGTAAGTGGGTAGACCACCGGTCCCCAACCGCGAGGCCGCCATCTTTGAGACACGATCCGGTGCCGTTATTCCCTGAAATAGACTAATTAATTAATTAATTAGTCATATCATTAATGAAAGAGTAATGTTAATGATTACCATTATTAGTCTGGTTCGTTCTACTCCCCCTCCCGTTGCCCCCGAGTAGAACATAATTGGTTTTTTCTATTTTGTATTTACAAGTAGGCGATTTTATGTGACTCACTATTAATTTATAATATACAGAAATATATATATATATATATATATATATGATAGAACGTGTGACACTCCCACGTATTCGGATTTTCCGGCAAACCAAACGGCGATGGAGGGGGAGCCGTGGGATGGGAGAGGATTTTAAAATCAGCGATGAGAGTCCCCAAGCGATCTGGAAGCTTTTGATGGTGTCGTCGGTCGCTGCAAAGTGGGGTGGCGACGGTGAGGAAGATAGAGGAGAGAGAAAAGCGGAGATCCATGGGGAAGCCGAGCCCCCGTTCTCACCAGGTTCATCGGAGGCGGCGAGTTCTTCCCCTCTTCATTGTCGTCTCCCTGGCCGCCTTGCTGCTGTACTCGTACTGCAACTCTCTCCTTCCTTTCTCGTCGCTGGCGGAGTCTAGTTCCAGGCTGATCAGTGTTCACCGGGAACCTGGTGTTCTGTCGGTAAACTTCACCTTCACGGTCAAGGTGCTCGCCTTCGACCGAATCGAGTCCCTCCGGCGGTGCCTCCGGTCGCTTTCAGGTGCTGACTATGGCGGCGACCGGGTGAATCTCCATGTTTTCGTGGACCATTTCAGGACAGTGGCCCCGGGAAACGACTCCGATCTGTTGGATCATATGCTCCAGGAAGCGCGCAGGATTTTGCAGTTTGTCGATGGGTTCAGTTGGCAGTACGGCGAGAAGATCCTGCACTACCGCACCTCGAACGCCGGCCTGCAGACGCAGTGGCTGGAGGCGTGGTGGCCTGGATCCGACGACGAGTTTGCATTCGTTGTGGAGGATGATTTGGAGGTATCACCGCTTTACTACAAATTCTTGAAACGTCTGATCATCAATTATTACTACGACTCTTCGAACTTCAGCCCTTCAATTTATGGGGCATCGCTGCAGCGGCCGAGGTTCGTCCCTGGTAAGTATTCTTAATTTGACTCTGACTTTTTTTCTCTACAGTAATCGACATATAGGACCATTCTTGTGCACTCGTAATCATAGTTTTCTGTTTTATTTTTTCCGTGGAACATGAAGACGACATGAATCATAGTATTTCAGTTTCAAATAGTGTTTTTTCTCCTCGGAGCTAATTCCGAATTAGGGAAATTCGTGGACCCAGTATGCTAGTGAACTTCTGTCCCAGAATTGCAGAATTAAAACTAGGCGCATACTTCCTCTGCATTTCCAATTTATATGATCATTTGCTCCATCACCCTGTTGTGAGATGACTTCTGTAATTTGTAAAGTTTATCATAGTCCTAAGATACCTTGTTTACATTTTACTGACTCAGAATGATGGACTAAAGCGAATGTTTCTCGGATGTCAGCTTGTTACTTTTTTTGGCTAAAGTAATGATGGCTGGAATAATGACACATTTAGATTTTGTTTATTGCTTTTAAAATGGTTTTTTTGAGGAAAACTAGGTTGAAACGGCTCAAATCAGCCCACTCCTGTATGAAAGAGATCCTGATGCTTTAGTGATGTACTTTTGACGAATGCAGCTGCATTGATTAACAGTGTCTAGAAATAATGTTTAGGTGGACTAAGGTTATCACCATAAACGATATAGTTGAATATTGGAAAAGATTTTTTTTAGTGTAGATGTTGAGGAATAATTTGCGGTTGAACGACTGTCATCATCATAAAAATTTATAAATAAGATTTGATATGGAGTTTTCGAACCTTCAACTTGGACACAGATATCTCAATGTTCCTGTCTCCCATCAATAACTACCACAAACAAGGCTCAATACCCCGTATCACTTACTCTTTTTTCTCGCTAAATTGATTCTATATTTACTGAAATCATGGTATAATAAGATGGTCTTTTTGGCAGCCTCGTCGATGTTCTTGATCCAAGTCATCAAAATATTATTTCGTTCATCATGATCATATTCCATGCGACGTTATTTGCCTCCCTTTGATGCTAAGGAAATTGTATTTTTTTTAAAGTTTCTCCTTAATGCGCTACCTTTCAAACGTTATCATTAACTTTCCTGATATTTTTCTCGTTTTGTTGTCATTCTTCAGTTTCTGCAACAAAACCCACCTGAAAATTTTGAATTGATATGTCAAACTCTTAAAATTATGCTGGTCAATTGATACTTTGACAGTTGACTCCTCGCATCTGATCAAAACAATTAACAGGTAAACATGGAAACAAACTCCGATTGGACAATGAGACGAGCCTTTTTTTATATCAATTAGTTGGCACATGGGGCCAGCTTCTCTTTCCAAAACCCTGGAAAGAATTCCGGCTGTGGTATGACGAGCACAAGAGCAAAGGCATTCCCCCCATTCTTGAAGGCATGGTAATGTTGATCGCTGAACCTTCTGTGGGATCATATCCTATCCGTTCGCTTTTTTTATTAGTTCACAGTAATTTAGTACCTATTATGAATCCATAGCTTTTAACTAAAATGAAGAGGGACTCGTCCTGTGAAAGGCATGCTCAGAGTGTGACCGCATTGTTCTTCAGTGCTGCGACCTCATTTGTTTTCTCCTATCTCTCTTCCTGTCTGCAGGTAACCAATGGGTGGTACAAAAAGATGGGCGAGAAGATATGGACCCCTTGGTTTATTAAATTTATACATTCTCGCGGGTATTTCAATATTTACACTCATTTTTCCGAGGAAAGGGCTCTCAGTATCTCTTACAGGGATCCAGGGGTAAACTATGGGAGAAGTGCAGGTCCTGACTCTGTTCTAATAGACAGAAGCTCCATTAATCTCAACCTCTGGGAAACTCGGCCGCTCAAGTCCCTAAAATGGTATGATTTCTGCTTCAGAGAGGTCCACCCCGGAAGGGTAATGAGAACCCTAGATGAACTCGGGCTTCTTCTAGATTCTTTGCACAAACAGGGCACGATCATAATAGTCAGCCTATTCAGGACTCCTCGAAACATTGCTAGGAATCTGCTCTGCCACTTTGAGAGGCTCAACATCACGAACTACATTCTTCTCGGCGACAACTCTGAATTCCTTCTTGATCTTGCAAGAACAGGGCACCCGGTGGTTGACTCTGTTCAGCTGCTTAGCAGTTTCAAGCACCGCGACTGGAGTCATCTTCCAAATTTGGAAACAGGGCTGGTGACGGAGTTCTCTCTCAAAGCCTACGTGATAAAAAAAAGCTTGGAATCTGGGTACAACACCTGGCTGGTAGGAGGCGATATGGTTCCTATCACCAATGCTTTCAACGAGACGATGGGCTCATCCGTTGACTTCTGGGCATCCTCGGGCACAGAGCTTTTATATGGAAGAAGCTCGCCAACCTCAGCAAAGACCTGGAATGACATCATCCCCGACATCATGGCTGCACACGGACCCTCCGTGCCACTTGGCAGCAGGGCCTTCATTTCTTCTGCTGTCGGTGCATTGGAGAAGAGAGGATCTGGAAAGATCTTGACGGATGAAAGCCCCGTGTTTAATGTGGCCGCATTGGGCGCCGTCAGCAATACGAATGCATCATCACTCTTGAAGAAGGGGAAGAACGTAATCCACTGGGCACCAGGGACTTCAACAGACACTCTGCTGGGGTCTCTTATGAACGTGGGCGTGTGGCTGATCAATGGGGACTCTTCTTGCACTGCGGTTTACTGCCACCACTCATAGCATTCATCAGTAAGTTTTTAAATTTTAAATTATTTCCTGAAAATTATATATTAACAATAGCTCATTACATAATATCTTGTCAAATCAGAAGTCAGCAGATGGTTGACTTCTGAGGAATTGGATTCTGGGACATTTTTTGACCACATGAAAACTATCTCCCGCCAAGAGGTTTTTAATATCTGCTTCAGCTAGATCGCAGATTATTTAATTAGCATTAATTATTTTTCTAGGACTTACCGCTGGAGTATTTTTTTATATGTTTACAGGCGGTTCTCGAGAAGTGTGAGACCTCATTGGAGAGGGGCGATGAGGGAGGCCTGCATCATCACCGTCGCCAGCTTCCTCTCCGGCCCGCTCCGAGATATGGGCCGGGCTTTTGGGCTCGAGAGTAAGCCGGGCCCGGTCTTCAGAACTGCCGGGCCCCATCGGGACCGGGACCCAGTGAGCTTTCAAAACATGTTGGTGGGCTTGGGGTCAACGTCTGTGGGGCCCGACTAGATGATCCCGCCGTCACCAGATTGCCGCTTGACGTGGCGCTGACGGGGTTCCTTTCTTCACGGTCGTTACCTTTTGCGAGTGGGAGGGCGTCACTTTCTCCGCCCTTTTGTGCATCTACCCCCATATAATTCTCATGTGCGCAAAACAACCTCTCGACTGAGGACGGTACATGTGAAAGTACTTAGAAAAAAAACATGACATTTGTTGAATAAATCACGACTCGTTCGATAAGTTTTTCATTTAATTTTTCAAAAACAGTTTGTCCTGATTTCATGCCTTAATATTTATTATAATTGTAAATGTGCCCATATTTCTAAATATGGATAAATATACTGGGCGTTTTAGGTATGATAGAAAATAACCAAGGACCTTCCTACTCATTTTTTCTAGATCTGGGAATCACACCCAGATCCAGGAAAACGATGGGCATAAATAAATAAATAAATTATATATTGGGCTAAGTTATTGATATCTTTTAGAAATAAATACCTAACATTTTTTGTGTTATATTAATTTAGGATAATTAATCGACGGTGATGAGATTATTATTCAAGAAATAATGTACACCAAAAGGCTGGCCAGCGACCCCATTTAATTGGCACGATTATCATCAAATTCCTTTTAATGGCTGATTTTGTTGTTCCTCGTTATTGCCAAATTAGTGGGCTTTAAATATTAGGTCTGCGACTATTTAGGATGATATGAATGGAATATATTCCTTGTGGGCATTAACTGATCATATTTGATTATATCGATATTCACAAGAGGAGCAGTCACGTCAGAGCAGCTTCCCCAAGGGGGCTCCGCTCCTTCGCCGATGACCTAATTCTGATCCTCGTGTGGATTCTTCTTCTTTCTTCTCCGACAAGGATCCTCTTAACTCGCCGAGATCATCTTATCCACTTCCTCCCGTTGGGGGCGGTTGGGGAGATGGCGGAGGGGAGCTCCCCAACGGTTGGCCATGGCGGAGGTGGCCCAAGAGAGAAAGAACGCTGTGAATCGCCGTGTAAAAATTGTCAGCCCAGAGGAGCAAATTAAGAACTCTGCCTATCTACAGATATTCAACTCCGATGCCCGGACTCCCCTTCCCCCAGTTACCATCTTCCGGAGGTTGAAGACAACCGGCGAAGGGGGAGGGAGGAGAAAGTCAGCGCCGCCCGGATGCCCAGGACCAGCCGTGATTCCCTTGTTTCTGGAGTGGCTGCCGGCTCTGGTTGGGAATATCTTGCAGCTCCATGACCTGTATCGTCCGCTGCTTCTTCGCTGAGATCCGGGAGAGAAATATCAGCACGGAATTTTTTGCCAAAAAAAAAGGAATCATTCCGCAGTTCTTGGAAGTTCTAAGGGAGCAGACGACTCACCATTCTCGGCCTGCTGGTAGCGTTCGTGGAGCTTCCTCTTGGCGGCCTCGAGCTTGGCCCGGACCGACGAGTCCTCGGGAATCGTCGATTTCTAGAGAGAGAAGATAAACGAGATTCAGGGGTTGACTTTGGGCTGAGGATATGGATAAGATCGCCTGATCATCGAGCTAGAAAGTCTGCTTCAACTCACATCGGGGCCCGCCGCCGGTTTCTTCTGCATCGCCGCCGGTTCTTGCCGCTGCCGTGACCTCCCGTCGCCGGTGACCGCCTTCTGAGGCCTTCCTGCTTGCCGGGCAGAGTATTCCTGCGGCTTGACAAAAAACTCCTGAAGCTTCGCCCGCCGGTCAACGACTTCCGCCGCTGGCGGTTTCCTGGCTGCGCCGTGGCGGTGGTCGAGGGCCTCCGCCGGCGGCGGCGGCGGCGGCGGCGGCGGCCGCCTCCCTCTCTCTGGTCTCCTCTCCGAGTTCCCGTTGTTCCGGTGATCTGCCATCGAAGAAATTCAGGCAAAAAACAGCGTCTCATCCACCCAGAATACAAAGTGATCATCTTTCAAGAACATCAAGAACCAGAGGAGATGGATCGAAACTCACTTCCATCGTCGTCCATCCCGTCGAAGAACTGCGCCGCAGGATCATCCCCAAAGCACAGAGATTGAAGATCATCAGTTCTTGCGATCCTTCTCCTCACCGATTAAGCTTTGAAAAAAAAAAGGGAAAGAAGAAATTGGGCAGCAACCTGAGAGAGCTCCATGGTGGTTCGGCTGGAGAACAGCAGCCCCTCGTCCAGTGGCGGCGAAGGGAGCCCTTCGTCGTTATATACACCAGATGGGTTCATAGATTCCGGCGTGCTCTCTGCTTGCAGAGGGGAAGAACGGTCGGTGATGAGGAAAAAGAAGAAGAAGAAGAAGAAATTATTACAGGAGGAGGAGGTTGAGGACGACCATATTGCCATTTTTTTTACCTGTGAGATCCGCGGAGGCATGCACCCACTCGTCCACCACGACCTTCCACCCACTGAAGAACACGAAGAAAAACAGAGGAAAATAAGCAAATTAGCTATCTTGGGATCGAACAACGTTGAGGGAAATCCGAGTGAAGTTGAGTGAAATAAATGTGACATTTTTGGATAAATCAAACCCAGGAAAAAAGAAGAAGAAAGAAAGTAGCCCTCTTAGGTCGAACAGGATCTAGCGGAAGGATCATAGCAGGGTATTCGAGATGAGAATCGGAATTCTCCCTTCCCTTTCTTTATTTTTTTAGTTTTTTCTTGCTAGAAATCAAATGGAAATAGAACAAAGTGCCTAGTCTGAGATCGAAAAGGACCAGCAGAATAAAAGAAAAGTGAATGCGAATTAATCTGAATTATTATAACCATAAATCATCAATTGCTTAAGGATGATATAAGATTAATTCCCTGGGTTCAACTTCGGATTGGCCCTTTTCTTGCCTCGATGCTACTAACCCTGACTGATAAAATCCCATGACCCACATGAAACCTACAGGTCTTACTAGATCTGTGCAATGAATACCAGAGGATCGCTTCCCCGCTCGCTACTGTGTTGAAGATCACAAATAGCCGTACAAAGGAGGAGAACCTGCAAGGTTGCTCCCTGCTGGAATGAGCTTAGCTCAAGAAGAATGGTAAAGCCAGGCGTTTTGACCTTCTGAAGAAAATCAGCTGGTAGGCAACCCTTGTGAGACCCCCCAGATCATTCCCCCCGATCAAAGTCAGCGGCCTGATATCTGAATGCCGATACCCAGATCCCCGGGAATGAAAATGATTGGCATCACTGGTAAGGTCAGTTCATGCGTGGGGTGGGTCTAAGTAAACTTGGCAAAGAAAGGGAATAAGGAGGAGAGATATTGCACTAAATGATCGATGAGCTTTTGATGCAGAAACCTACTCGATGAGGGTCCGCACAAGGTGGCGGATCTCCCTTGACCGATGTTTCCGGAGCCCATTGACTGCCTTGCCGATCTCCGTCACCTGCGTTGATCAGAAAAACAATGGGGGAAATTGAGTGAGAGACGAAGAGCTATGCTATGCTGCTGCCGATCGTCAGAAGACGAAGAGCTTTTCAGTATTTTCATGTGAAGAATCAATCTTTTTTGTGGATGATTCGTGGGTTTTGAAGAACAGTTGATGAGAGAAGCAACCTTGAGCACATCCACAGAGAGGGCCATCAATTGAAGCCTCCTGAGCGACTCGTAGAGCACCGAATCAGGCTGCAAGGTGGCAACAGCCAATGGGGCTTTCGTCAAAGAGAGATCATAAAACATTGAAATCGGACGGCTGCAAAACAGGAAGCACAGATAGGAAGGTTTGCAAGAAATCATCAGAAGATGAGCAACTTTGATCCAGCCCAGATGATCGATACCCAAGAAGAATCATGCGGAATGAGGGTAAAAGAAATTCTGCAAAATAGACGTCGACGCTTTCTGATGGGCCTCGCGGATTCTTCTCCTCCAGAAGGAAGGTGTGGAGAGGAAGATCGGAACGAAACCAGAGAGGTAGAGGAGCAGACCTCGTGTTCCTTGTTGGAGAGGGTCTCCTTGATCCTGAAGACTTCCCGGACTGCCTGAGTCTCCTCTTCGATCTCCTCCGTCAACGCCTCCGCCTCGTCGTAGCTGTAGTTCCTCATGGCCCGATTCACATCTTCCTCTCTCTCGCTGGCTATGCCGTCGACCTTGCTCTCCTTCTCGGCGCAGCCGCTGGCCCCCCCCTCGCTCCCTCCTCCTCCTTTGAACGCATCGTCGTCGCTCTCCTGGGGAAGCTGCTGTTTGACCCGATCGCAGCCATGGCACCTGGCCAGCTGACACGAGAAGAGCTTCTCCGCAATCCGATCCCTCTGGACGCGGAATTCCTGCGGACAATCCGACGCAGCGACGAGGATCGCATGCTCGATCACGTCGAATATGTCGGAATTGGCGCTCCTGAAGTACTTCCTCCAATAATCCAGGCGCCCTGGTTCCGCCACCATCTTGGCGCCCCCGCAGAGGATCGAGGAAGATCGACGGGGAAGTCAACGGGATTGACGATGGGATTCAGAAGCCGGGCTCTCCATCCTCGCCGGAGGTGATCCTGGCAGGAAATCAGTCAACTGGGTGCCACACTCGTGGATTATCAGAAATGAGGGAAAAGAAACACCCACGAACGGGCGTCTCTCTCTTTTTTCCTCGCCTGATGATGGAGGACGAGCTAAGAACAGTCGCAATTTCTTACTTTTCTCCCCACACACCCAAATGGCCTTCTTCCTCCGAGAGCTCCGTTTAATCGGAATGGGACATGGGCCTCTCTCTATCTACCCCAAGGAGCGCAGAGACACGGCGATGGCGGCCGGGGGCGAGGAGAAACGCCGGCGGAGGGCCTCTCCAAGAAAACCGGCGCTACTTCCATGAATGAAAATTTTTATTGAGGGCCGCTTCCGCAGAACAAGCCCTCCACTCCCCTCCTCTTCCCCCAATGGCCCCTCCCTCTCTCTCTTTCTCTCTCTATCTCTCCATTTAGACCCTCCGTGAGTGGGGAAGAAAGGGGAGGCCAGACCCACCAAGCGCCAGTTCCGTCTCCATCCTCCCCAATTCTTCTTCTCCTTCCTCCCAACTCCTCTTCTTCTCTGTCCTAATTAATCCACGGCTTCCTTTCCTCCCCTACCCGCTCTGCGCCCCACGCCAGAAGAAAACCTAGAAGGAGAAAAGAAATACAGTGGGCGACACGAGGCACTTAAATACGCCACAGCTCCCCCACGAGTCCCCCTCCCCCCCCTCGGTCCACCCCACTGGCGGCGCCGCTGGCGGTTAACCTTCCCCTCCGGCGGTCTCTGCTCCGGTCAGATGGGCCCCACACGCTAGAGAGAGAGAGCAGGGTGATAGGATTGCGGCGCTTCTTCTCCACGACGGTCTCATCCGAGCTCTTGAGGGCGGGCCACCGTGGAACACGTGGACTGGGGAATCCGGTTCCTTGGGGTACGTGGCATGATGTCAGGGCTTCGTTCTTATCCTGACAGACTCCTGATCTGAGGGTCCCCATGAGCCCCTCGCGGACAACCGGAGAACCTCATCCGTCCGATCGCCCTGCCCCCCCATGCTTACTAGGGGTATTTATCGTCTAACTTATTTATTTATTTATTTATTTATTTTGTTGCTTCTTTCACGTGTCCGAGCGACCCGGTGAGACTGCTTCCCGCGTGTCGGAGAGCCGCCGCCTCGGGATCGAATCACCTCCTTGCAGGGGCCCGCCGACGGTGCCGTGATCTTAGGTGCCCTGCTCCGCGGTACAAGATAGAGGTCCGTGAGAAATGATGTTTTTGCCTCATATAATTATGAAATAGCTTGTGGGCCCACGTCAGGCATTGGGCTTGGACTTTTCGTGCAGAGAAGAGTCCAAAATCGGCTTCATTCCGCATATGACAGGTCAAGACACGTGGCAAAGTAGACCCTCCCCCGCCAACAGCTGTTCTTCTGTGGTGCTACGGGTGGCAGAGCCGTGGACGCGTGTCCAGTCGTTAGGCGGCGAGCTCGAAGGGAGGCGGCGTAAGGTGGGGCCCATTTTCATCCTTCAATGGAATTTTTTAACGTCAATTTTTAAAAATTTGTTAGGTCCTTTTAAGTATGAAATCCGCGAAAAGTAATAATTCCAGGATACCTTATGTGAACGAGAAATATATTTAAATAATATCCTTTGATTAAATTGAGTAAAATTAGCTAATTTTATCCTACCCTTCATTTTGGCAATAGTCAACGGGGAATCGGTATTTGTCACTCATTATTCGATTTATTTAATAATATATTAAAATGATTACAAATTAAATAGCACGATTTATATATTAAAATGTGAATTAAATACCAATGATCGGTGGCAAACAATGTCTTATATACGGTGATTTATTCGAAGGATTTTTTCTATAAAAAATACATTAATGCTCATTCTCACCCTTGAGCTCCACGTCAGCGTTGCCGATGACCAGGTCCATGGACATATCATAGTGGACCAGACTCGAGCCCAACTGTTGGAAGAAGAAAGCCCAAGCCCACGGATGAGGACCGAGACCCGGATTTCAAAGTCGACGACTTTGCGGGAGGAGGAGGCGGCAGCGGCGGCGGTTTTGTGAAGGCGTCTCCGCAAGAGCTACGGTGCTCGGGGGACGTTTCTTCGGATTTATTGTGTGAGTAACGCGAGGAAAATTCGTGATCGTCTTCTGTTCTTCTTGTGTGGGAAAGGAATCTGCGCCGCGGTACGACTTTTGCCCTGTGATTATTGATGGAGTGCTGGTATTATTCGTACGGTTATGCTTGAACTTTCTCAGAGGTGGGTATCTGTCACCGAGTGGTGCCCGTTTCCGCTTCGTTGCCCTCTTCAAACCGCGGCGGCGGCGGCGGACATGGAGGAACGCGAATTCAGGAAACTCCTTGACCTGTTCCCGATCGTGCGGTCTCGGGACTACTGCGTAATCTCCCCTCTCACCTGTTCGAACTCTCCCTCGCCGCCAGTTCTGATCCTTCTCGATTTTCTCTTTTTTCCCGGAGGATCCTCTCCATGGCGACATCTAGGGCTCGCTCTGCCGGTTTCATCCGTTTCTTGCCCTTTGATTTATCTCTCTGAAGTTCGTTCTAGGGTTACGCCTTCTTGATCGGCACTCGGATACTCGACTTCCTATTCTTCGATGGAAAGCAAGAGAAAGCATCCGATTCTAGGCTGGATTTGTCGAAGATAATCGCTCTTGTGTTTATAGAAAATGGCCATTGGATCTGCAATCTTACCCTCTACCAACCGATCAATGGTGGGGGATGGAGAGTTGGAAGCTCCATGACTGATCTGTTGATTGCTTGTATGAGCTTTTCCTATTCTGTTCCCAAGGTTCTTCGTTGGGTATGATCCACCTTATGCTCATGTCATTGCCATTTAGCTTACTCGCCAGCTGGGCAGGAGCTCCAGGTTGTGGTTCCATCTGCATAATCTCTTAAAATGTCTGGTTCTTCGGATCTGATGTTCATGAAAACAAGGATTCTCTGTGCGTACATTCTCTCGTGGGTCGTTGAAATAACCTGGTTTATGAAAATTTCGCCGAAAATGTGGCTGCGATTCCAGTCTATCTGAAGCTTGTTCATCCTGAAACAGCTGAATGAGCGTCCTAATGCTCAGACTGAAGAGGAGAAAGAAGACGACGCTGCAGGTCTCTCTCTCTCTCTCTCTCTCTCTCTCTGGGGTATTGTGCCTGATGGACAGCTCAACTGATGGGAATGCCCTCTCATTTCGGTAGATCCATTTTGGGAGAAGCTGAAGTCTGCAGCTGAGATAAAGGTATGAATGTGGCGTGATCTCCATTATTTCCTGGTGGAGAGATTCTGGGTGTCCTTATTTTGCTAAATATGTCTTTTTTCTTCAATCCTTTCTCTTTGTTTCCTCCTTCCTAATGGGCAAATTCTGGCTACACTTCGCTTTCTGTCTCAAAGGGAAGGGGGGAGGGATGGAGGGAAGCTTAATGAGAAGGCAAATTTGTCTATTATTGTTGGGCATTGCATTATTCTATAACATTCTTCACTCTTGCTGGGCATTCCTTGGTAACTTTTTGTTGGTTTATCTTTTCTGGGTTTTGCATTATTATATATGATAAATTAAGTCGTTTAAATTGCCATGTGCTTGCTGGGTATTGCGCTATTATTTTATATTTTATATCATTTAAATTTATTTATGCAACCTGGGAATTGCATTATTATCCAATAAAAATGTTCTGGATATTGACCCGTTTTCTGATACCTTTGCAATAATTCAAGCTGATTGATGCTCGATGGGTACTGCACCATTCTGTCATATATGCAATATTTATTTAATATATTTTTCCGCTGAATTGAAGGTTCTAGAGCTGTTTATATACACATAGGATCCGAAGGGATGGGCTTCTAAAGTGGGTGTTGTTCCTCTCAGGTGGGTCCAGAGGCGGCTGCTAAGTTCTGCAAGGCGTTCCAGACAGTTCACAAGAAGGTTGTGCATCGTTCATTTGCTCACTTCTCTCTCTCTCTTTCTCGCTCTATTGATGGCATTTCTGGTCAAATGGTCTCAGGTTTCCGAAGATCAGAATTCCGAGGTTATCCGGAGGTATGTCGATGCCACTTCCCGGAGCTCAAGTGGTTAGCCTCAGAAGTCCATGTCGTCTCTCTCTCTCTCTCTCTCTCTCTCTCTCATTATCACTATAAAGGGAGTCTTTCTCTCTCTTAGACATCATGTGCTTAGTGAGGCGTTGCCTGCTGCTGATTTTCATGTAAAAGAGTTTTGGCGAGGAGAATAATGACGTCAGAATTCTTTTTCGGGATGTGGCTTCTTTTTCTTGATACTCAATAGCAGAATGAAGATGAGAAAAATCGTATTTTTAATGCTCTAACCGTATTATTTAATATGTAATAGCACATGAAAAAAGAAAGCAGGAAACAAATAAGGTAAAAATGAAAGTGTATGGATTTATGAATGCATTGGAAATGGAAATGAATGACGTCATAATGAAAAGTCAAACCTGAGCTCTGGTTTTTCGGCTAAGGCAACATGGGCTGTCTGACCCAAAGCACAGACAGCCATGGATTGTTCTAAGACTAGTTGGCTTGATCATTTCCATTCCAGTATGATAGCAAGCGATTGCTATCATAAAGGTCCTCAATTAGGTGGCTATATCCAACATAATTCTCTGAGGATGCGACTTACTATGAACAATGCTGAATCCGAGTACCATCTTAGTCCAACACGCATGAGCAAAAGAGGCTTGAGTGCAAGTGGACACAAGAAAGTCAAAGGCTTGGTTGTGGGCAAAGCATGTGGAGACGCAGTGTGGCATGCGGTGGGTATGCCAAGGAGAGAGCGATGGTAGTGTATAGGGGTGATTGAGATCCATGCTAAAGGAACCATCATCTGGGTCCTATGTATAGTAATTCCCCATTAATAAGGATAGATAGCGATTAAGGAGTGTATGGGAGGGATCTCCCCAATACATAGAGGAGGTACTCAGGCCACTTGGACCATGATGACCTCAACTACTCGGCTCCACCCTCTCTCTCTCTCTCTCATGAAACTATGATGCAATTGGGCCCTGCAGATGTTTTGGGCCCATTTTTTTTTCCTTTGAAAGACAAGTAGGAGAAAGGGCCAGGGCTTGGACAACGCTCGGCTGACCCTCTCTCTGTCTCTCTCTCTGTCTTTCTCTCTCTCTCCTCTCATGAAATTATGATGCAATTGGGCCCTGAAGCTGTTTTGGGCCCATCTTTTTTCCTTTGAAAGACAAGTAGGAGAAAGGGGCAGGGCTCGGACATCACTTGGCTGACCCTCCCTCTCTCTCTCGTTCACTATAATAAAAGAGGCTGTTTTGAACCGACGGAAGCCCGGAGAAGTGGCATTCGTTTTGGGCTGGTTTAATTGGACCACCCAACCCAGTCCAAATATGATAGGAGTCGAAAGTACCGCGAGTCGGAAACGTCTTAAACCCTACACTGTCCCCTGCTATTAGCACCATCTTGTCTCCCTCTTCTGCGAGCGCGGTTGGCAGGAGCTCTCCAGAAACCATGGCCGGTGTGAGGCGACTGCTCCCTTCTCTGAACCGCGTGCTTGTGGAGAAGGTCGTGCCCCCCACCAAGACCAACGCCGGAATCCTCCTTCCGGAGAAGACTACCAAGGTACGTACGCTCATTTGATCCCGTTGATTCCAAGCTGACGAGGTTTGTCTTCCAGATAATTACTTGGACCTAAAATAGATGGATATTTCTGATGATCACATATCTACCTTCAAGGGGTTTAGTTGGAGGGGGGATGTGGGTTCCACTTTTTTTTTTTCAAGGTTTTTCCCTCTTTTTCCCGTCTTGCTCCCTTTATTATGACGCCGAGCGTGATTATCCTTTTCATTTCCCATTTTTTTGGTTGGATTTGATCCGACTTCATAATATATCACTGAATAAGTATTTATGCAAACTGGAGTATCCATTTATGATGGTCTCGGCTCTTACACAAACCTGACTTGTCAATGGGTATCCATGTATGGTAATTGGCCTTGAGAAAATTCTCACTGAATGTTTTTTTGGTAGTATAATGCAGCCTATATTTGGGAAAAATCGAGCTCAGACTTCAGGGTGGGCATGTTCGACGTTGACGGTTATGCACAAGACCAAAAGCTGAAAACATATGATAAATTCAGACCACGTAGTTTCAACTCGTAGTTGAATATCCTGTATGATTTGAAAATACAACACAAGCATGCATGTGCATTCAACCCACTTTAAGTGCTGATTTCCGTCAATTGTGTATGGTCGGTATGGATCGAAGAGGTTTTTGCGTCTGTTCACTCTGTTAGTTTTACATTATCATTTTATGCCACTTTAGAGCATAATGGAAGACATTGGTTTATTTTTGGAGTTTGAATACTTCATGACCTCTTTGTTCCTGAGAACCTCGTCAGTGCATTTGAAGAGTCTTTTGGGCTTTTTGACATGAATAATATATCTTCATCTGTTTAAATTAAAATGTATGTTAGTTTCACAGCCTCATCTCCCGTGCATATGCATTTCATGAACTGTTTATGTAGGTGATAGAAATAAATTTATCAACCATGAGGCCTCCCTGAGTCCAAACAGGTGTTTGGATGGAGTTGTTGTGGATTCATAAGGAAACCGACAGATTTGTTAAAGTTCAGAACCTAGTTCTACAAAATTTAATATCCTAGTTATTTGGATAGTTGAGATCCCCCTTTTCCTACATTCACTGATTATTGTCTTAAATCGAATAAATATGGAAAAAAGAAAAAAAACCGTATAAGGCACGTGTTAGGTGGTACATTATTTTGGAAAGATGTCATTTTTACCATTACAACGTTTACTGAAATTTGATATTTTCTTGAACAATCCAGCTAATATTATGGTAAGTGTGTTGCTTAAAAAATATTATGATGCTTCACTGCTTGAACCGTAAATATTATGTAGCAAAGCGAAATCTCGATACACTCCAGTTCAATTGGTCCAAGCTTTGCTGCTGATTATATACCTAGGATATCATTCATTCTTTCGTTGTCAGTCATCAGCTTGGTTCATTTATTTTAGCAGTTGGAGCATTTTGTGTGTATAATTCTTGGCTCAATAATGGTTGCCTTGTTTCATCCCTCCAAAATACTTACTCTTCCTTTTAAAATGATCAAGTTTTCTTCGGGTTCCCAAAGCTTATATTTTCTTAGTTTTTTATTTCTATTTTTTAAAAAAAGCCCATCTTTTTTGAACGCTTCTGTATGCCCCTCATTATGAGTTTGGATTGATTACCTGCTGTTCTCAGGGAAACTGTTGATCTTCCAGCCTAGGTTCCTGTTAAAGCTTAAGCAGACTAATTTTTCATTGCAGACAGTCTTGTCTCACTCTTTTTCTTCTGTTCACTTCTCTCGTTAAGGAAGATTTGAGTTACTCTTCTTCTGTGTGTTTTAATCAGTTGAACAGCGGCAAGGTCGTAGCAGTGGGTCCTGGTGCTCGTGATAGAAATGGAAATCTCATCCCCGTCCCATTCAAGGAAGGAGATCATGTTCTTCTCCCTGAGTATGGGGGCACTGAAGTGAAACTCAGCGACAAAGAGTATGCTCTTCTGATTTCTTCCCAGGATTAATGTAGCTTTATTTTTGGGTTAGTACTGCATCCGAATGGCTTCCCTTGTCATATTTCATCTTACTTCCGAAATCATGATCATTTTCAGAAGCAATCTTCATTTAATATTCTGGGTCATTGTCTGTTCTCAATGTCTTCTCATCTCATTGTGCACCAAATCATGCTCATTTTCGGAAGTACCCTTCATTTAAAACTATGGGTTATTTTTAATTCCAAATTTTTCCCCTGCTATGCAGCATGATATTGGTCCTAGGTAATGGTGTTTTACTAGGTTGTGTTATTAAAATGAGAAGGTTTTCTATCAGAGTTCATCTTGGCTTATTGCATCTACTGATCCTCTGTCTCCCAAGATAATAGTTTCCAGTGGCAATTGCCTTTCAATGCTGATAGCATGGTGTTCTTTCTATGGTTTTCAGCTAAACTCAAATCTTGACTTCTCTCAGTGGTGATGCCTGGACGACACTCAGAATTGGGCTGTAATCATTATGAGCTGATCCCTTCTTTTCCGTTCTTCAATTCCATCTTGAATGGTTTAAAGAGCCATCAAATCAGTTTAAGTGAACCAATTTAGGGTCCTGAGTTGACCGGAAATCTGCCAATTATGTGGGGATGAGCTGGTTCCTCCCTGATCTGCCAGGAATGCTGATCAGAGTAAGAATATGGAAGCACGGCTCGTTGCTGTATAAGAACTAAATGAGGAGGATAACTGGCCAGAGTCCCCCCTGAATAACTATATATATATATATATATATATATATATATATATAGTCAGACACAATGTGCATGCACGTATACTATATATATATAGCATTTATGTGGAAGAAGGATGCATGAAAGACTCGTGACGACCATGCCATACAAGATTTGCTGGACTTTTTTGTTCCATTTGATTGCAGATCAAGACTTTCTTAATGGGGTGACCCAAAAGCAGAGCACTGATACAAATCCCGTCTGTTGTTTTCTTTAATCTGCCCTTGGATTCTCTCAGGTTCCATCTCTACAGGGATGACGACATTCTCGGGACTCTGCATGAGTGAGCGGCCCTGCTGATTCCAGAGGCGGACCATTCCCTTGCAAGCTGGGGGCGCCCCTTTCTGCCATTATCCGCGTCTTGAGAACACTTATGCTATCGTTAACTACTACTACTACTACTACTGCTATAAGTGGCTATCCATGCCATTCTAATTTTGGCCTCAGGGACGCTGCCATTATTGTTCTTGCAGAGAACCCAGAAGCCCTTTTGAGAAATGTGTACTCTGCTTGCCCTTAACTGGTATTCTGGGTGGTGTTGTTCTTTGGATAGCTGCTGCCCTAAGAACGGAATTTGCCAGCTTGAAGGTCCCGAATGGGCCAAGGATTGCTGTCTAATTTAGGCAAACATGATGCTTTGAATGATACGACATTTATGTAGGAATAATCATGCTTTATATATTGAAGTATTATCCTATTTAAAAAGGAAGACTAATCTAGTGGGGAATAGACTTTGTCGGATGCCAATATTTCCTCGACAAACCATTTTTATCTGAACATTTGTACACTAAAGTCGGCTATCAAAGTCCCAGATGACAGTCTTTCGGCACGTGAAGTTTTATTTTCGGCACGTGACGCCAAACTAGATTTTCTCGGGCCCACGATAGGCGCCGCGGGCGGAAGTCAAAAGCAGTGCCTCCTGACAATTCCCTCGACGTAAGACCAACATACACGCCGCGTCCAGAAAAGTCAACGTCGCGGTGCCCCTCAGCCGATGAATGAAGGGGTGGGCCATCTCGGGTTTTCATCTCTGCAAACTGAACGAGGATCCAAGAACGGTAAAGAATTGACGATCCAGACAGCAAGTTCCCCAATTTTATAACGCAGAAGCGGTGTTGACTGCCTCTGCGACTAGCGAGAAATCCGCCAACGTTGCGGACTCCGAGGTGGACGAAGGAGGAGGGTGGTCGTGGGGGGCCTTACCGTGAGTGTTCTTAACACCCTTCTTCTCCTCCCTCTTCGTCCCGCTTCTCACTAGTCCTCCCTCCTGCTTCTTCTCCCTACTCCACCCTCCTGCTTCTTCTTCTTCTTCGCCGCCCCATGGTATGCCCCGGCGGGGGATGGCTGCGGAGAGGACGGCAGCTGGCCGCTGCCTTGCTCTGCTGATGCTGCTGGTTGTGGCGCCCCCGCAGCCACAGAGCTCCTGCGGTGCAGCGGCTGTCGACGGGCTCCGCCGTCTGAGAGGCGGCTTCGGGCAGCGGGTGGAGGCTGGTGGCGCTCTCCCCGGCGGCGCTCAGCTCGGCGAAGGAGGCGTGGGTGCCGTTTACGCCGCCGAAGAGAGGAAAGTCTATTCGGGCGCCAATCCTCTTCACAATAGATGATGGAGATACGGGCAGAGTCCTTCCTCCTCTTCTCCTCCTCTCGTCTTCTTCTACCAACCCCAGAATGCCTTCATCTCAAAATGTAAATGGAAGGACGGCGGGCCCAGATTCCGTCTGATCAGCCTCTCTACAGTTCGACCTTGTTCACAACATGCAGTCTGGTTCCTTGAAACAAAGGTCATATTTTTGTCATGCTTTGATCCGTCAGTGTCTCTGTCTCTGTCTCTCTCTATCTCTAGGGAGTGCTGTCTCCCGGCTAACCAGGTAGAAGTCCCCGTGAATGTCATGACCAAATCATGCGGTGTTCAACTTGGATTGGAGATATACTCCTGAAAAGACGTCAAGGAGCCCGCAAGCTAGTGGAATTCGCGTCGAATTGAGATCTTTAATCGCCCGAAGTGTCTGTAGTAGCGAGAGAGAGAGAGAGAGAGAGAGAGAGAGAGGCGGACTCTAGAGGGGAGAAGAGAGAAGGCCTTGAAGTGTGTTGGCCATAGGGAACAGGAACCAAGGAGAGGCTCAGGCACCAAGAAACCGACCGGCCCATCAGTGCCGACTGAAAGCGTTGGCAGCGGCGTCTCGACCAAGACAGCCAGGCTTTTCATTGAATGCGCCTCACCTCCTCTGCAACCCCCCTGCCCTGCAGCTTTCTCTCTCTCTCTCTCTCTCTCTCAACTCCATTGGTAGAATGTATCGGGCAGCTAAACCTAAAGGGAGAGAGTAGCCGCAGTTGAGGGGTTGATCGTTCGTCCTCAACTCATCCCCCCTCCATCTGAGCTCCGGCTTCTGAGAAGACGTGTCTTTTCAGAGCCGCAATCTCCTTCTCTCTCTCTGTACGGCGGCTTTGGGGTCCTCAGGAGAAGAAGGCCCGGGTGCTCTCTGTCCCTCCCTCTCTCCCTCTCTCCCTCTTTCTGCTTGTCTGCCTCTGTCTGTCTGTCTCTGCCTCTCTCTCTCTCTCTCCCTTCCATCGGCTGCCTCTAATGCTAAACTGGTCAGGTCAGCAATGAACCAGACGCCCCCACCAGGGGATGGCCCATTAACCCCGGGACCAATCCCAGCGGTCCAAACGCATTATAACAGAAATCCGTGGTCAGAGCCGCCTTTCCGGTATCTTCTCTCTCACTACCGAACCGCCGGCCAAATCTCACCACCATCGGCGGCGGCGAGATCATTTCGAAGAACTGAATCGAGTCTTGATTGACATTCCAGCATCCAATGATGTTTTATATCAAAACAACTCCTAGATTCATCTCCAAGAACGTAGTAACTGAAGCATTCAGGTTACTGCAATTTTATAATGCCCTAATACTTGTAAATTAAAGACATCGAGAAACGATCATGGCATGATGCCTCTCTCACACTGGATCTTAGACCTCCATCCTCACTTCCCCTCGAACATTCCGAAAATTATGGGAGATTTCTGAACTCAGGTATATCCCCGCATCTTAATCTGTGAGGCAATCTGATTTTTTTCATCAATGAGCCCGTCAATCCGAAAATCTAGGATAGATCCACATAATTCTCTTTCGAAACATTTCTGAAACTCTACTTTCCACGATGCGGACGTCCATGAAAATTACTCCTCGATGCTTCAGTGGACGACGCAAACTACAAGCACATCAGAGATATATGAAAGGCTTCACTATCCGAATCCATTGGCCTGCAACTTCGCCGCCGCAACAGCCGCGACCAGGACTCACTTCGTGATCGGCGAGACGGAAGCAGAAAATCGGGCAAGTCAGAAGAAATGCGTTAAGGGGAAAGACAACCATAATAAAAATTAAACACCAGAGGGAGAAGATGGAGGATGATGATGACAATGACGACGATGAGAAGGAGGAGGAGGAGGAGGTGGATCAAATCGCTTACCTTGCCGGGGGTGTAGCAGAAGGTGGAGTAGAAGCTCTCGGACCGAGCGGTCCTATTATCTTTCCATAACAGGAAAACTTCGGGAACATTCCTCCCGATCTCGGGAACGAAGCCCCCCCTCTCTCTCTCTCTCTCTCTCTCTCTCTAACTTTTTTAACAATAATGTTTTAAATATATAGATGTATTATTTATAATATAATTATCTGGCCTAAAATGGAAACGCGGTCTTATTGGGCTCTTCCTACACTTTGGGCCTCAAAATTCGTTTCGAAAAGAAAACCAGAACACGAGAGAGGGCTCTAACTTTGCCTTTTTGATCAGATAAGAAAGGGCCCGATAAGAGCTTCGGGTTCTCATGATGGGCCCGTTTGATTTCTCAGAAACAGCAATCTGCCGTCCTCCCAGCGACAAACTATGGCTTTGACAATGGAAGCCGTCTGCGCCTCCGCCGCCCCGTATAACCTGTAATTTACAGGTCAGCGACGCCACCGTCTTCAACAACCAAGAAAGTCAACGGCATAAGGCACATCTTGGGTCTGCGAGAGCTCGCTCTTCGGAGTGAGAGAGAGAGAGAGAGAGAGAGAGCCCTACTTGTAGATGCATCCGCTCTTGAACTAGATGAAACACAAAGATGGGGTAATCTTGTTGATCCGTTTGGATTCCTGAATTCAATTTTTGATTTTTTTTCTCTGTAACTAATACTCTCAAAATATTTGAGATCGTTATCGTAATGCGTGTACTTTCTCAGAGAGAAACTGATGTTCTTGAGCGTATCATCAACCAAAACAAGTATGGCAGCGATTTTTTGTTTGGTTTCCAGCGTGCAATTTGATTAGACTGTTCATTCCCTTGTTTAGGTTTTTACACTAATGTTCCTATTGCACGGCCGGTCGAGATCATTGGGTCCGCCGAGACTGAACGAACTGGTCGAACTTAGGCGGCTTCGTTAATTCTTTTAGTCCCATATTGGAAGATTTGAGAGTTCTGGGAGAAGATAGCTATAAATAAGGCCATTGGGCTATATCTTAAAGCATACCTTTCTCGGCCTTTTGGCTAAGATCAAGTGTAGTATCTGTTCTTATCAGTTTAATATCTGATACGTGGGCCATCGGCCCACATGATATTAAATTAATTTCTCTTGGGGGAGGGCCCACCACAGTGGCTTGCCACTGGGGCCCTCGCGCGTCGCCCTTGCGTTGCACTGCTGCATTGGCCCGGCGCACCCCTACCAATCCCCAAATCTAAATCTTTCCCGCCCTTCAAACGGGTACGTAGATCTCAGGATGTATTTATGAAACTTGGAAAATTGCGTTCGCCTGTTGATTCATGAGAAAACATTCGAAGATGAATGAAAAGTTAAGCTGACCCAAAGACTCTGACCATTGACTTATTCCGTCGTCCTCCGTCTCCTTGCGGCGGAAGATCGCGGTTTCGAGAAGGGCCGGACTGCTTCGGAGACCCGAATGACGGCCTTCTTGAGGAGCTCACCTTCTCCGCCGTCATAGATCCCCCACCGCTCTTTCGCTCCTACTGAATTCCTGTTCCTGCTTCTTCTCCTCCCCCCTGATGCGAGCAGGAATGCCGGAAAAACTCGAGGTGGAGGAGTTGCGAGCACAGCTAGAGCTTCGCGGCCTGGAATCCACCGGCGCCAAGCGAAACTCTCGTGAGCACTCATCTGATCTTACTCTCTCTCTCTCACTCTCACTCTCTCACTCTGTATTCTCCAAGTGATTTCTCCTGTACCGATGTATGGCCTGTCGCCTATTGACATTTTAGGTCCGGAGGCTGGATGCGGCACTGAGGAAGGAAGACGAGAAAGTATTCAGGAAGGTGCTGCTCCCGGAATCTTCCGTTGGGAACAGGCTGCAATGCGTGGAATTCCTACAAACGGGTTGAAGGGAGAACTCGTAGAGAGATTTTCCGCCCATGTGGAGTAGGAAGGAAAAGATTTGCCTGAAGGTGTCACCACGGAATATTTGGCTTTTACGTTGACTTGTTGTCCGATCATGATTAGATCTTACCGTGACTGAGGAGAAACTGGTGACGGCAACAAAGAAAGGCAATGCGGTTCTAGACCAGTGCCTTCCTGAGCATATAAAGCCGAGCTACCGCGTTTTGCAGAAAGGACAGTGTCATTCCTTCCCCTCTCTTGTGTTTCTAGTTGACTTTTGACTTCGCAATTTTATCAGGGTCGGATTCGGGTTTCTTTACCGTTACGAATGCTGTTGTCGTTCTTTGTTTACTTCAGTGTGTGAGTAGAGGTACCGTGGCTGTTGCATTTGCTGTGTCGTCTTACCACCAGAGCCTTTTATCGTGTTCTATAAATCTAGAGGTTGAATAAATTTGATCAAAATATTGTGGTATCAATGAATTCTGCTAGATTTATGAATAATCGCAGTTGACGTTGAATACTTGTTAGAGGTGTCCGATATTATTGACCGATAATATTGTATTTTCTTTATTTTTCTAAAAATTAAATTCCATCTGCTAGGTAAAGTAACATGATTACACGGATGAATGCTCGGAAGAGAGAAATAGTGAGGGAGAGGGGGAGAGTAAGTTCTGGAGGTAATGAGTGAGGGACTGAGGATGTGGGGGAGTGCAAAGGGGGTAAGTTTGCGATAAAGAGACTGAAGAAATAGAGTCTGGGAGTGCAGGAGAGGTACAGAGAAACGGAAAAAGGGGAGGGAGGGAGCAGTGCAAGGGTGAATACTGAGAACTGGAAAGTGTCACAGGTGAGAAAGAGAGAAACAAATGATTGATGGGTGAGGTGAAGTTGGAAAGAACGCAGAGGGAGTGACTGAGAAGGCTGAAGTAAAGAGAGGGTATGGGAAGGAAGAATAACGGAGGGTGGAAAGTGAAGTGCAATATCAACATCACACATCTTTACTGGAATCAGAGAAAGATAATGAGTGAAGGGATTCTAGGAGGGTGACACCTGAAAATCAAAGTTACCATTTTGCTCTTTGCATGCACTTGCATTTAGAAATGGGGTGATTCCTTTTCCACTCAAGTGAAACTATTCTAGCATGTGATAGAAAGTCGGGTTCACAGGTGAAAGAGTGAGGGAAAAACCTTAAGGTCAACGAGACAGAGACTACTTTGTAGAAGTCACATTGTAGGGTTACAACATCCTTATTAAGTCATCTGGTAAAAGCTTGAATCCTTTCTAACACACACGCGCGCGCGCATATATATACATACATACATATGTCGCATTACTACATGTGTGATGTTGATATTGCACTCATGACGCATTTGAAACAACACGATCAATGAAATTGGTCAATTGGGATCTAAATTGGAGTTGCCCAATTCAGTTCTGAAGCGGGGGATCCAAACACTTGTGTCGGACTTTGGCTGATATCTCTTGGATTGGTCAATTTTGACTTACCTGGTCAGCTTGCATTGAGTTGTGTTCTCCATATCATATGGTAATGGTTGAAGAAGGGTTCTCCCTCCAACATTTTTGCTAGTAAAGAAAGAGATAATTATGCATTGGAAAGGGGTGTTTTCACATACAACACCTCTAAAGCAAGGCTTGACCAAAATTAGAGCTCTTTGGATATTTGCCTTGTTTTTCTTCCTCCTTGACGATCAAATCATGAGTACTTGGGGCAAAAAAATTGGTGACCATATGGTGAACCTTTCCTTTTATGGAAGTTGACCATATGATTGAGGGGGGATGGCAGTTATCTCTTCTCCCCCCCCCAATCTTAGAACGAGGCAGTGGTGTTCTTGCACCACCGCTGCCCGTGAAGGTCGCTTCCATCCCTCAGCAGTTGCTGCTATCGCCGCCCACCGAAGTTGTGTCTGCACCATTTTTTGGCATCAGAAAAAATTGTTGCCACTTGGATTACTGTGACTTTGACTATTTTGGTCAAATTTCTTACACATAGGCTTATCACGATTAGTTGATCCGAATATTAACAATTACTTAGTTCAATCGAAATAGTATTAGATTTGAGGAATCAGACTGAATTCCTTAATAAAATTGAAAAATAATAAAATATATTTAATGGGAAAAGGAAAAATGGAGGGTGTTCCACTTAATTTTTCATCATATGATATATAATATTAAATTTCATGAATTAATGGTAAATAAATAATTTCCGTTTCCCCCTTTCGGCGCTTACGTGCGTTGTTACGACAGATAAACCCCCCCCTCCCCCACCCCCCCCCCCCAACCAAAGTTATGTCCATCAAGCGGCTGTCCTTTCCCCACCCATGGAGTGAAGTCATCCCCTTTCTAAGGAGTTGACTTAGAGGGGAGAGAGAGAGAGAGAGAGAGGATGCAGCGTCCACGTTGGCTTTCCTCTATGACCCGTTCTGTCTGATGGTCCTGATTTTCAGTGTCAGTGCGGAGAACCGACTAAGGACACCACTTTCTTTCACTCCTCATTCTAGGTCTGCCCAACCTTTCTCACTCCTCTCATTCTCACGAAGGACACACAGACGGGAGAGAGAGAGAGAGAGAGAGAGAGAGTTTTAGGGTTATGAGTGGATGACGTAAGATCACACTGTCTACAATGAAAAGGAATGTCCGGCGCAGACCTCGCCGGCGATGTAGGAATGTCCCACCGGGCCGTCACATCCCGCTCTCGTCCTCCTCCTCCCCCTTGTCCTCCTCTTCCTTTCCCCATTTCCCGGCCATCACCTGTCTTTTTAAGAGAGAGACGCCCTTTTCTCCGCTGCTCATCTCCCCCCCTCAGACAACGCTCGTCTTCTGTGAGCCGATGGAGCCGCGGATGTCGCCGGAAAGTGCGGGAATGACGTCGGAGAACCCCCCGCCATGCAGCCACCGGTCCACCTTCTTCGGGTCGTCGTTCTCCTCGCCGGCGGACATGACCGACGAACTGCTCGAGCCGGCACTTGCGGCATCGAGGAATCACCGGGAGGCGGAGCGACGCCGCCGTGAGCGCATCAAGTTCCACCTCGACCGCCTCCGCTCTCTCCTCTCCTGTGACGCCAGAGTACTCTCTCTCTCTCTCTCTCTCTCTCTCTCTCTCTCTCTCTCTCGCTGTCTATCTACCTATCGATCTCTATCTATCTTTCTTCGTCTAAAGATTATAGCCAAAGCTGAAGAATTGAACTGGGGATTTGCAGTCCAATTTTCGCAGCTCGGTAGTCCAGTGAGATGGATGAAGCCTGCTAACATCCTGTCGGACTTATATCTTAATCGGAAAACTTTAGCTCTTCTTCCTCTGTAAGATTTTTGTGAGATCTCGGTTAAGCGCAGTATCGAAGAACATTAATTTACTGATTAAAAATATATTTAATGAGCCTACCAGTAATTAAATCGAGCATGAACAACCCGATTATTTGAAAACCTGTCATTTAGGGTTTGGTCTGACCGTGGGGTTCTCCTGATGACTGCAGATCGACAAAGCTTCGCTGCTGGCCAAGGCAGTGGACCACGTGAGGGACCTGAAGAAGCGCGCCGCAGAGATCGGCGGCGCCGCCAGCTTCCCCACCGAAGCCGACGAGGTCGCCGTTGACCCCGTTGACATCCCCACCGCCGCCGGCCGGAGACACATCCTCATGGCCTCTTTCTGCTGCGACGACCGCTCAGGGCTTCTGCCGGAGCTTGCAGAGACTCTCAAGTCCCTCCGTCTCAAGATCCTCAGAGCTGAGATCGCCACCGTCGGCGGGAGGGTCCGGAATGTCCTCGCCGTCGCCGGAGAAGACGGCGGCGGAGACGTGGCGGCGGCCGGCGGCGCGCCGGCGGCGTTCCTGGAGGAATCCCTGAGGGCCATGGTTGACCGGGGGATTCCGGCAGAGCGTCCGAAGCGACGGCGAGTCTCCGGGAGAAGAACAACCACCGTTTGAGATCTGCATCTGGTAATCGTAAGGCCGAGTTCTAGGGTTTGGAGCTCTTCTGTGAGGTGACATGGCCTTTCTGCTCTCCTCCTTCTGTCCACTGTTTATGATCAGACGTAATGGGGAAATCCTTTTTAGGGCTCTCACCGTTCTTCTTGTCGAGGAACAGCGAAACAACTGCGGAGGAAAGTTTCAGCAACAGAAGATTTTCTCGTTCCTCGTCGTTTCATTTTACTGATTCAGATGGAAACAGAAGATCCGAAAACTATCTATATCAGGAATACAGAGACGGGACGTGCCTTTTCAGGCATCAAGGAGAAGAGATGTCTCCGACTGTCTTGTTGGGTGCATGCATCTCTCTCCACAGTCGACTTCTCCGCTTGCGTACAAGTGAGATAGAGAGATAGAGATAGATAGAACCAGAGAGAGAGGAGAGAGAAAGAACAAGGGAGAGAGAGAAAGAGAGAGAGAGAGAGAGAGAGAGAGAGAGAGAGAGAGAGAGAAAGCTCTTCTATCCGCGTGTCGGAGCATGACTAGGCCGTCATCGTCGAGGGGGCTACCACGAGCCGGCAAAAGGGCCGGTCAACGCAGCGCCATGCGGCGCAGCCGACACGCGCGTTCTAAAAGACGTGCAGCCTCAAGACTACATCTAGTATTTGCAATTCCGCACACGGTTGACTACATCTGGGGGCCGTAGGAGGCCCTGAATCTCTTAAGAAGCCCGGGCCCGGCCCGGCTCAATTCGGCCCAAGAGAAGAACCCCTACAATTTTACTAGTTTCAACGGGCTAAAGCAGACCCACATCATTTAGAAACCCCGAACCCATCCTCGACTCCATCTAGCCGAAGAGCAGGACATCCGGTCAACGCCATCGCGAGATTCCGGGCCGGGCCATGAAATCCCACTCGGGCAGCATTTGCTCTCGAGCCCAGTGGAATCGGGGCTAAGAACACGGACACGGATAGAGGATTCACATAAATTTATGCATGTATGACCCAGAAGCCTACTGTTTCTGGGCTAAGAACACGGACAGCTGCTTTCTATGTAAGGAAACTGGGTTCAATCCTCCACGCGGTAGGGCCTCCATATCAAAACAATAATAGTAATAATCATAATAAAATTATGTACGTATTATGTATGCAGCAGCATCAAAAATTTAACAAGAGGAGCAGCATCAGAAGCTGATTTCTATGTTGGGAAATGGGGTTCCCGAAGGAGATTCATCCTCAACGCGCTAGGGCTTCTGCAGGAAAAGATACAGAAAAAGCACAGACTGGGTTTTCAGATGGAAGATAAAGGAACCATTTTTATGAGTGAAGAAGGGGGCGAGGGGGAGGGGGCACCTGCTGCATGGGGAGGTAGAGCTTGAACTCAGGGGGGAGCTCCTCCTCAGAGTAGAGGCGGTCCGAGAAGTAGACCCTCCTGAGGCGACAGTTGGCGTGGACCTGGACCCGCAGGGTCTCCACGTAGTTGGTGCCGTAGGCCCTCCTGGTCAGGTCAGCGAGGTTCAGCGGGATATTGTTCCAGCCCTCCTCCAGCCTCAGAGGCATGGTGCAGATGAAAGGCTTCACGCGTGTCAGAGCCTGCAAATAAGGAAAGAAATAGACCCGGTCTAGGAGATCAGTCAAGTTTCTCTCTCTGTGGATAGAGAGGGCCGGGCTCAGATCAGGCTTCATATGGGTTGACCCGGCCCGGCCCTCCAGCTAGGGTTTTAAAATTTTTCTGCCACCAATATTTGGCTAGTATTTGCAGTATAAAGCCCACTACATGAATTTCCACCATGAAAATTTCAAAGCTTTCCACATAACCCCAACTGGAGAATTCCTCAGGCTAAACTACAGAGTTCTTTATCGGTTATTAAGTGTCATCAATGGTGGATATTTTTCTATTGTGGGCGCGAATACCATCTTTGGAGATCAAGGTTTGGGGGGTTGAGAAGCCATTGAGGATGATGAAGGTCAATAAATATCATTTTTGAGATCATTAAGTCTTCCTTATGTTTCAAGTCCACAAGTCAACTAAAGGGTGCACCAATGATACTACCAGCCGCAAGTGAGTATCATCAGAAGAGAGAAAACAAGAATATATATTATAAACCTCACATCATTCAGAAAATATCTCATTGAAGGAAAAGTGAAATTCGCAATAAATTTCATAAAAAGTCTATGAAACATATTTCATAGGAACTTACTTGAAAATTGGAAGCTCGGAAACGCCGGCGAACATTCTTATCATCCAGCACTTGGATCTCAAATGTGAAGTATTTCTTTAAGTTCTTCACAATTATGACAAGAAAAGGAAGCTTTATCCCAAGTGTCGCACCAGGGTCTGCAGGGCATGTGATGTATACTGACTGCACATTTGACCCTACAATCTCGAGGACGTTGGACTGGATGTCTTCATCCTGTGGCCGTTTTATCTGGCCATTTACAACTGCAAGACGTGCAATTTAGAGAGATCACAAATGATGCACAGGAAATAAGAAGCAGTTTGCCACAGCACACATGATAACGAGATAAAGAGAAAACGAGAAAACTAAAAGTCCACCCGATTAATAACAAAAAACCCAAGTCATAGGTTAATTTATTATTTGAAATGGCATTTTATTAATTAAAGAATCAATGAAGCCCGCTAGAGTTTTGTGCCATTTTCTTGCAGAGATTATGTCAATGTTACATCTGTTCACTGGAATAGTGATGCCTTGTACCACACAACTTATGCTAGAACAAGACGCCCAATCATCACTGATTATAAAGTTTCATGCAGTAATATCAGAAACAAACACTTTATTGTAGCTTAACTATGAATTCAACGAAAACATATAAAGCACAGCAGACATGGATGTCATGAGACTGGGGGAAGGAACCATGGTTACTGCAACTAGAATTCCTACTGCAGGACTGAAATATATAAACCTTTCATTTATAAACTGGTGATTAATATTTCAGATGCTTAAGGTATCCACTCGCTGATGCGGTTAGCCATGTTACGTGTGGGGTATGCAAAGTTATATCTGAATCGGCAAGGACTGATCCACTTTCAAGGGAAAATCAGATCCCCCATTGAGGTTTGAATGAAAATCACTCAAAATATGTTAATTTTAGCAGGGTCTGCGAGAAATAGGCCATAGCCATACATGATACTCTGACCCATCTCAGATGAGGATCTAGACCCAAAAGTAGAAGTCAGCTCAAACAAAAGAGTCCCTTTAGATCCCTCCTATCCCTGTCCTCAACAATCACTGGCTGCCCGAGACCAACCACGGTCACCACACCCTATTTCTACCACGGTAACCTTTAGCTTGTGCCCGCATCCAGTGAGAAATAGAGAAGAAGAATTGAAAGAAGTGGAAAAGGGGGAATGACTTGTCCATCAGGCAAATATCTACATCCCCAACGATATAACTTCAGGCAAACGTTCCTTCCATGTTTCTAATTTGTGTAAGTTTGCTTATTTTTCTAATGTTTAATGTTTATTTTTTTCTTTCCTTCTGCTCTTTACCTTCATTGGCACCATGTTCCGGAACTATTTTTGACGTATCACAATATTTTAGTGTATCCCATCTTTCGCTAAAAATCCTCTGTTGTAAAGGTATGGTTTTATTTAATAAGTCCTCCAAGTCTGAAGAGACAGGGGAAAAAAGGCAGCAGTTGATCCTTATGTATGACAGAAGGAAAAATATATTTAGAGATCTAATGGGGAATGGCAATGCAAAAAAACCTTCTTTATCCCATATTTGCAAGGGCTTGCTCCTGAAAAAGAAAGAGAAGTATCAGACCCTCTAGAAGACAGCATTCAAACACTACAAGTTATGACAACCAGGAACATTTAAGGAACAACTCATACCCAAGGCTGTATAAAATTGATAGAAATCCAGACTGAAATGTGTTCCTAAACATCCTTTCTCGGAAGATAATCACTTTCAGTTGAAGCACGAGATCAACCTGGACAAACTACAAACATGGTGCAAAAATCCTCATCATTGGAGCATCTATCACAGAGCAGCGTGATGATAAAGTACAACACATCAACACACACACACACACAGAATAATATACGTATGTATATAACATAGGGGAAAATAAGGTTGTAGATAAAAATGAAGCCTAGTGAGTAGACCAAATATCACTGTACATAAAATAAAAATATATAAGTAGTCAGGAGAAAGCATGTAATATGGTACTCGAACATAGTATTTAATGGGAATATGGGAAGAAACATTTTTTTAAAATTCCTGACAAAGTTTTAAAAAGTTGTAGGGAACACTAACCAATATATGGATGGTCATTAGAATAGAAAATGGCTTCTACACTACGGATAGTTTAAGTCATAAAATAACTCTGATTCTTCACTTCCAAAAAAATATCTCAGTCTATCCTTCTTCCCTTGTTAATGAGCTGATTCTACATATTTCAAATAAAGTTCCTTCGTGCAGACTATTTGTAGACTAAAGATTCTGGTGTAGTAATGCTGAATTGGGAGACAAACTTGGAAAACGAATGATTCTTTGGAATTATCATTTTTTAAAATTATCACGATGAAGGAAAAATAATCAGAAATCAATTTCGGGAAAAAACAAGGATTAATTGCATTCAGGATGACAACAAAAAATTGTCTCGAAAAGACCATTGCAAACATAGTCTGATAATGAAGCAAAGAGGAATCTAAACAATGGTGTGGGATACAAGGTGGGGAAAAAAATTATGATAATGATACTTGCGCTATTTATCAGTTTTAGTTCAACAAATGATTAACCCTTAATGAAGAATCATCATGTAGTACACGTAATGCAACATTTTAGTAGTGGATAATACATTCAACAATCATATATTTGAAAATGCGTGGCCTATATTGCGTTCGTGTATAAAACATCACACAGGACATGGAAGCTAGAAAAACATAAGAGAATAATTTAATTTTCATGGCTGTGGAAATGAGACATATTGTTACACTGTAAGTTCACGTCATCAGTAATGCATTTTGAAGTCCTGGTAATTTTATCTCCTTTGTTTCCTTCTAGGTTCGGGTAAAAAAACCGACAGCATGATTCGGTCCCAGTATGAATGTTCCAAATAAATTCCAATGTTCACATGTAAGTTAAAGGAAAATGCTGAAATCATAAATGCTTCGTCAGTTGGTAGGTACGTTTTATATAGATGAAAACTTACATGTCGATGGAGAGAACCAAATGTATGCATTTTCATCGTTCATGTGGGCTACGGAGGTAATCAAACAATCTCCAAAAGCATGATTACCTCTTACGAATGTACGTATACTTCCGGAGAATTTAATTGCATCCCACACCACCCCAGCGAATCTATCCTCTGATCATACCTCCTCCCACATTGTTCTTCTCTTAAATATTAAAATAAAGAAAAAAGAAACAGCTGCATGAGACGCACACCCACAGGACCTTCGGCAGGCAGGATCTGGTGGACCGCCCATTGAGGCCCTCCACTTCATAAATCGAAAAAGAAAAATAACTGAAAATACAAAACCCTAATCCACAAAAATCAACTCTGAAAATGTCGCAGAACTGTCCATAACACCAAGAAACTCACAACGGCGAACTGACAATGTGTAAGCGAATAGGGGTCAACAAGAACGAGCAGAGTACTCGTCCACTACCTTCAAATCGCCAGGTCCGCAGAATTTCGCATTCCCAGTCTAAGCCCCCATATCAACTGTAGATAAGATGAACAACAGCCAACTGCACCTGACCAACGGAGAAGAGGAGATCAATTGCCCTTCCGAAACCTTCGATTCTTCGTATCCTCTCTCCAGCCTGTAAGAACTCCCGAGGATAACCTAGGAAACCTGACTCCACCTTCCTTCATTCTTCCAATCAGACGGAAAAGTAACGGCGCCGTCATGAAACGCCACGCACGTGCAATTTAGGAAATACTTATTTTATTTCTTAATAAAAATATTATTCGTCCACATTTATTAATATTAATATTTAAGTATGTTAAGTGTATATATATATATATATGAATAAAAACGCTTTCTGCGTAAAGCAAGGAATGGATAACTACTACTACAGGAGGGTGTCGTTTAAGTGGACTTGCTCGGAGCCCCATGTTAACGCCTACCCGAAAACAGATGGTCAAGAGAGACCAGTAAAACGAACCAACGAATCTAAACCGTTCGAGTAACAAGGGTTCTGCGAAGAACCATAAGATGGGGGAGTTCCGTGGTGTAGAATAAACTGGGGGTTTTGCGAAACAGCTGCGACGCGCAGAACTAGTGGGCTGCAGTGCTCGCCCACCATGAAGGAGAGCCAAGTATTCTCTACACGTGGACCAGTAGGAATGCAGATTCAGATAGCGCCTCCTGGCCACAAGTTTCGATCCTTCTAGGGCCGGCTTCGTCTTCATCCACAAGAGTCGCCAGCGTGTCTAAACGCCCGGCGACGCAGAGGAGAAGGAGAAGAGGAGATAGTTCCAGGGAAGAAAGCCGCCATCTACCTAGGGCTCTCTGAGCAACGTTCTTGCTTCTTTGGAAGGGCACCCGAAAGGTGCGTATCTCCGATTCTCTGAGTCCTGTGGATCGGGAAACTGGATGGTTCTTCCTCTAATCGCTTCTCTGTGTGTTTTCTTCCCCACTTTTTCCTTTCTTTCTTTCTTCTTCGTTTTGTCCCGTTTGATAGACCAGTCACCGGAAACAGAAGATTGCAAGACCCGAAGGTTTGCCGTCGAAAACCTAAGATGGTGGTCTGCTGCGAAGATACCGGTGAAATGTCCCCAAAATTTTCTGTTAATGGAATTTTCGTTGCGCCTCTGATAAGGTTTTTTTGATATTATTATTAGCCACCTGTGGAATATTTCCTCCTTTTTTTGTAGATACCTAGGAGAGAGAGCACTGGAGTAAATTTCTCTCCTGGGTTGATTTATCTGTTAGAGCATCAGATTTGGTACATGCAGATCGTCGTCCTTCCCTCTTGCATCACCTCTGTCTGCTGAGAGGAAGGTTCATAGGAAATGGGGGATGGCTTATTACAAGACCCCTATATTTTGATTTTATTAAATTCATGATGGTTTATCCAAACCAGGTATTGCGATTTTGATTTGGTGTTGAAGGGAAGAGAGCTTTATTCCTCATAGATAACCACAGATCTCCATGGAATGAAATTCCAATTTTTTTTACTATGTTCCTTGCAGAGATCTGCAAGATGAAAAATGCTCCTGCAATTAATTTAGTATCAGATGCGTGATTCCAACGAAATCTCCTATTTATTTCAGGCTAGGGCTATGGATTGGTGCTTTAGAAGAGAGGTTGATGATCTCATTGTTCCCACCGGTTCACAGTCTTCCGATAGATTGTATGCCGAAGATGGATCTCCATCCTCTAATAGCTGGTTCCAGTGGGAATTCGGCAGAGGTGAAAACCTCGTGCGACCTGAAAAATTCTTCAGCAAAACCATGAAAAAAGATGACACAGCATCAAGCTTTGATGGTAGAAGCCTGTACGAACAGTTTAAGCCAGAATCTTGTCTCCGTGATGCCAAAGACTCTGATGATCAGGAAGCATATGGGGATCTTTTGTTCGCTGACAGCTGCACAAGGACATCAGATCCATCCTTTCAGAAGAGTGAGCATCTGGGCGATCTGCCAGACCATCCACTACAGAACAGCTTGGAGCGCATGGATTTCTGGTACTTTTCATATCCTTGAATATATGTGGCCTCTGGGTTAGCTATTTCAGCGCCTGCGGAAGCAACTACTCCCAGAAGACGGTTTAAGATGCCTACGAACTCAGATGTTTTTTTTTTTGGGTCTCTGTGTGTGCAGGGATTCTGGATTTATTGCAGAGATACCTCAGATGGAGAGCCCATCCAATTCCTCAGACACTGCGTACATATCTACATCATTTCGGAATTTCTCATCAGACATGTTCATTGATCAGAATAATTCTCTGAATGATCCCTGTTTCACGGGGAGCCCGATCTACCACGAAAGGCAATCCACTCCTCAGGCTGATGATGTTGCCAAACATGAAGGCCATGGAACTGATGTTTCCCCCTTTTGTGTGACTCTTAGTTCCAGGTGCCTGGAAAGTTCAACTACGGTAACGGTGCTATCTTTCATGTATTTATTAACCAGGTATATGGTAGTTGGGGAAAATCCAAACATGAACGTGTGCCTGTGTTTGTATAATCCATTGTCTGCCGTTCTGTGGAAATATCTGAATCAGCTTGCATTTGGGTGCCTAAAAGCCGTCATTACTCACCTGTTTTCTGCGAGAAATAAAATAAGACAAAGGGTCACCCAATACAAGTGGGCTATCGACTGCTGAAGATTTCGTGCACCTTTTCTGCATGGTTTCCTAAGCGTGTAGTCCTTATAGTAAAGATATATTTCTTGATGAATCTAATCTCATTGGTGCATTCTGGACTCTGAGGTGCCGCATAGACATTTTTCTTGGAACTACTCGTGGATATGAATTGTTCTCTTTCTCTGGGTTTTTGGCGCATCGTTTGATTATCTAAAGATGCTCTTTTGGAGAAGCTCCTTCTGTGATCTTCAGCCTGCGAATTTACAAAAAAGTGATAAGTTCCTGTCTGTCTTGTAGCAATGGTCCAAAATAGGAAGCTTATCGCAAATGGCCCTCCCAATCCCCATTTCCTGATTTTGGTTCATGTACGCCCAGTCTCATCCCACATCATAATCTGTCCTACCCTCTTTAGTTCAGCGTCCAATTGGTCCATATATTGAACATAATTTCTAATTTCAGGTCTATGAATTGTCAGATGAACCATAGTCGAGTGTAATATAGTCCTTCAAAGATATCATGAGCGGTACTAGATGAAAGGCGATTCAGTTACACAAATATAATGAACTTAAATGGATGATTTGTTTGGAATTTGTTCCTCTTTATTGCATTTATTTGCATCATAGACCTGAAGCTCTTATATATTTTTTTTTGTCAAAAAAATATATCATCGTAGATAATTAATTACGTAGGCCAACACTCATGATCCTTGTTCTACTTTCAGGCTTTGCCGCACTCAGCTTTGGTTCCTGCTGAGCTAAGTACATCCGAGGAGATGGCTGGCCTTCTTCAAGAAGAGGCTTGCTTGGAAGCTAATGTTCTTCAGGAGCTCGAAGGGGTGATGTCACAGGTAACACTCACAAAACTACGGGAGCTTCCTAAAATTCCATGAATCCGGGGCATTTTCGATAGTTTTTCTTCATTCATATGAACAGCTGACCACAAAAATGAGGATCTGCTTCCGTGATGCCCTGTACCGCCTTGCCGAGACATCAAAGCAGCACTCCTCACTTGCTGAGGACAAGCCATATTCAAGCGTGGATGTCAACAACCCGCGGTGAGATTTCATAACTCCAGTATTTTCTCCAAAACCCCACTTTTAATCTTATTTTTTTAGTACCCCTTCTCATGGTATGTAGTCCATTCATTTACCACATTAGGATATAGAAAGCATGCTTAACTCCCCTCTGTTAGCAAGATCATTGCCTACCCAACATGAGAACAGTGGTCTCTGGAGATATTATCCTCAGTTCGTCTGCAAATGCGCTGACCCTGTTGGCTTTGACCAAATTTTGTGCAGCAACTGTGCCCCAAACTCTGCAGAGAGAGAGACGAACGCCATAGACAGGATCATCGCCAACATGATGTTCAACAACCTGGTTCCTCCACACACATTCTCACAGTCAAGGGGAGCCGCCCAGCACGGCGAGTCCTTCACCTCGACGCCGCCACCCAGATTACCTGCTATATAAGGGAACAGCGGGCGGCGAAGAAGCCTTCTGAACGAAGATCGATGCTGTGCAAATTTAATAGTTTGATGCTGTTATAATGGATGAGCGAGCTTCCCTTCCATGGTGTTCCTCCCTGTTCATTGTAGATACGAACGTCTCCTAGATGTAAGGTGTTGGCTCGGGAATTTTGTAGGTATAGATTATATGCTTTCCTCTGTACTACTGTAAGCACTTCATGCCCCCGCTTCAAAGAGGGGCCATAGTTGACCATATGATTGAAGCTTGATTTCAGTAGTTTCTCACAGAATTGGTCATAGAGAGAGAGAGAAAGAGAGGGAGAGAGAGACACGTCACCTCGATTCCAAGATGTCTGAAAACGATGGGACCCCGGGCCACGCGGCGGCTCTATCGGCGGAGTTCCCCCCCTCGTACGGCGATGGTGCTGGTAAGAGCCAAACTTTTGGAATGAATCACGCAAATACCAATCTTGAGGGCCATCTTGCATGCCCCAAGACTCTCTCTCTCTCTCTCTCTCTCTCTCTCTTACTCTCATGACAAAATCTCCCTGCTGGCCTTCATCTTTACCCTTTCTACGTAACCTTTGCCTTTCTCTATCTAAGGCACGCGCGTGTAGCCAGGCTTCTTCTTTCTCTCTCTCTCTCTCTCTCTCTCTCTCTCGCTATCTATCTATCTGTGTGGGTCTACCATCACATCCATCCGGAGGCAGACAGACTGACGCTGGCTCGCCTGAAAAACCGCTCTCACGGAGAATCTTCTTCGTCTCATCCCGCGAGCCGCATCCGGATCGAAAGGCACAGCAATATCTTCCCGCTCGGTGGCTTCCAAGGCGTCGTCTTCAGCCGCAGCAGCGTCGTCCACTAGGTCTCCGCAGCATCTCACCCCGGGATATGCCTTCCGTGAGCGACTGCCCCGCCACTGTCCGACGTTTTGCCCCGATCCAGAAAGGAGGAGGACGTTCCTTGCGTGCCGATGACCATCGAGCGCCCCACGTCGTTTTCTTCCCCTACGAATAAAAAAAAAGTCGCATATTTTGTAAACATCGCATTTATGTGGCACCGACGCGCCTTCCTTGGGCTTAACACAAAAAAGCCCGGTCTCGACCCCGGCCCGGAGAAAAAGCCCATAAAGCAGATCTTGGGTGGGACCCACGCGAAATCCTTGCTGGGCCCGGGCCGGCCTCTGGAGGGGCAAAAATAAAAACAAATGGTTATACTTGGCTAAATTCGTTGACTAATTGCTTTCTTATCCACGTCTTGATATTTGGGGAATATGATATCTTCCCCGTATCTTAATTTTTTGGAAAAAAACTCGTTTTTTAACAAAGAAAGAAGAAATGGGGATGCTGGAGTCATGGTTTAACTATTTTTTTAGAAAATTTGAGCGCTGGCCCCCGTAAATATGCGGGACCCACCCTGGTCCCCCAACTTGGGATGTTTCCAGATTGGACCGGTATCCGACTGGCTGCACGCAAGTGGGCTCATAAAACGGGCATAAACAAAAAAGCCCAAAAATAGGCCATAGGTTGTATACTCGCCAGGTCTTATCCAGAGAGAGAGAGAGAGAGAGAGAGAGGCGGGTCGGGTCCGGGCCTGGTATTCTCGGGCTTGAGGCCCAAGCCCGGGAAAAGATGAGTCGGGCTTCGGGCCTACGGGCCGCCACTGGATAAAGGCCCTTTTTTTTTTCCTGTGGGGTCGAAGGGCGTTTATAAATTTGAGGCGCCTCCTCGATCTCCTCCCGCTCCGCCGGCGCGGGAAGGAGCGGGATTCTTCGTCTTCTCCGGGGATCGGAGAAGTTCCTGGTTCCGTAGCTCGTACGTCGTCGAGGTATGGGCGTTGGATTACAGCATCATCTGGAGTTCTTCTTGGTATTTCTCTTCTGAATTTCCTTCGTCTCTTCCTCCGCGCGGTTGTCTCCAGGCGAAGTGAGGGTTTATCGTCTTGCCTTGCCCAGGGATTCGTGGTTCCTGTGGTCGTCGGTCCTTTTCCGAAGTAGTGGTATATTGGGACCCTGGGGGAGGGAGGTTGTTTTCCTTCAGGTCTCTCCTCTGCTTCTTCTCCGTCTTCTCTCTGAACTAGCACAGAAGAAGCGAGCGGGAGGGGTGAAGGAAAAGTGGGTTGAGGCATCCTACACAAGGTTGACTTTTCCTCATGTGCACCTGCATATTTCAGGTTTTGGTCGAGTAGTTTTTGGATTTTGTTGATATACAACTTTTAGGCGAGGAGTTCTTCTTACTAATTCGTCGATCTTGCTCCTCTACACTCGATGTAACTAGGGTTCCTTCAACAGGTGGCACAGCGACGGCGATTGATTGGATCGTAAAACATGCCTTACCTGGTGAGGGAGGACCTTTATATCGGCAAGATCGATGACGCTGCGGATATCCTAATGAAAGGCACAGGAGAGATCACCCACGTCCTTTCTCTCCTCAGCTCTGCCGCCATCTCATTCTTCTCGGATTGGAAGTCGAGCGTCTCGATCCCGAGCCAGGAGATACGTAAGGTCTTTGCCGGTGAATCTGGGAGGCCATCTTGCTCAGATGATGAAGCCGACGTTTCCCCAAGGAAGGCGGTCTCCCAAGGGAAGCTCATGTACTCACTTGAGCTGGCAGGTCCCGGAATGAAGATTGTGAGGTTGGCGGTGCCTCTAAGGGATATGGAGGAGGAAAACCTACTGGACCGTCTAGACATCTGTCTCGACTTCATTGAAAAAGGCAGGAAGGAGGGTTCCATTCTGGTGCATTGCTTTGCTGGTGTTTCGAGAAGGTACATGAACTATTTTTTCTGCCGAAGTTTTGATTTTGTGGGTAAATCTCTGAGTCCTATTGACTATCCAGATTTCATAGGTTATCCAATAAGAATTACATGACTAGCTACAGAACGTAGGAGACACGAGCTCGGTTTATTCATCTTGTTTTTTCCTTAAAATTCGCCGAATAATCTTGATGAATTGTTTGATTAGGTAAAGATTATCTTGTTTTCCCAGAAAAATTGTCGATGAATCTTGATGGAGTGGCCTCTATTTCTTGGGTGACTCGGGAAATGTAATTTATGAATGGGTATGGGTCTTGTTCGAAATGGAATGGGCTACTTTTTCTTTCTCGTAAATGTTAATATAATTACATATTTATGTTATAGTACGCCTGGTCCGAATCTGCATATCTATGTTTCACCCCCTAACTATTGCAGAAAGCCTAGTTCACTCCCCATAAACTCTTTCTTTTGCTGCAAATTATAACGCTTCACCTCTGTTCTTCTCTTCTGTTCTAGACTGATGTGGGTATAGAGGCTTGTTCCCCTTTTTCCTGATGTCACAAACTCTTTTTTTTATGCTGCAAGTTTATCGATCAAATGAGAACTTGTTAGTTCTGGTGCATGAAATTAATTGCCTCACGTTATGCATTTATTTCTTTAAATGGCGCAATACTCACCAGAGGGTAACGAAGTAAAATCTTGTTTATTCATCATTTTATTTCGCCAATTTTTAGATTGACTTAAAATTAAGGTTTACATGCTCCTCCCCTTTTGTTTTTTTGTTTTTTTGTGCAGCGCAGCCGTCGTTACAGCGTATCTAATGAAATCTGAACAAAAATCTCTAGAAGGTTACAAAACGTTTTTCCTTTGAGCTAACAGTCCTGCCTCTACCATTCATATTTATCTCCTTCCACCTGTGTGCAGACGCTCTCGAATCCCTGGAGCAAGTCTGTGAATTTGTTTGCCCGAATGATGGCTTCAAGGATCAGGTGGGTGATCATCTTATACCTGCATATAGTATGATTGAAATTTCTTGATTTCTTTGGTTCTGAATTTATTCTTCATTTGTCTTATTCAGTTAAAAATGTTTGAGGATATGGGCTTCAAGGTAGACCCTGCCAGCTCCATCTATAAGCGCTTTAGGTTGAAGGTACTTGGTGAGTTTCCTCTCCCTCCTCGACTTGATGGTCGCACCAATCTATTGCTACATACTTGATGCGCCATTCCATTTCATCAGCCTGTCGGACCTACTAATGCCATGCACTTTCCTAAGTCAGAATAAAGAAAGAGACGATAGTAGAAGGATGGGTGGGGAATCCTACATAGTGAACTGAATAATCTTATACAAGTGGTGTTTAGCTACCCAGAAGCCTTCATCTTCTTGCTGTCTTAATATGATACGTGATACGTGATAATAACTCTCTCTCTCTCTCTCTCTCTCACGCAGATAGGTGTAAATGGAAGGCCCAGCCTAGGCTCCACCATTTGAATATTTTATGATCATGCACCCGTAACTCAAAGATCATAACATCACTCTAATATATTCCTGGACGGTTTCAGGTGATTCCTATAACCGAGGTCACAAGATTGACAGCTCCATCTTCGGGGCCGACCCTGGGCTCCCTCCGCTGTCAAGCCTTCCGGAGGCTGCCCCCAAGCAGAATGTGCCGGCCAAGGCCTACCGCTGCAAGAAGTGCAGAAGGGTGGTGGCCCTGCAGGAAAACGTGGTCGGCCACACCCCTGGCGAGGGCGAGGCTTGCTTTGGGTGGCAAAAGAGGAGAAGCGGCAACCCCTTCAACAGGCGCGGCGAGTCGGATTGCTCCTCCATATTTGTCGAGCCTCTGCGGTGGATGACCGAAGGTGAGGTTCATCGAACCCAGTCTACAGTTTCTCCATGGCTAAGTTTTCCGCAGAGCTGCCAATAGGCCAGCATCCCTAACCAATGTCGTAAATCATGTTCAAACTGGCCCCAGATCCTCAAAACCCTTGCCTCTCTTGGATCATATACGTACGCATATATATATATATATATATATATATATATATATATATATATGTATGTATGTATTTGTAACTATAGCTAGGAGGGATTGTGTTATGAAGCTATGGGATATCTGTCATTTGTTGTGTCTGATGTCTCATTCTGGAAATGGCAGTGGAGGGAGGCGGGCTGGAGGGGAAACTCTCCTGTATCCACTGTGAAGCACGGCTGGGTTACTTCAACTGGTCTGGCATCCAGTGCAGCTGTGGCAGCTGGATCACTCCTGCCTTTCAGATTCACAAGAACCGAGTTGATGTCAGCACCGTCTGATGATGCCTTCTCTCAGCAATCCCGTGCTACACAGAGCTTTCGATTTCTTCGGAGCTCTGCTGCAATGGAGCCTCAGCAGTTGACCACCTCAGCAAAAGGCTCTCTAGCTTCCCACCCGAAGAGTAGCAACTGCTGACTTTTGGTTAGTCCTCTCCTGATGAAGGGTTTTAGTGGGATCCACAGCACACGGCTCAAAGTAGTGTAAGAGCTTCTCTCACTCGAGAGGAAGAACTCTTTAGCTTTCCATTTTTGTTGAGGTGAAATGAAGAAAGATCATCCTGGAGATGGCGTTTTCTATCGTTAAAGAATTTCATTACTCGAGTTCTTTAACCTCCTCTCTGGTGAGGTCCAATTCATGACGATAAACCTGATATTTCCTTCATAGAGAGAGAGAGAGAGAGAGAGAGAGAGAGAGAGAGAGAGAGGGGCAGGTGAGATCTTCCTCTTCTCCCCCATTCTTGTATGAAAATTTCTGAAAAATATTGTTGGAATGCCCCCCACATGAGAGATCTCCAGGCAAACCCAGAAGCCGCGTCCCACCTGCGAGGGTTCCCCCATTCAAAAATGGAAGCCGCAGTGACCAGGAAAAAAAAAGAAAAAAAAAAAGAAGAGAAATCAGGACATTTCTATAGACGGCCGTCAGCCACGGTACTGGGTTACTGCAAGGCTTCGCTGGGCCACATACGCCTCCACGTGGCTACCTCCTCTTCCTGCAGCTTCCTGAGGCCCCCGTAGAAGCCACTGGTCTCGTTCCCTTCCTCTGAATGGCTCTTTCGATTTATTGCTGTCTTTCTCCAACGAGAATCGATCGAATACTGCTTGAATTCCACTACCAATGTGCCTGCCCGACAAGAACATTTTAATTCTTTATAACTTAATAGAAATAAAGGCAATGCATGCTTCTTTAATGTCTTTCTCAACCCAATAATGGGATTTTAATAAATTTTCTTTCCCACCAGAAAAATGATAATTTTTTTATTAAAAAGTTCTATAAATACTAAAGAATTTCATGGATTCTCATTGAAATACTCACCACAGCCGTTGCCTGTTCAGTAAGGAAATTTTAATAGAAATTTTCTAGTAGAAACCAAGGATCAGCACTGTGTTCTAATGAATCTCTCACCATTGCCATTGCATGCCCAAAAAGGAATTAAAACATTTTTTTAGAAATCAAGGAATCATACATAATATTTAGTGGATTCTCACCACTGCCATTGTTTGCCCCAGAGGAGAAGTTTCATAGAGTTTTTTATTTTATTTTTTAAATTTTATTTAACAGAAATGAAGGAATTTCATGGCTGATGCAATGAACTTCTTACCGCTGCTGTGACAACGGCAGTGGTGCCCGTCCCCAATGCAGGACTCCAGGTGACCCACCTCGCCATACCACCAGCCTGCCAGAAAAAATCAAGAATAAATAAATAAAAGTTTCAGGGAAAATTGCAGAAAATAAATAAAACTTATCACATAATTCCTTGGTACTAACGATAGAGAAACCCATATTCTGAAAGATTTTGCAGAAAAAAAATCAACTTTAGGAAATAAATTCAAAATATTCGGATTTTATCGACCCTGCTTGACAGCTTCAGCATGAAAAAAAAAAAATTATACTAAATAATAGTACCCAACATCAGCTTCTAAAGGAAATGCATCAAAATAATTAAAATATTAACGGGGTAAATAACCCACCGTAGGGAAATTCTTTGCTCCTTCTCCACTGGATCTCGACGTGGTCGCCAGGGCGGAGCTCGCTCAGACACTCTGAGACATAAAGATCTTGGGGAGATGCATCGACAGGTGGGGCCCTTATCCGGTCCCACTGCACTCCTTCCTCGATTACTACCATACGCTGCCCATGGGGAGTGTACCTACAATACTTGCCCATTTCAATGGAGAAACACCACATCTACAGAGATTACCCCCGGAGGGATGAAAGAAGACGAACAGTGGAGGGAGCAAAATGCCGTGTTTTAGCCAAATGAGGCAAGTTCTTCGAGTACCTTGCGCAGAAGGTGTCGGTGCGGTGATCATAACCAAGGTCAGCATCATAGCACGACAGCATAAACCCAGCATGCCCACTCTGAGATAAATGATCACAATGTATTAGAACATAGTCAACCACCCCGAAGTAATCGGTCAATGCATAGCTAGTATTGCCTATGGAGAGGCAAATGGGCCTTACTTAGATATTAGGAGTACAAAAAAAGATAGTATTTTTGCCATAAGTAGTCGATGATCAGGAGCTATTAGGTCCACCTGGATTTATATTCCGAGAAGTGGGTTGCCCTCATGAACAAAACAGATTGTCTGAAATAATGATCATAATCTATGAGACCCATCAAAATGTTGGGAAAGAATCTACCCCAGTAAAGTAACCGATTCATATTCAGCTGCCCATGGATGGTCAAACCAATCTTATTCAAAACATGGCCCGCATTAAGAAAACATATATCAAGAAAGTATCTGCCTTAATAATCATAGTCTATTGGCCACCTAAACTTTGGGGAAGAACCAATCCCACTATGGTCGTTGACTAATAAATAATTAGCTAACACTGCTAAGGGAGAGGTGGGTCAATCTTATTAATAGAGCAGATGTATAGCAATTAAACTGCGAGGCTAACCTTATCTGTGAAGTAGCAAATTGATCTTATTTAAATATTTTTTATATTAATCTAACATATTTGCCCATAGTCAACCAGGAATGGAGACCTAACCTCTCTGTTGTAAACTTGAGCAGGCAACCAAAATCTCCCGCTCTGGAGAGCTGCATACCACGACATAACTGAGGCAGTGGGGAGAGACCTCGTGGGCTTGGGATTTCTGCAGTGGGATTGTGATCTGAAACAAGGAAGAAAGCGGAGGAAAGACAGAGATCCCGCCCATCGGCGTCGCCTACTCCCTGATCCACCGGCCAGAGGATCCCTTCTTGAAAAGCTGTACGATTGCCAAGCTCTCCTTGCTGCGTGGTCTATAAGGGGACCCCATTTCTCCTTCATGTGACCCTCCCACAAGTGATCGCTCCGGCAAATTTGCCTCAGAGAACGGGAAACCGCCGCCATGGTGCAGAGAGAGGCCGGCGGGAGCTTGCAGAGGATGGCCTCCAGCATCGGCTCAGGCAGGTCTAGAAGGGGCATCTCCGCACTCGTCTCCTCCACGGCTTCCATGGCGGAGGAAACATTCCGCTTCTGGGAAGCTGTGAAGGGGGCTCTAAAGATGGTGAAGGCGACCTGGTTGCTCCTTTTCAACCAGTCAATGGAGAAGCGCAGGAACTCTTGGCAGAGGAGAAGAGAGAGGACTCTCATCTCCTTCGTCCAAGGCGGGAGGGGCTGCAAGGGAAGGAGCCCGGAGAGGATGACGACGAAGGAGAGCGCGGAGGCCAGGAAGAAGATCATCAAGGTAAAAGCTCTGATATTTGTTCCCCGTGGGATCAACTCAACACCCATGAAAATTGTCCAAGAAATCTGGGAATGCACTGTAGGTGGAAAAAAAATCCTACACTGATGAATGGGAGGACGAAACCCTAGCGAACCAGCTAGTTTCTGAGGCTTCCCTCGTTCTCCCAGAGAGCCTCTTGAATCTGTTCTGGGTCTCTCTCTCTCGGAGAGCTAGCTCATTTGGTGGCGTGAGGCGCTTGTCAGAAAGCCTAAATCTTGGAGAAAGGGTGAGAGAGCATTGATTGGGGGGAGATGGGATGAAGTAGTGGTGCTGAGAGGAAGCAGGGAAGTGTGCGCAGATGTGGGTAGTTGGGGACGGCTCTGGTAGGTCCACCCAACTGCCAGATCTCCAAGAATGGCAGAATCCTACTGGACCAGGGAGAAACGCAGACCTTCCGCAGAGGGAAGAGCCCGAAGAGATGGGCGTGTTCATGGAGATTTCTCCTCTCTTCCACCCTACAATGCCAGCGGGAGGGGTCGAGTGGAAGAGGGTGATTCCTCCGGAGTTGTGGGACTCTGCGGATGAATCCTTGCGATGGTGGGAGGACATCCTTCTGGTTTGGCAGTTCGGTCGTTAACAGTCCACCAACCTCGCACCTTACTGCCGGTGATGGCGATTCCTTCCCCTTTTCTCCAGCCTTCCTTCCACCGCACCAAGAACTACCCACCAGCAAATGTGGCCCCAGAGAGGAGGTGTTCGACCGAGTCCAAGCGTCGCTGTCGGCCAGTCTTCCGATGTCGACCTCCGGTCAATGGAGGTGCGTTCATAGTTATAAGGCGGGGGGGGGGGAGGGAGAGAGAGAGAGAGAGAGAGTAATAAATACGCCGTTATCCTTCCATGGTGAATTCCTCTCTCATTTGTTCCGTGGTAGGCAGGGAGCCCGCTCTTCTGCCGAACCCACCATCAATCATGGTCATCTGCCTCGCTCTCTCTCTAACCGGGGAACCATGGTACCCATCTACCGTTGAGAGAGAGAGAGAGAGAGAGGGCGTATCTTATGGAATGCCAGTTGCCAAGTGCAGACTTTTCTGTATCCTCTACAGTTGACGATGACTCGGCTGTTCATTGGCATCGGGAGGGAGGTTTTCCGTGCGAACTTCTCGCGTTTCCAGACAAGGGAGACGTCCCTCCATGCTCTTCCTCGTCCCCTTGTCCTCAGTGCTTGTGTCAATTTCGACTGGCCAATCCAAAGGGATCTCTCTCTCGCTATCTGGAGAGTTTAATGGGTCGGGGCTCCGGTAGGTAGCCTCAGATGGGCCCACCATTTGCTGACGGTAGCACACCCGCGTGGCAACGACCCATTGCTTCTGTCTTCGAAGCTGGCCCATGAAGGCGGACTCCTACTGCACTCGACATGGCCCGGGGCCCACTGATAACCCTGACTGAATATTATTTTTTTAAATACATTAGAGCAATAAAAATTATAAACGTGAGGAATAATCCCACGTTGAAAATGGAACCTCCAACTATTTTTTTATTCTCAAATGAGGACGATATAATTTTTTTTGGAAGTGACTTAAGCAATTAAGTTTTTGGATATAAACATAAATATTAAAGTTTTTATTTATTTATGTAAAAAATATGAATTTAGTGGATATGTTTGATAAGTGTTCGCCGAGACGCAATGCGGGAGGGCTTTAGGGTTTTAAGGTTTTGGAGCTTCTCTCTCTCTCTCTCTCTCTCTCTCTCTCTCTCTCTCGCTGTCTCTTGGTGGTCAGTTAAGACCAGGGTTTAAGACTCCAATTGTCTACCTGCTGGTGTTTCCTCGACTGGGGTATCTTCTTTGATCCGGTCCTCCTGCTCCTGCAGAGGAGACGGTACAGTGCCATCATGGCGTTGCTTCGTCGGGCTGTCAACCCCATTAAGCGGTGAATCTCACGATCCCATTTCTTTCCTCTTTTCCATCTCTGACTAGCTTGGAATGATCGCCGCCGATATCGTCGCTGATTCCACTACCATTCACCTGATAGCTTCAAACAACCATTTTCCATTTCTCCGTTTTTTGCTCTTTGTTCTTTGCCCTTTCCCTGGCCGCTGCAGTGTCTCGTTATTTCTCTTTTTTTTTTTCCCCTGATCTTATGATCGTAATCGGTGAGGCAACCTGTCGGAGTTTCCTATCCCGTTCGTAGTATCTAATGTGGTTCGATTATCCTCAGGAGCCATGGACATATCGTAAGTTTGTGTAGATGTTGTGCCAAACCAGCCAGCTCGATCAGCTCTGCAGGGAATGGAGCTGACCGAGGTGGAAGCTTCCCACAGGGCAACGCTCTCTTCACCTGGCCCTTATCTTCTGCTGGCCCCTTCTTGGCCAATAGAAGCCTCTCCTCCCAGTCTGGGAAGAAGACCGAGGATGAAGATGACCTTGAGGAAGGGTTTTCTGACCTGGAAGCACCGCACGGAAACGATAAAGCCGATAAAACTGAAGGCGAAGAGGGCGCTGAAGGTCTGGCATCTGGTGCAGAGCTCTCTGGCACTGAGTCGGGAGACGATTCTGAGGAAGCCGAGGAGGCTCTCGGCTTATCAGACATTGAAGCTGAGAAAAATGGCGGCGCGCCTTCCCCGAAGAAGACCTCGCCTTCTCCCCTTTTCAAGGTCATCATGGAGGCTTCTCCTCTCTCCATCAACGCCGCCCTCGATGAGTGGGTCAACGAGGGGAATCCTCTGGGGCGCAGTGAGATCTATTCAGCCCTGCTTGGTCTTCGGAGACGGCGCCACTTTGGGAAGGCCTTGCAGGTAACTGTTCCTCTGTGTTAACACCGTGAACCTAGTTCATTCCAAAAGACCTTGCATTGCTTGGTCTTGCTCTTAGTTTGCTATCTTCTGCTCTGAAATTGGTGAAATTGGTGCATTGCAAAAGGCATGTAACCTGGGTTTTATCTGACGCTTAATTTCTCTACTTGGTGACCCATTTCCATCGCCAAGATTAGCCATTTAGACCCAGGCTTGTTTTGTTCTTAATATTATATCACCCAACTTTCATTTGCTTCGGATTTCTCCATGAAATGTCAGCAATGCTCACCATCTATGTGGTAGATTTTTCCTTTGAGATTTATCACTGTAGATTTATGATTGGGGACGCTTTTTGGTTCTCATTTGTCTATAATTTTTTCCTTGGTAAACGTAGCTATTTCTAAATTCCTTAATTTTTATTATAATACAAGTTGTGCTGAATTAAAGTCGAAAATAATTAACTTATAGCTGTGAGAAATAGAAATATTCTAAATTATGTGGTGATAATCTTGGGGAAAGCATTCTAATTTGTGTAGAGTTTGCCCCAAGTAAAACATGCGTCTTTCTAAATTATTTAATGTTTATTGTTATGCCACTTCTTGAGTTGAATTTAAAACGGGAATAACCAATTTTTATAATGGGTTATACGTATTGTGAATCTTGGGAAAAAAATTCTCATTAGCATTGAATCCCCAAATTCTCTAATGTTTATTTTACCGCAACTTGGGTTGAATTAGAAAGTGAAAATAATTAATTTTTCCCTGTGTAATATATATATATCTTGAATGTGATGAGAATCTTGGACAAAAATATTTCATTTTGTTAAAAATGTCATGACTTTGATCATGCTTGGATATTGCCTATTTATTACATGATCCCATGGATGCATCTCATCTGCGTCGTCTGGGTCTCTCAATAGTTGTTATCAACTCTTACATCAATCTCTACTTCATCCCCCCTTGATTTCCTCTGATGTTTCTATTTCTGTGCCCCCTCTTCCTCCCCAGCTCTTCGAATGGTTAGACACCAAGAAGCGCCTCAGCTTTGTGGAGAGGGACTACGCCTCCCGCCTGGATCTGGTCGCCAAGGTGCATGGCCTGTACAGGGCCGAGAAATTCCTCGACAAGATCCCTCAATCTTGCAGAGGCGAGTTGGTCTACAGGACCCTCTTGGCCAACTGTGTGGCGGCAGGCCGGGCCGACAAGGCGGAGGAAGTCTTCAACAAAATGAGGGACCTTGGCTTCCCGGTCACTGCCTTTGCCTGCAACCAGCTGCTGGTCCTCTACAAGCGGCTTGACAGAAAGAAGATCGCCGACGTGCTGCTGATGATGGAGAAGGAATCGGTGAAACCGACTCTCTTCACTTACAGGGTTCTGATCGACGCCAAGGGCCGTGCCCGCGACATTGCTGGCATGGAGAAGGTGGTGGAGAGCATGAAGAAGGAGGGCCTCGAGCCCGACTCAACCGTGCGGGCGGTAATCGCCCGCCACTACATCTCCTCTGGGCTCACCGAGGAGGCGACAGATGTTCTCAAGGAGATGGAAGGTGGTGGCAGTGGTGGTGACGGTGAGGACCGGGGAGCCTGCAAGTCCCTCCTTTTGCTTTATGCGGCACTTGGGAAGGAGACCGATGTGGAGAGGATATGGAAGCTCTGCGAGGCTGCCCCCCGCATGGACGAGTGCCTCGCGGCCATTGAAGCATGGGGCAAGATCGGTCGTGTGGAGGCGGCAGAGGCTGTCTTCGAGAAGATGCACAAGCAATTCAAGAAGCTCTCGCCGAGGTACTACAATTCACTGCTCAAGGTCTACGGCGACCACCAGCTGCTGGGCAAGGGGAAGGAGCTGGTGAAGAGAATGGCCGATGGTGGCTGCCCGATCGGGCCGCCGACGTGGGACGCCCTGGTGGGGATGTATGTGCAGGTGGGGGAGGTGGAGAAGGCCGATGGCCTGTTGCAGAAGGCCGCTGCCGGGCAGGGAAAGGCACGGCTTTTGCACAGCTCCTATATGGCGGTGATGGAGAAGTATGCCGAGAGAGGGGAGGTGCACAACACGGAGAAGATCTTCCACCGGCTGAGGCAGAGTGGGTATGCCGGCAGGATGAGGCATTTCCAGGTGCTGCTGCAGGCATACGTGAACGCCAAGGCCCCGGCTTACGGCTTCAGGGAGAGGATGAAGGCTGATAATGTCTTCCCCAACAAGTCCATGGCGGCGCAGCTGGCTGCCGCCGATGCCTTCAAGAAGACTCAAATATCGGACCTGCTCGATTGAGGAAGATGGCCTTCTATGAACTTGATTACCCTCTCTGATTCCATTTTGCAACCGGTTGCCCCGGTTTCCTTCTCTCTCTAACCGAGTTCGCCGGGCTCTTCTCTCTCTAGCTGAGGTCTCTCAAATGGGCCGAAGATGATGGAGGCTCAAGAACAACTTAGTGCAATGAAAGTGGAGGCTCAAGAAGACTCGTCATCAATGGATCTTAAGAACCCTAAAACAGGGTCGATCAAGAACCCTAAAGCACCGAATAAGGATGGCATAAATTCGCCCACATTTTCTCGATGAGCATTAGCATGATTACAAAAAATTCTTGGGCAAAGTAGAAGACGACTGACGACCCATTAAAATGTATAGAACATATGCACAGTTTTCAAAAAGAAATCGTTCCTGATACTTTCCCAAGGCCAATGATCATCTGAGGGCAAGAACAGGCAGCGGCCCAGCCGAAGCCTGAAGATTGATGACCTTCTCGTGGCCAATCAGATGTCGAGATGCTCCAAATTGATCAGGCTCGCTGAATTCTGTATGAGCTCCTTCCTCACGTCCACCTAACGGATTACCCATCAATATGCAAAAACCGACGTGAAAATATAATGCTGTGTCCGGTTAAGGTTTCTCATCTAGGGCTTAATGTTTAAGGTTCAGGGCTTGCGGTAGGAAGTTTAGGGTTCAAGTTTTGGACGTAGGGTTTTGAGTTCATATGTTGTGACCGCTTAAGGTTCATCATCTAGGGTCTAGGGTTGAACGTTCAAGGCTTAGTGTATGTAATTTAGGGTTCAAGTTTTGGATGTAGGGTTTTGGGTTCATATGATGTGACTGCTTAAGGTTTATCATCTAGGGTCTAAGGTTTTGGGTTAAAGTGATGGTTTGGTGAGAGTCAACTAGTTAAAGAGATTTAATTCACATATGAGAGTCCACTAGTCAGGGGTTTACCCGGGCACCCATGAGAGAGGAAAAGACGACGTTCGATTCACCAGCATCATCCACCACCAACTGCTTCAGCAGCCTTGTCTCCGGGTTCAGCGTGGTTTCCCATAATTGCAGAGGCATCATCTCCCCCAAGCCTGAGAGTAAGAATACAGAGAGGACTTCAACTCTGTGGAAGAATATATCCGCACAAACACCAACCGGAGGGAAAAAACACTGAGCAGGGGTGGGGATCGGGGTCTACTTTCTTCTCAAATCCTCACCTTTGAATCTCTGGATGTTGTAGCTCGCATTGGGGGGGAAGCTGCTCTGGAGGCGTTTGAGCTCCGCTTCATCGTAGCAGTAGTGGGCTTGCTTGCCTCTCTCAACCTGAAAACTTCGGAAAAACTGAGAAACCCTCTTTCTATAATGGGAAATGGAGGCCTTTCTGATCTCGGCAATGGTGCCGACGCGTACCTTGTAGAGCGGTGGAACGCCTACATATATGCATCCTTCATCGAACAGCGCTTTCTGCAGGGAGAAGCACCGTTAAACCTGCAGTTCTCAGAGACAGTGATGGCGCCTGAGAAAGAGGGGGAGAGAATCCCGAGGGGCCCACCTGGTATCTAAAGAAGAAAGTCAACAGGAGGGTTCTGATGTGAGCGCCATCCACGTCAGCGTCCGTGAGGATGATTATCCTGTGGTAGCGGAGAGCATCCTTCTTGAAGTCCTCTCCCTGAGAGAAGGCATAAGATCAGGCTGATGATAAATGGGTTAAGGCTGAGGGTGAAAGGAGAGGAGGATATTGCCAGAACCTTCACTCCGAGCCCAAGGGCGAGTATGAGGTTCTGGATTTCTTCGTTCTTGTACATTGCTGCCTCGTCCTTTCTCTCAATGTTGAGGATTTTACCCCTCAATGGAAGAACAGCCTGCAGAAGAATAAGGGAATCTAAGAAATTCCGGGTATCCTCCAGGTAGGGGTGTGTGTGTGTGTGTGTGTGTGTGTGTGTGTGTGTGTGTGTGTGTGAGAGAGAGAGAGAGAGAGAGAGAGAGAGAGAGAGAGAGAGAGAGATTTAGAAGCTTACGAAGAAAAACTAAATTAAAGCAGCAATAGCAGTAATGGTGTATTCTCTCCGTCCCAAAGAAATGTTTGTGGACAGCAATTTGTGGGACCTTGGCCTTAGCTTTCTAGTTCATAATTAGGAATTTCATAGGAAATTATTGACACACTTTTTTGTCCTTCTACGGAATGCAGGGCAGAGAAATTCGAGTTGAATGGTGGTCATTTCAAGAGAATGTGACCAGAAAACTGCCTTTCTTCCTGGTTACTATGCCTCACACTCCATCCTCTCTCTCTCTCTCTCCGTAATAGGCTGAGGTTTCAATCAACATACGAAAGAAAGTACGAATATAAAGTGAAAATTATCATCAAACCTCAAGATTTTTTAGACGAATGAAATCACGAGACTAATAAGGAAAAGTAGAATCCAGTATTGCTAATCTAACAAAATCCTTCCATCTCCCGGTGATAAAAAAAAAAAAAAAAACTGATGTCCATTTTGATGCCATGATGATCAAAAATATGAAAAATGGAAATTCGCTGATCTCTGGCACATGCATTGCATGAAAGTGTTCAACCATGAGCAAAAGTCAAGGAGTTTCACCTGAAATCGCCTATCACGGCCTTGCTTTGCGCTACCACCAGCAGAGTCCCCCTCAACGATAAATATTTCTGAAACGTTTATGAAACGTGAGATATTGAAGGGCGAGCAATACAACACACATGAGCACCAAAAATTTCCATCTAACTACTTCCATTCCCATAGCATTATAGTACCATATCAGAACCAAGTGGAGAAACATGATCTGACAAGTCTATCAATGAAGGAAACTGAGGATGCGAAATCACCCAAATCTATATAGCTTCTGTGTCAAACTCCGAGATATAGCGTGCACTGTACCGTGTTCATCTGTCCCGCAGACATCTTTTTGCAGACGGTGAAATGCTCCTGACAACCCTCGGTTTGTAGGATTTCGGAATTGGGGTCACTTAATTTTCTTTAAAAATTGTGAAAACTTTAACAATATACATCTACGTGGTTTGTGGCTTTCATGTCAATATACATCTTAAAGATGTGCCATTTTTTAAAAAAATCAGATCACAACACAGCATGCGATAAGTAATTGATGTAGCGTCTCTTTGGTACAGACGCAAAGCAGCACCATGCACAGGAATGAGAAACATCAGGAACCATTAGCAGGATCAAACAACGAAACTCAGGAAGAGTAGCGGTATTGAGTAAAGCGTGGGCTGTAGGAAAGGGAAATAGGAACATGGTGGAGGCAGGGAAGTAATGACATAACACGGGATGGTGGTGGTCCTTCAGAAATGAACTCCCCTGGTTCTCAAAGTATGAAATGGTTGACGAGTCCATTTTCATGCAACTGGTGTGGCATCTATATAACCAACAATTTCAGTCCCAACCACAACCAGAGAAAGAAAAGCTTTCAGTCGATTTTGTGCATGTCACAGAAATATTCATCATCTCAGGCCTGAGGAATGATGCCACAGAACCAACAGGTCACCCTCAAAATTTTGCGGAAGCCAAGCTCTCTTGCTATCTGATGGCCTATCCCATCCTCTTCCCTCACTTTGATCTCAATATACAGCACGCATTTTAATGAGAACGGGCTTTCTGTAGTCCAGTCAAGTTCCCATTGAGCAAACCTATCTTGATCTTGATGTCAGTCAATTTAAGATCGTATTCTCCGTAAAACACACAGTAAAATAAAGGATTGTATACCCTCAACTGCTACTCTGCTGGCATTCAGTATGTTGCAGAGGATAATATTAGCGGCTCATGTCGAAAGTATAAAAAAAGAATGTTAACCTATACTTCCCACTTCCAGATTTTCCCAAATTCTGAGGCACCTTTTTTCTTATGTGGTTAATACCAGAAAGGGCACAATATGAAGAGCCAAAGCCCACCCTTCTCACATAAGATAGTAAACAGATGACTCAACGACAACCAATTCGCGAACGAGAACATAGTATACAATCTTCGATAAACAATGGTTACTTCTATAATGTTCTCTTCGTTGTTATGACCTTCCGAAAAATATTTGGGGGTTATTTAATCTTGAGCCTTCTGAAAAATTAAGCAGAAATCTTCAAAAGTTCTAAGCAATGTTTTATCTGCCCACAGAAGGCTAAATATTGTTCACACAAATACAAAATTTAGTACGTCGCTCAACTCATGAGCAAAGGCTAAATCAGCACTGTAAACTTTAAGTCCAACAACAAATTTGATCAGTTCTGAAGATCCATCAGCATTATGTTTGTTATCCTACAAATATAAAACTGATTCTACAGTGTAACACATATGGGTTCACATGAAAAAAATAGAAAAATTGTATAGTAACTAGTGCAAACTCATTATCTACAATAATGAATCCGGAAAAGAAAAGAAAACGTACCAGATTCTTCAGGATTGGTAGAAGAACAGTCAGCTAATTTCCCAGGAAGAGAAGATGATTTGAGGACGCTTTTTGTTCTTACCAATTCTCTGGCCCTTTTTGCTGCCAAAGCTGCCTGAAAAAGTAAATATTGTGCATGGAAGTCACTCTAATCTGACGAGGTGACCCTATAGATGCAATCGACTCTTATGTGGAAAAATATAGCAATGGATTGGACACTAGGAAGTCGAGAATCTACACATGATATGATAATGATAGAAGCAGATGGAGTTGATTGATCACTAAAGATATAACAGAAAAACAATCCCAAAAAGGAAAGAAAACAAATCTAGTACATCTTATGTATCGGAAGTGAACACACCCTATACACAAGATGGCCAAATTTTACTAAAGTACCTTTAGAGCATTAAGAGACTTAGAGAGAATCAAATCTAGTGCATCTGGATGCAACTCTAAGTACTCTGTAAACTGCTCCTGGACGCACTGTTCAACTATCTTCCGTACTTCTGGGTTTCCCAATCTTGTCTGCCAAAGGAGGAGATAAAAAACGGGTTTATACATATTAAAAAAGATGTAAGGGTAACTTCCCACTGAAGGAATGGAGATCTAAAAATTACGATTGAAATGAAAAAACAGGCATACCTTTGTTTGACCTTCAAACTCAGGGTTTGGTACCTTGACTGAAACAATACAAGTCAATCCCTCCCGTACATGTTCTCCACTGAAACTAATGTCCTTCTCCTGGAACAGAACAACCCACATTAACGAAGGAAAAAGAACTGATAAATTATTAATTTTTACAGTAAAGCAAACATTTTATGAACATTAAAGTGAAAATTAAATCCATAAAACAACCATATGCTCACTTTACCTGGCTTGCGATAATTATAAATTTCAGAATATAGAACTTCTTCCAGGATCTCTTTCAACATTGTCCCACTTTCGTGGACAGGAAAGAATGATAACATAAAGCACTAACATGGCACAAAAATCTAAGTAGAAAACCAACGAAGAAATAGAGAAGCATTTCACTGACGAAATCTGGACCCAAAATAACACTAAGATCAATAAAATGAAGAAGTATTTAAATTTAAATATTTAATTCAGAAAACAGTGGTAATACTAGTCTAATTTCCAGTTACATTTTATTTCAAAGATTACACGTTTCACCATATAGTGGTGTATAGCTAGTGTTCTGAACAATGATCACAATGGAGATTCTGCTTCCTAATATATTGGCTTTTTCATATATATGATAAGCAACAAAAAATGACCCTGTTTAACAGTGTTACAAACGACCTATAGATGCGAGGCTTTCTTGGACACTGTCTCGAATGACATAGAAAGAATAAAATGCAAAAAAGGAAATGGATTCAGGTGAGACAGAATCAGAGAAAATTATGTTTTGAGCGAACTTGACAAAACCAAGGCCAGGCTTTGTTCCATCTATTCATAAGTGGAAAAACAATCCAGAGGTGAGAAGAATACAAGGGTTTAAACCGTAATTCGAACATTCAAGGCGGTATGGAAATTAAACACTACAGATATTTGAGTGTGCAGATAAGTTAGCTTGAAGCCATGATATCAGCTATGTTCTCCTGAGAAACGATCACATTTTTAGCAGATCCCAGAGTTAAACATGTCAAAAGATAAAAGAAGCAGGGGAACGACATTGATTGTGTTCAATTGATTATTTGGCAGAAGAAGGGCTCGAATTTACAATCTTAGGCTAAGTTCCTAGTATGTGTTGTCAATGAGATTTAGGAGACCGCTAGCAGATGGAAGGTGATAGAATAGAACGAGGGCAAGGTCCCTTTTCCTTTCAAACTAGCAAGTCACGTAGGATAGAAAGATGCTAACATGAAGTGACATTGAGAATCAAAGCAAGACAGCCAGCATGCCGAGTTCATCCTCACTAACATTTAACTGCACAAAAATCATCACGATAACAGAACACTGAGAGGTTTACCTTGATGACCTTTGATTTCTTGCCAAAGTTGTTGATTGTTCTGGTTAAAGAAGCCTTCATGCCATCAATATGTGTGCCACCATCCACTGTGCGTATGCTATTAGCATATCCGAGCATTGTATCTGCGTATGCATCTGAGCACCTGACAGAGATCGCAATCAGCAATGAAGCTATCTAAACACATTTTACACCTTGTGCATAAAATCAATGTACCGTGGAGTATATTGCCAGGGAAGTTTTCTACTTTCGCACAAAGAAATGATAACAGTACTTAAAGGCTGACAGAACACAAGGAAAAACGACAAATATTCATGTGACTACTATTACTGACCATGAGATAGGACTCTTACCACTGAAGAGCTACATCCACAGTGATGCCATCCGTTTCCTTTCTGAAAGCTACAGTGTCATGAATTGGTTTCTGGATCAGATAAAAATATTATCAATATTAAGCACGATAGCAAACAAGGTCATTTTCTGCTAAAAATAAATCAAACTTGACATATTCCGGGTGTGGTATCATGCAACTCCAGGAAGAATAAAAAAACACTATAACGCTTGAGAATTGAAATTGGAAAATAATACGAATCGATCGGTGAATTAAATCAATGCTCGAAGTTGTCCAACAATCGCCCCAGATTTCATTTTGAATACCAACATATCTGTTATTTATAAAACAAGCTTAACTATCAATAGTAGATACCTTATCAGAATTTAGCCATCTCACATACTCGACCAACCCGCCAGCATAGCAGTACTCTGTATATTGTGTCTTGTTTGATTCCTCGCCAACTTTCTTTAAGGTGATCGTCAACTGTTGAAATGAAGTACAAGCAATATTGTAAAAAATACTCACACAGAAATTAGAAGCGAAACACGGGCGACTCAGGAGTCAAACATCAACCCATGAATTAATGAAACAATTGAGAGCGGCAAAAATATTTTCAGTCTTCAGTAACTGTTTGTCCATTTCAAATTTCTGATTAATTTCCGGAAGCTTACTGATATTACTTGCAACAGGAGGAAGATGATTTCACAAGAAGCAACTTTTTTTTTTGTGGAGTGGAGTGAATAGTGGCTCAAAAAGTGTATATAATCAATTTGAACAAATTCTGCAAATGAATAAAGGAAGAAGGAGGTGGTTCAGTTAAAAAGGATTTTCCCAATAAGGCACTGGTTATATGGTTATGGAGAGTAGAAGAAGGCAACTTGTTACCTCCCAATATTCTAAGAGAAACTTTGTTCAGAAACGGGAGTGGTTGGCGTTTTCTTCCAATGAGCAATTCTAGAGTGTATGCAATGTGGTGAAAAAAATTAAACTAACGCAATTATTAGTTATTTAGTCTGGTTTCAGACAGGCAATGGAAAAATGCTGACATTTTGCAAGAACAAGCGGATCCTAGGTACTGTTCTAGCTTTCAAATTGTAGCAATTATGTGACATATCCCCAGACAAGAACAAAAACATCTATAAAATTTGGGCATACGATAATTGGAATTATTCCAGGAGAAACATTGATTGAGGGAGAAATTGCTGAACACATCAAACAACTTCATATCCATCATCCTATCGTGTTGACAAGAAATCAAGGTGGCAAAAGAAATTGGAGATGAATGGCATTCACCATTAGGTCATTGGTAAAAAGTTCATGAGGTTGGGAAGATAAATTCCCCTAGAAAGTCAATTTTTATTCCGACATCAGCCAAAAGAGACTCCTAACAAGTGACAGAATCCGAATTTTCAAGCCTAATATTCAACATAAATGTGCTTTGCATGAGGAAACCATAAACCATCTATCCGTGAGATGCGGAATTATCATGTCTAGTGGAAGACTTTCAATAATATATCTATTATATAGTGCACTGTCAAATAAAGAATTACTCAAATACAATTGATATGCTGCAATTGGCCATCTGTGCGTCTAAGAGCCGATTTTGACAAGTGAATCAAACACGTATCAGAAATCCTATGGGTCATAATAGTGAGAACAGACAATTCCAATAAATACGAAACATGATTGTCGGAATGAGTCGTAATATTTTCCTTTCTTTATTGTATTTTTCTTATCCAGAATTTTACTGCTTAGTGTCGAACCAATCCGGCCGGGCCCGTTTCAACCACTGTACTGTGGATCTGGTGTAAATACCAAATCCTGAGTTATTTTTCACCCTTATCAAAGATTTGGGGTTTCTCCGCTCACGATCTCAGGGCTTGACAATGATCAATACTACTATATTGTTTGTTTCCACCTGGCTAACAGCAATTGATATGGGAAATAATCTTCAAGTGGGCCAACTAAATATTATCCAGTAGGAAAAACTTGCTGCTCTAGTTTGCTTTTTCCTTCCCATCAACCACCTTGGTCAATAAGAAAAGAATCTTCTTGCGTTTCCCCATCTTCCATGGTACTTATATCATTTTCCCTACTCGTTTTACTTCGTATTTAACTTTTTTATCATATTAGTGGCATGACACCTAAAATAATTCCATCCTCAAACCATGGGTTACATTATTAAAAGCAAAGTATATGGCAGTAACACAAAACAAGAGAAATCAGCATTGACATAAGAATAAGAAAAGGTACCTCTGGATTCAGAAAAGCTAATTCCCTAATACGACTGGCTATAGTGTTATAATCGAACATGATTGTAGAGGTAAATACTGCAAAAGAAGAGAAATATATATAATTAAAATGGCATCCTTTCCAAGTAAACCAGCATCAAAAGAAAGAAAGCACGTTATTAGATAGTGTAAATATGACAAACATTAACGAGAAAAATGGAAGAGATGGGCACCTTCTCGGTCAGGCCAAAATCTGATACTCGTCCCTTGACGATCACTTAATTCAGCTGGCAGTGGACGGAACATCAGAGTCGTCAGCGGCTTTCCACGGCAATACTTCTGCTGATACTCCTTGCCATCTCGCCAAACAGTGACCTCTAACGCCTGGATCCATGTGCATAAGTTGACTAAGAGTGTACAAGAATGAGTAGATGATTCATTACAGTCAAGGCATAACTGACTTCCAAAAGAAGTCAGTTTCTCACACTGAGCAACATACAACCTAAAAAACAACTGGAAAACGTACTTGTCATAGGCACGACCTTCAATATAAGAACTTTCCAAGAAAAAACCTCAGAATCAACGTACAGATCAAATGCTCCCTGATGTTTTGATAATTGTAAAAACCTACCGGAAGATTTTTTATGTAAAATTTCCCTTATGTAGTAAATGGACAGCATTTCACCTGTATGAACTCTAGAGAGGGTTTTCAGTCATACAAGGTTCTTTTTAGGGGACAGATGCGTACTATGTTGAAAATAAAGAGACACGATAGCCATATGCATTCATTCATGCGAAAATGTGATTAATTCACTGCATAATCTTTAAAGATAACATATCCAAGCTTCATAAAAAACCCTCCGTTCATTGTTCAAACATTTTCCTAGGAACCCCCAGTCGCTCTCTTTTGATTCCTCATAACTCAAATACTATTTGAGACAGAACGTGAAAGTGCACACATTTTGGTTGACATATTGGATATCATCTGAATTCATATACGACGTATGAATAAATGCTGAGATTAAAAAACTCTGTTTATTGACAACGAAAAAAACACTTCAGTCTAACTTTCAAAAAAAAATATTCATCTGATATGGTAGCATAACCCGAACTAATGAACCAAAATCAATAAGAAGATGAAGACAAGGACCTCAGACAAGGCATTAACAACAGACAAGCCTACACCATGCAATCCCCCAGAGACACTGTAGCCACTACTGGAACCACCAAATTTGCCTCCTGCATGTAAAACCTACATGGTTCAAAAATATTGTATCAGAATAGATAAATTTGTTAAAAAACACATGATGTTGAGTATTTTAGTTCATTAGGATTCATTGAACAAAAGAACAAAAATAAAGGAACAAACGAGAGTACTTTCATAATCATGTGGAGGAAAAAGTAAAGTAAAGATGGAATATCTTCTATTAAATAAAAATAAGAACACAGGAGCATGAATTCTAGAGCAATTTGTAACATAATCCATTTGTCAAGGCAACAACTTGAACAGATGTAAGAAAACTAAAAACAGAGTTATAAAATATCTAGAATTCAAGTTTCTTTAATAATTTTATGGTGTTCATTTTGGAATCATTTGAAAACACGACTCCTGTAATAAAATATTGAGATTGGAATTCATCTTAGCTGGAAATTCTAGTCTTTAATGGTCCCACGTAAAACTCTTCAAACACATCCTTCCAAAAATACCTTCGTACATAAATAGTTTGCAGCTTCCGTTATGTAGTATGACTCAGACAGGACTGAAGAAATTCTATTGTTCCCTGGTCAATTAGAAGACTTGTATACAATGATCAGTGCACTGTTTAGAAAGAAAGAGTACCGTCAGAACTGTCTCCAATGAAGACTTCTTCGTAGTAGGATGTATATCAGTGGGAATCTGCACAACATAAATAACATGAAATAATGTTACATTTATTGCAAAGGTAGTCCAATATAACCGTTATAAAGTAAAAATATAAGCACATACCTATGAGGAACTATGAAAAATATGAACATCCAGTGACTGATATACGAAAATTCAGAGAAATCATGATTCATTGAAACTCCCGATTCGTATAAATATTGCCCCTCTTAAAATGCAGGTATAAAACATAGAATGTTCTCTTTGGTAAACAACATCAATGATAATCTGCTGAATGATACTAAATCCTTTATAAGAATTTTCGCAGCCATTTTCCGTCAACACGTAAAAAGTTCTAGAAAAAAGAAGGTACATACCCCACGTCCATTATCAGTAACGCTCACAGAGTTATCCTCAAGTAAAGCAACATCTACCCGGGTGGCAAAGCCAGCCTGAGCTTCATCTATAGCATTATCCAAAATCTCATACACCTATGCATCATGAGAACAATTGAAGAAATGAGTAAAAGTAGTATGTGAGAAACATTGATTCTAGCATATAGAGGGATCTAAACTGGCGAAGGGGAGTACAAGATGGTGCAAACCACGAGGCCCTGTACTGCCAATGTACATCCCAGGTCTTTTCCTGACAGGATCCAAGCCTTCGAGAACCTGAGATACAAAGGAGTCGGAAAAATTGTCAAATTGAGGACAAAAAACATATCCAAAAATACGATCTAAAATAAGAGTATAACTTGGACCCCTTGGGGAATACAACATTGTTCTAGTTTCTATCCTTTAGCTCAGTGTATATTTAGAATTGCTGTAGCTCAATGTCTTATCACACAGCAAATTTTCAGTCACCCTCGAAAACATTTTTTCCTTTTTGAATTCCAACTATACTTCAATTCCAATTATATTCTCTGGTCCTGGATATAATCTAATGACAGCATTCAATTTACTTTAATATTGGGCTCTACGATCTTTTGGTGGATTCGGAAGAATCATTTCATGTAATTAAGGAAATAGTTCCCACAAAGAGTGGTGCAATTCTATCCAAACACAATACTCCAAAATGTAAATGATAAAGAAAATGAGCGGAAAATTGGTAGACATATAAGAGAAATTCGAAGGATGAATTACAAATTGCGGCTCATATCAAGCATTGAAAAGGCTTATGTTGGTACCAATTTCGAGTGATATACCAGATACCTCTCTAAAAGGCATTGGGATCTTCACATTATCAGTTAGTAGTCCAAAACACAGAAACTAGAGACATCTCCGTTTACAACAACAGAAACCCTAGGCCAAATCAGAACCACGGTCCTGAATAGACATTTTCAAAGCATTCTTATGGCCCCATGGACCAGAGTTCATTGCATATAATGAACTTGAATGCACAATCCTCAAGTCAAGTATGGTTAAGACAAGGAGTTAAACAAAAAATAGTATGATTAAAAGCACATCTGATTCAGAAAATATCCAACTTTTAAACCCCCAAAAGTACATGGAAACAGGAGATGCATTATAATAATAAAAAAATTCAATTATATTTTTGAAATCAGGAAAGATTCCCGAATATGCAAGAAGTAGATTCGGCCCATCATACAGAAAGAGATATTCATACTATACAAAAACCTAGCAGCAACACCGAATTTCAATGTTAAAAAATTTACTCAAATCGTCATATTCTGCCAGGCCCGTTAAACATCCCAACACAGATTCTTCTTGTTGATAAACTTCTTTGATAACATATTCATTGTATTGAAAAGGCCTAGTTTATGTTATCTATACTTGATTCTTAAATAGATGAAAGGGAGAGAAAATGGAAGACCACAAGAACAGGAGAGAAAAACGAAACGTATCCAAAGTGAGTGGAATCACCTGGATATCGTACGTAGTGCACTCAAGTAGTCTTATATTGACCTTTGAAAGGTACCACAATCATGACAATTGTTAATTCCAGAGGAGCGCTTACATATGAAGGCCGGGCAGGAATTACCATGTCATTCTCTCCCTATAATATTCATAAATGTCTTTCCTCATCCCGACCTAATGTTAGCTGAATTTCTTAACAACTGAATTTGAGTTTCCCCTTCAGCCCTAGTTAAACATCATTAAACCCTTAGCACAGGTAGCTTTAGATGAAATAGAAAAACACCAGTCCCACTGCTCCCATCATTTTCCCCAATGGTTTGCATTAATATTAGTTTAATTTAGCATTTATTATATGAATAAATATTATTACTGCTTTCTGATTTTATTTGCATGCTGTCCAGAGAAGAGAGCTATTGACCTCCGGAAGATGAGAGCTTTTTTTTTTTACTAATATTGATATGGGTCTCCGGTCAGATTATAAATTTATTTTCAAGATATTGTCCATTGAAGAGAGAAAATTTTATTTAAAATTAAATGAGGTAAACTATAACCAATCACCGAAATTTGTTAAATGATGTCGAAACAACTAGCTTTTAAGAGTGTAACCTTTGAGTATTTAGGGCCATTCTGACCCGCAAGAACATAGGCGTCCTTTGGAAAGTAAATTTGACGGTTAGACTCTATACAGGGATATCAAACTGGGCCACTGTTTATAAGCCCTAAAACATGCGCACCAGTTAGTATACCGATTTTCGGGTATGGCCTCATAGTATCTTCCTTACACTGTCGGACGTTTTGTCAGGGGCAGTCGTCAGAAAAATTACAGGAATGAGACTAGTTCCAAAGGGTATTTAATTACATGACGCTACTGTATCCATTATCAGCGAAAGCCTTCACACATACCAGTACCCATGAACTTGTTGTCACCAGGAAACTTTTCAGTTATATCATTCGAAATGGTTCACTAAGCATATTGAAGAGGAAATCCACCTCTAATTCTTGTAAAACTCCTTTCCAGATTTGTTTGAAAGTTTTCTTATAACCACTTGATGTCCCCTTGCACTGAAGAAACACTACCCACCGATCTTCTACATCAAAGGACACTTCTGCGATCCAAACATCAATATGGAAGAGTCACCTTAGCCTCAGAATCGTAAAAAGTGAAAATATTTATCGGTTGTTTCGTCGTTAGAAAAAGAGAAGCTTAAATGAAAATCTACAGTGTATAAGTTTCAAATATACGTCCAAATATGCGTAATAGCTAGAAATATCCTTCATCGTCTACATCGTACATTAGGATATTTATGGAGAAAGGAAATAAGGAAAGAAGTCTGATCAACGTGAATTCCATTTGAAAAATCGTCGCAACCGAGACCAAACCGCGGAAAATGAACTCAGAAACTCCAGTAGTTTACCTGAATCTGCTCGGATCCGTATGCTTGGGATCCTGCCTTTTCCTGAGAAGCTTCCGACGCAAGGGCTGAGGACATGAACGCCCTACTTGTACCAGCTTCATTGCTCCTTGGCAGAGGACTAACCGACGTCCTGAGAGGAGAAACATGTCATGCGCCTCAAACAAAAAACGCCGGCATAAATATAACATGCCCCAGGTGGAGAGGATTGCCTTGTTTTGACCAAGTGGCGCGAGCGCGCGAGTGCATGTGAGGAACGGAGCGAACGACAGTAGCATGCTGACGAAGAGAAGGCGTGGCGAGAAAGGATGGAACGGAGCTGGAGTACGGGAGCGGCTCTGAGTAGCGCCATTTTCCCCCGCTGTCTTCCTCCCCACTCCCCTCACAGCCCTTTTCCCTCCACCTTCCTTCCCCTTTCGACCTCCCTGTTCTCAGTCCCTGTGAGAGTGAAGATAAGGCCCCATTGCCGTTTTCCCTCTCAAAACCCTAGGCTTTTAGCACTGGTCTGAAAACGTTTGATTTTTCGAAATTACTAACCTGCCCCGACGCCGAGATGGACTGAAACGTAATTTTCCTCTAAATGGGACCCGCGAAAAAATTAGAGAAAGGAGGGCCATTGATCTGACGGTCAACATTCCCTGAGTTGGGGATCAGAAAAAAATTGACGGACCTCCTTTCGTGACAAGGGACTTGCGGACGGTAGGGATGCCACTGAGACGCGTCGTGATCGTGAATATCAAGCGCGGGAGAGAGAGGACGTCGTAATGGGCCTGGTTACATGACTCGTTACTCGGCTCGAGTTGGCCCACATCTACATCGCCACGCCATACTTCTCTTAGACCCAATACTGAATGTTCAAATTTAATTTTACCATTTATATCTTATTTTATAAACAATAAATTGAATCGGCTGTTTAGATTGTGCCACGTATACCCACTGCCCACCAACCCTCCACTACTTCAGAAGGCTCTCTCTCTCTCTCTCTCTCTCTCTCCATATATATTTATTTGTTTATTTATATATCTATATATCCCTTAATTTTTTTAGGACTACTTGAACTCTCACTGAAATCACTATTAAATGTATTTATTTATGATATTTTACCGTTTAAAAGCCCACAAAACAGAGCTTTCATCAATTCGACAGCAATAAATAAATGGTGCAGAATCCATAATATCTCCCCATATCCCCTATTACTCTGCTCATCGATGGTATGGGAACTGAGAATCATGCATTATTTCCTCTTTTTATCCACGTCGACTTTTGAAATTCTTATAATAATGACGTCATTACCGTAAATAGGACCAAACCACGAGGAATGAGGAAGCTCAGCCAATCATCATACATCTTCTGGGTCTCTTGGGTAATTATCCAAGAGATCTTCTGGGTCTTCCCAATCAGTTGGTTTCCCAGCAGTCAAGCCTTTATACAGCAGTTCAGATAGCCCAGGATCTTCTTCCTCCTCTGCATAAAGGCAAACATCAGATGTCTCTTTCACTTAGTTTCTATAAGGTACGGTTTTATTTTCTAGCCTCGACTTGCTCGTTTCCTCACCACCTCAGCCGCCTCCTGAATGTTTCAGATATCCAGTTCAAGAGCTAAAAAAAAAAGAAAAAAAAAGAAATTCTCCGATTGAACAGCAACATGGTGAACACTTCCCAAATAGGTTATAAATGAAAGATTATCAGTTCTTGAATAAAAACCTAGATATTAGTAATTTTTTGCCCAAATTGCATGGCCTTGAGCCATGTGCTTGATATGGTTCCAAATCATTGAGACGACTCCCTGACTGGTGGTAATGGTTTATTTCTTATCGTTCAAACGAATATGATTTACCAAGAATCTACATGTTCATACGATATTAGGATATCAATGATGGATTCCATGTTCAGAAGATGAACAACCAAGCCAGGAGCTGTAACCTTAATGCTGCGACCCTTTCATGATTTCAGAGAGTAAGCAGTGGAGAAAAATGCTCAATTGAAGTGCTCTAGATGGAAAAATGCTCTCACCGATGGTAGTTCGTCTTGTGCACGCGCAATGAGCTCCTGTTCATTTCCTAGGCTTGCTGCTTTGATGTGGATCTTGTTCTGTTTTCTGTTTGCTCGAGCCCGCTGGAAAACCATCGAGTAATCGGTCTTGCTCATCTTCTGATCCCACCCTCCAAACTGCGGAACAGACATCCAGCCATTTTTCTGCTGGATCAAGTGCATTCATATTCAGTAGGAGGAAGAGGTCATTCTTCAAGATCATAGATCTTTAGATCGTCGCAGAGTATCCCACCAGGTGTTGATATTTTTTACAAGATCGAGGCACAAATCTCAGGAAAAAATAAGAACAGAGAGTAGGATCGCATCATCATGGTTACAGCTCTCTGACGGCAGAATTAAAACGATGATTCACCGACCACATGCCGAAGAACAATCCCTAGAAAGTATGAACATGGTAATTTCTAGCAAGATATCTACTCAAACTCCACTAAAATTTATCAGTATCGGCAATAAACTACGTTCTAAAGGGAATCGGAAAAAAAAAATAGCCTGGACGACAAATGTTTTCGGAATATTTGTCGATTTTCCGCCAATACCTCCTTCCTGTGATCCATGGCCGGGAGCGGAAATGGCTGGACGGGAATGATAGGGAGGGTGGGAGACCTACGACTGCGGTCATACCTTGATATAACCTCCCGAATTGCCAGGACTGTCGAGGATGGAAGAGACGCATGGACTCCTACGTTGGGGAGGAGAAACAGTCTTGCTACTAAAAGAGGGCGTTCTATTCTTGAACAGAACGCTGATCAAAATCTGTTGGAGTCGAAGGATTGGCTGTCCTCCCCGGTATAAATATGGAACAAGTGCGTAGGCAACCAGGTTTGAATTTGCCCTCACGTCAACTGTCCGTTCCAGGAAAAGTGGGCTCATCTTAGTGGGTAATTAGTTGGGCTTGATATAGGCCCACTTTAACAATGATAGGCCCATCTTCGTGCGTAAATGGGCTCAGTTTTGGGCTCATTATAGTAATATTGGGCCAATTGTTGGCCCATAATGAGATGGGCCACCGTAAGGGAATTTATATCCCCGAGATTCCCAGCCTTCGAGAGTTTCATTTCTTCCTTTCCATCGTCGTCTTCTTCGAGCGTGAGCCTGGAGGAAGAAAACCCTAGCGTTCTGATCGGTTGCTTTCCTGTCGATGGCGACGATCAGCCTGAGGAAAGCGAATGCGCGGCTGCCGCCGGAGGTGAACAGGGTGCTTTATGTTCGGAATCTGCCGTTTAACATCTCGAGCGAGGAGATGTACGATATCTTCGGCAAATACGGGGCAATTAGGCAGATACGCATCGGCACCAACAAGGACACGCGGGGGACGGCGTTCGTGGTGTATGAGGATATCTATGATGCCAAGACGGCCGTCGACCACCTTTCGGGCTTCAACGTGGCAAACCGGTACCTCATAGTGCTCTACTACCAGCAAGCCAAGATGAGCAAGAAAGTCGATCAGAAGAAAAAGGAGGAGGAGATCACACGTCTGCAGGAGAAGTACGGAATTCCCACATCGAGAGATAAGTAGCTTATGCTGATCATTGTCAACTCTTCCTGGCCACGTTTGTGAATTGGAGCTGCTGGTTTGAATTGGAGCAGTTTAAATTGTGGTCCTTATGGCTCTGTATGTTGAACGAAAGTGTATTTTGAAACCGTTTGAGAGCCAAATATGAACTAGAGACTGGAGCTGCTTTTAATCTTTACTTATAGTATCGTAGTTAATTGCAAACTGAAACGGCTCTATGTCCGTGTTGATGTAGATTTTTTTCGCCGTAATATATTCATCTTCCGTGTGATAGCCAGACGAGCTTTGGTTTCTCTCATCTTCCCCCTTCACTTATGTCCGTCCGTTGCATTGTCGGTTCGTCTTTGATATTCTTTTTACCAGATATTCTTCTTACATAGGGATTGGTTGCCCCCCATGTCGATCAATTTCCTTGCACAAAATTCCTTCTAAAACTGGCCACTTATGTCCTTTTTTCTGCCTTATGCGTTGCCTACTGTGGCACCCTTATCCTCTCCTATAATGCTAAGCAAATTCGGCTGCCACTCTAGAGGCTACATCCCACACCATCAGTCTCTTTTTTGGTAGTCTTTTGATCTTTTCTTATGCAATCTTCAGTACCTACATTCACCCAGTCGGTAGCATGTAGTATTGTTCATAATTTGCAGTTGTTTCATTCACTTCCACAACCTTTCTTCAGCTTTTAATTTCCCCAATCATGCTCAAGTTTCTGGTATTAACGGGCATCAATCATCAAACTTTCTTGTTCTTCACCTAATTGATAGCCTTCCATCCTCTGCTTCAGTCTCTGATATTCTGTGTGTTTCTCGTAGCCTAGTGATCACTTTCTATTAGGACTCATCTTCGCATATTATTCATCTCCCGTGCAATGGTGGTTTCAAATTTTAAGCTCAAGGCGTGCAGTATGATGTATCCACAGCTAGCACTATCACCAAATGTGAGAAAGGAAAGCCCCTACATAGTAGGCTAAAACCACGGCTGTGCAGAGCATCCTGATGACTTGCAAAAGTAAGAATAAGCTGAATTTAGGAATGTTCAGTCTTCTTTCTGCTGGACACTGCATAATATAAATATTACCCCCAGACTAAGGCAACATCCTTTTTGAAAGCTATCAAAGGAAGGATACAGATACATGCACTTTGAGCTGGAAAAATATTTATTTATGTAAAAATATCGGTGGCTTTTCTCATTAAAGACTTGTAGAATTACGATTATTGATCGAACTGACGAATTTTTTTAAAATTCTTGGCTGTACCAGTAATAATATTCCCCATTCATGATGGAGGGGCATGTAAATGGAATAAGAGTTTAGATAACTGATTAAACTGATAAATACTTGAAAAAAAATTGGCTGCACCATAAGATTGTGGAGGAGCACGTGGATGGAATAGGAATTAAGATTCCTGATTAATCTGATGAATATATTTTTTTTAAATGGCTGCACCATGAATATTACGTACCCATTGTGGAGGAGCGTGTGGTTGGAATTAAGAAACCGTTTGTTTAGTTCCTTAACCAGCGTCAGCCAACTAGGATGAGGCTCTTGTGAACAACTTTCTTAACGAAAAAAAGTACATAAAAGAACCCCCCCGGGGGGGGGGGGGGGGAAGTAGGACTACAGGGCGCATTAAGTGAAAAATTACAGAGGACTTTAGAAAGTCATTTGACTTTAGCGTCCTAACTTCAACCATCATTTGACTTTAGAAAGTCAATCCGTTTCCGATGAGCTGTCTGGGAATTCATAAAGATCGGAGTACCCACAGGACTTGCTAATCTGCTGAGAGAGGAACTTTGGAGAAGGGTTTTCTGTTCTTTGCACCCTGTTTTGGTGTTGCTGCTATATTCCAATTCATTTTCTTCCTGTTTTGCACCCATGGAGTAAGATACATGCAGATTAGGGCAAACAATTTATGGTTCCAAGTCTTCTCTCTAAATCTCCATATACCCTGTTATTTCCAACAGCTTTCTTTTTGCTTAACTTTTAATGTTTGTTCAGGGATACTGTTGATCTGATTTTGGGAACATCTTCCACTGATCTTGTACATTCATTCAGAGAAGCATTTGTGAACCCTTCTAGATGTCCTTTTGGATGGTTTTTCTTCTTAATTTGGGTATGCGTGTTTATCCAATCTTGACTTCTTTCTGCTTGATTTGCCTGATTATCCCTTGATTACGTTGATAAATTCAGAGAAGAGTTTGTCAATCTGTAGGGCATATACACGGTGAGGTCCAGCCTCAGTCCTCACGGGCCGTCCATTCCACACAGAGATGGATATAGATAGATATACATATGTAGAGAGAGAGAGAGAGAGAGAGAGAGAGAGAGAGAGAGAGAGAGGAGGGTCATTGAGGCTCATGCCTGACCTAAGAACCAGATACTTCATCGACAGTGGATTAATAGAAAAACAGGTAGATTATTGAAATTATTCCAAGGCATACATCAGTCGTTCCTTTCCCCCTGGTAATGAAGCTAAACCTAAAAGGAAACGAAGTGCTACTCAGACAGCAAGGGAGGAAGAACCCACCACCTCCTGATACAGAGCCGTCATAGGCACTTCCGATCGACAGCAGCTTCAGGCCAACTGGCCCATGAACATAAACAGGTAGATAGTCTCACAGCCTAAGGTTGATGATGGCAGTGGGCTGCATGCTTGGTGTACACTGGTCATCTCACAACATGTGATTTGTTAATGTGGGAAGAATACAAGATCACTTTGAACATACGAATACAGAAATAAGAAAGAGGCCTCCCATTGGCTCACTTGTATCCGATGTAGCTGCTGTCGGCTTTGTTCCTCGAGCCACCTTGCATATTCCATGTCAAATAGCAAAGCTCCTGCTATAAGAAAACATGTTTACCATAGAAGGAAAGGAAGATCATTATTTGATGATCATAGAGCTCTATTGATGAGTAAAAATTGTTTTGAGAGAAATTATCGCATGATTAGCTTCCTCTGGATCGACCTTAGAGCCATACAATGTTAATCAAGCATATACATAAATTTTCGTTCTTACAACATGCATCTTACATAAATCCAATAAGAATCAGGGGTGATTCTACATGACCTTCACTACCATCCCAGCTCAATAAGCCTTAGATTCTATGCATGACATCAGTATATAGTTAGAATCGACAGATACAACTTCATGAATGATGATGGGAATCGACAGATACATCTTAGTGGGAACTGACTAGTAATACCAGTGAGGTCTCCGGAGACCAAACTAAAGATGCCCTAGACAAGGAGAAAAAGAAGATGAAGAGGAAGAATGTCGACTGAAAAGAAGATATATCTTTCCAAGCCATGCTCATTGGCGAGCCCGTTGGATCTCCTCCTCAAGTTGGGCGAGCTTAAGCCGGCTACTCTCCAATTGTTGGATATATGTCATGAAAACGTATTAAATTCGAAAATAATGAGACTTAAAACTAGCTAACTCGAATTCATCATTATATCAGCCAAGCAAAAGACTAACGACACTCCTTTTTATAATATTTAAAAATTAAGCACTGGTGTTGCATGCACTTGGTGTACAACACAGCATTCATCATATCAAATAGAGAAGGGCGCTTGCTGATAACTGGATAGTATCCTCGTTGCAGAAATAATATGAACTAACCATGCCTTCTTATGCAATCGACATTTTTCTTGCAGCTTCCCGATTCTAAGCAAAGCCTATGGAGTATCTGCAAGTAGCATAGAAGAAATTTGATTAAATAAAACAAGGGCAAGGCACAATATTGCCACATCATAATTTAGTGATCCCCTTTTGGTAACCTGTTTTCTCCCTTGATCTATCACTAGAATTGGAGACCTCAGGATCTCTCAAGGAATTTCCTCCTCCAATGTCTCCCTAAGAAACTCAGTGCACAAATGACAAGAATCAACCATAATTAATTTATCAAGACACTAAGCCTTAGCATGTCCAACTGTACAACATTCATCTCAATGGAAGAATAGTAACCCAAGTCGTAACTTCAATTCTAAGAAGTCATAGGATAACCAATACATTCTATGGACTTAAAATCATTGGGGAGAAATAATCCAACATGTCTGCATAGACAATTTCACATTCTTTTCTATAGTCATTGAGCTTTCATATTGACATTCATCCCAAAGAAATCTTCATTTCAAAAACCCACACAACTTTCATGGCAACTCTACAAGTTTTCCACTTATGGGAAATCTTGGAGCACATAAATTATTTTCCATTCTTGATTTTTCATTTTGTTCAGTGGCCTTTTTTGTTCATGAGCAGATTGGATTTAGGTCACTATATATTAGGCACTATGATGCTAATAGTCTCCATACTCTCCTTTAATCTCATGCCCTAACTTAATATAATAGATAATAAAAAAATCTAAAAATGTATGGAGATAGTGGATTAATTTAGATCTGAATTCTTTTATGGGTGTTGGAGTATGATATGCATGATGTTTTGATGATGAAAAACAAACTTTATAAGATTGAATTATGTGTAGATTAGAATATTCATGATATATGAATGCATAAGCATAATTAAGAATATTAATGATAACAATTCATATGAGAAGATCATTTAACATATTATTGAACACATATATGTCATAAACATCTTCATGTTAAATCATCGTATTACATATTGTTGTGAAAATGTCAATATTTATAGAATATTTCATAGTAAAAAAATATTGATGAACACATCAAAAGTCACAAGATAACAAGAAGTAAAATATGAGTATGAAAGTTTACTTAGTATGCTATGTTCTTGTGATATCAAATCATTACTTTTAGGTGTCTTTAATGTCGCTTTAATTGATCGAATTCAAATCATATTTTCAGATAAATATGATTTTGTAAATATTTAGGAAAATATCTTACAAATTATTTTAAACATCTTGATTCATTGAAATAATGATCATAGATATTGCAATCATCAAAGATGTTAGCTTGATGATTATATTTTATTTGAGGTGATTTGAATATGATTTGAATGCTGAATTATCATCCTATTTGGATATCTAT